CTTCTTCATTGATATCAAAGCTATCCAAGATATTGAGCAATTTTGTCACAAATAAAGATACGACGAGAATTGCTTTATAATGGATTCGAAATGCAATGACTTGTCGACGTATTAAATACATTGAATAATATACAAGAAACATCACTAGCGGTTTAGTCTAGCAATTCAAATTCCCCTTTTGCCCAGTGGCAAACCAGCTTCACTTTGAATTCGGATAGCTTGATACCAAAATGCGTCAATAACTTACACTTTTCAACAGAAAGGGTCTCTCCTTCTTTGCACAATAGGTGCTCCTCCTTGTCAGCCAAAAGGACAATCTTTCCGTTCTGGATCTTCACTGGCAAACCTAGCTTTCGGAACTGTTGATCAAGCATGGTAGTTGGATGATTGAACAACATTTTGTTGGTGATAATGACTTCCCTTGGAGCGACGAAACCGGCTCTGGCATAATCTGGCGCGGAAAAGTTTTGAAAGAATTCCTCCACTTCCGCTCGGGTTCTAGATGTGAAAAGTAGGCCAACATTTTCTGTAATCTCCTTGGATACGAGACGAAGATTGTCAGAATATTCATCTTCCGGGGTCTTGCCAAGTGCGATTTGGATCAATTTGTTCTTTCCTAGCATAATTTTGGAGGGAACGTCCATGGCATCACCAGTCGAACGGAAGTGCATACGGATATCCTTGAATTTGCTACTGCGCATATTCTCATACGAAAACAAGTATACATGATCGTGATTGTCAACTGCATCCCTCACGTCCTGAATGTAAGAGGACTTGTGTTCGCGAGTGGCTCGCTTGGAAGTTTTGGTCAGGTGTTCTGCAGGAAGCAAGAGATGAGAGTGTGCATGACGTTGATGATGATGAGTCGCACTGTTATTTTTTCATAAGGTAACACAATGATGCACTGGTGAGACTTACCGAGACGGGCTCTCTTGGACTGTGGCATGGTTGCAAAGTGAAGTTGTTTCTAGACGGAACAATAATGGGAGAAAATGATTCCAAGCCGGGTTGAATTTTTCGTTCTTTGGTTGGTTTGGATGGTGGTTGGTAGTGGAATGACAGACCGATCCAAAACCATCAGGTTGTATAACAAAATTTCGAAGGTGTGGCACAGTAGAATGTTACACGCATTCATAGTTTAGTGGTAAAATATCTGCCTTCCAAGCAGATGTCCCGGGTTCGATTCCCGGTGAATGCACTTTTGCAACTCTTGTGAACCTTTGTTGTAACTTTACCACTCTTCTCCTTGAATTCAGTGCTACTGCCTACACTGGTTTTCTTTCTTTTTTCCCCTCCCCTGACACTAACTTCAATGTACTCAGTATGATTACGATCTAATCGACAACCGGCAGTGAGCTCTTACTATTGCCCTTTACAGTATGTTGTTCCAAGAGGGCGCTTCTTGATATCGCAGTAGGTCTCTGCGAGTATGGGAATGAACATCTCACCTCGAAACAACAGCACCTCTTCAGCGATATGAAACATTCCTGTTGGCACCGTTTCTATTTCCGCTTCTGGGTGATCCAAGTTCGAACCCATCGCATTGTGTTCTACAGTGGTGCCGGCTTGGCCATTGGGTATGATATGTCACGCCGATATTGAGGTGATACTACTCTGCAAAGCTACTTCCATCCATGCCGCTTCTTCGCTTCTTGATACCATTCTTCTGGTGAATTGAGAGCGTGTGCTACAAATGGGTTTTCTTCCCTCTCTTTGTTCAAGTATGTTGGGGTAGTGTGACCTGAAAGGACTATGGACTCGTCATGAAGCTCCTCATACAACCGTCTCAAACTTGCTAGCAGATCTTCCATGGATGAGTTGAAGAAATCTGTTCGTCCGACCGAGCCACGAAACAGCAGATCTCCGCCCAGAATTATGTCGCCATTGTCGGTTTGTTGTCCAGCAGCATCAGCAAAGACAACATGTCCAGGGGCGTGACCGGGGGTATGCAAGCATTTCAACTTGATGTTCTCTCCAATTTTTAATATGCCGCCGTCGACGATTTCATCTGTTGGTGGTGGCGGCTTTGGAAACTCCATACCAAAGTTCTTCCCATGCTCCCGTGCCATGCGGTAGTTTTCCTCTTCGAGTGGATGAAGATGGATCTTGGCGTTTGGCCACTGCTTCGCAGCATCTGCCATTCCCGACACGTGGTCGGCATGCCCATGCGTGAGCAAGATATGTTTCACTTCCTTTCCTTCCAAGTGATCTTTGAGAATTGCAAATTCGGAGCTGTCATACGAGGAAGGATCGACAATTGCGGCTTCGTTGGTCACATCGCAAATTAGCGTGTAAGCATTGCACGCAAGAGGACCAAATGCTTGATATGCGACTTCGTATCCTCTACCAGCTATGGCTTTTCTCCGTGTTAGTGACCTCATTGTTTTTTCGCCTTGCGGAAGAATGAAATGATGTACTGCACTCGTATTCAGAAAGTGAGAATGTCGAACGTATTTTTGGTTTCAGTTCGATGATGTGTCGTTGATCGAACGGGTCGAACATAGGTATGAAATAGTCCTTCCAGGAGCAGCAGCGACGCAGGATCGGTAACCTCCAAAGCAACACTTGTTGGAAGCTGCTGTTGTGATACTGTAACGACTTACGATTCAAAATGTCTAGTGGAATTGGTGTTAAAGGAACCATTGGAAGATGTTATCCATTTTATGCTGACCTTCGCAAATGCGTCGTAAGTGTTTGATGATCGTGAACTGCCGTTTGTGCCTTGGGCATCATCATGCTACATCAATACAAATTGAATGTCCTCTACACTCTTCCATACTCTCTTACACTCAATATTCAAATTTTATGTAACAGGGAAAGAAAGATGTGGATAGCCCAACGGCAATGTGCTGGCAGGAAAATGAGGATTACTTTGAATGCCTTCACGGATTCAAGGAAAAGAAGCGCATCATGCAAGTGGCTGCAGAACGTAAACGACGAGAGAAGCTCGGAGAGTCATTTGAAATTGACAAGTAGCGGTGTGTTTGTGTAAAGCATACACACATATGGTAGATTATGATGATGATCAACACAGAAATTTGCAATTCATTTCTTGGCTATTCAAGAAGATTTGTTTGCTCTGACAAAACGCTACGAACCGTCAAAGCAGGCAGCATAATAATACTCTAAATGCTCTATTTTGAGTTTCTTGCTTTAAATTCCTGCCGTAGGGCCTCATAGTTCTCACATCCAGTTTCTTGCTGTACCACCTCTTTCCATTTCGCTTGAATGGCATCTCGAAGTCTTTGCGACAGCTGCAACTTTCCTTCTCCTTTCTTTCCGTTGACTATCTTGGACTTTTTCATTCCTGCGTCTTTTGGCAAACCACATGCTTCGTTTCTAGCCAGTTTCGAAAGTTTCTCGTCAAAATGTGATTCGTTCTTCTTCATGAAGGCATATGTGGATGACTCGACCACTTGGCGAATGGTCTCTGGTGTATCAAAATTGTGCTGTCGTTGCGGTGAAATGTTAGCATTCAAGAATGTCTGTCTAGTGCTGTATGTTGTATGTGGTGCTTTACCTTTTTGTTGCTCACAAAACGAGCGACTCTTGTAATTTGCCCTTCCAAATCATCCAAGAGATCCTCAAAGAACAAAATCAGGACTGATGGGTCATCTTTTCGGCGGTACCAAGACAGCAGATGAATGAAATAGGAAGCATTCTGCATCTTGGTTTCTGGTACACCGCGGCTCAACCAAAATTCTTCCGCAAAAGAATCTAGCGATATTGATCCTTTCTCAAAAAACCAATCTTCAAAAAAGTTGTAAAAGGAAAGCAAAACGTCATCAGGATTGCGGAGGACCACTATTGTTTTGGGAAAATTGGGGCAGTGATCCGCCCATGCATGTGTCTTAAAGAAACGAGGAAGGTCCGCCTTATCTCCATACTGGGCAGCTTCCAAGTCTTGTCCTTGATCCGCTGCCAATTCCAACCAAGGAACCACCTCACTGATTTCGGAAAACGACATGTCGCCACCATTTGAAGCAGACCGTATTTGGTGACAAATCTGTGGCGTTTCAAAGTGAAAAAGGAGCACATATAAACGATTTTGGTTGGTCGATTGATTGATTGGATGGTTTGTGCAATACAGTGAGCAACAAACATCATATCGCAGAGACATACCTGTTGCAACCATGTGGTGCCTGCCTTTGGGGTGGTCGTGATTGCTACATCGTTCGCCCGAGGCTGATAATCTAATCCTTTCTGTCTTCCACCTTCAGTTTCGAAACCTCCAAGCCGAGACTTAAGCAAGGCAATCCCCTCGGATTCTGTTCCAAACTGTTGTTCTGCAGGCATGATGCAATGCTGGTGTGAATTTTGAAGAATGTTCAAATTTCAATTGAAATGAGCTGTTTTGGTCGGTTGAGTCAGTCATTCAATGTCAACAATAAATATAAAGTCTGTCATACATGCGTATGATGGATTTTGACCACTGACGTACCATACGTGATGGCAAAGTACTGGGGCCACGCGAGACTGTGTCTGTTCTCTCGCGACGCATCAAGAAACAGGTAACCTGAGCCATCACCAACATCGGCAAAGCCCAAGTAGAATATTACCATGTTCAAGCTATTCCTTCTAGTTGCCGTCTTGGCATTCGCACAAGTCTCCGCCTTCATGGGTGCTCCTCTCGTCACTCAACAACGCGCTGTAAGGAAATTTGGATGATTTCGAGTTGGTGGAGAAAAAGCATAGAATTCGTTCCATCGGTGGACACTCGATGGACGACTTAGGCTGTTTCTGCGCTCGATACTGTAGTTTCATTAGGTTCATTTCTCACACTGTGTATTTTTTTATTTTTGCCTATGTTTTAGCCTGTTGTCACCAGCGGAGCCGGTTCCATGGAAATGAGAGCTCGTGTTTGCGACCTTTTGGGAAAGAAGCCCAACCGTCAAGCACGCGTTGTTACCTTCTCCCACAGACGTATCAAGAAGGTCCAACACGTCAACCTTCAATGGAAGAGATTTTTCTCGGAGAGTCTTGGCAGAAAGGTCAGACTTCGTCTTTCCACCAAGGGTATCAAGACTGTTAACAAGCTTGGTTCCATTGACGCCGCTGCCAAGAAATTCGATGTTGATCTCAAGAAGTTCTAAATGAAGAATAGTACTGTCTAAATTAGCGTTTCACCTAGAAAATTGATGTTGCGTTCATGGTAGCAAATTAGTTTGTTGATTGCTTTGATAATTTGCAGAAGTCTTACTTATTTGATGGAATGAACGTGCAACAACTTGGAACCTGGTAGTAGACTCTAAGATGTAAATTAGTTGGGAGATGATAGTTACACTAATAAAAGGAGAGTTTGAACTAGTTACGATAGCCACTCTATGATTGACAGCTCACACAGACGTCCTCTTCATCAACAACTGGTATGGTGCTCGGGAGCGTGTTTTCAACGGTGTATTGAATAGCGTTCACTGCTGGCTTTGTGCGAAGATAGTACATACCCGTCTACGTTTCAGGCAGCAAGATTGTGAGAAAGTGTCTAGTGATGATTCGAAACAAAGTGAACGACAATCTTACCTTCAGTCCCTTTTTCCATGCGTAGAAATGCATAGCAGTTAGCTTATCGACAGTTGGATCAGCAATGAAGAGATTCAAACTTTGACTCTGGTCGATGAACTTTCCTCGGTCTGCTGCCATGTCGATAATACTTTTCATCTTTATCTCCCAGACCGTCTTGTATATCTCCTTCAGTCTGGGTGGAATCGAGTCAATGTTGGCGACGGACCCACCGTCGCGCATCAATTGGTTTCGGACTTCAGGTGTCCATAACCCTCTGTCCACGAGATCTTGAAGCATGTGTGGATTTGCCATGATGAATTCCCCAGCCTTCACTCGACGTAGGTACAGGTTCGAGCTGAATGGCTCAAAGCATTCATTCACCCCAAGGATTTGAGAGGTGCTAGCGGTTGGCATGGGCGCAACCAACAAGGAATTGCGCAGTCCTGTGGACATCATACGCTTACGAAGACCCTCCCAGTCGTATCCGTTATCCCCGCACGATGCTGGGTACTTGTGCGAAAGAGTTGGTCCCCCTTGCTCTCGACTAACCCTCTTGCTGGGCAGTCCATCGGCCTGTTCACCCCAGAGATCAAATTGAAACTGGCCCTTGCTTGCAGGGCTATCAGCAAAGGTCTCGTATGCTCCCTGCTCTTCGGCCAGTTCGATGCTCGCTTCCAAAGCAGCGTGGTAGACGGTCTCAAAGATTGCTTCGTTGAGTTCTTGTGCCTCGGTAGAAGCAAATGGAAGACCCATGCGAATGAAGGCATCCGCCAATCCAGAGACACCAATTCCGATGGGCCGGTGCTTCATGTTGGAAGTTCTTGCGCCATCGATGGGGTACGAATTGATGTCAATGATTCGATTCAGATTGCGAGTGACCATTTTGGTTATACGGTGGAGGGCTTCATGGTCGTAGTAAGCTCTGCCCGAATCCAGCGACACAGATCCGAACTGTCCGCGGTCGGACACAACAAACTTGGGCAGACAGCTGCGATAATAAGAGTGAGGTCAGATCAAGTCAAGCTTGTTGATCACACTCCAATCTTCGTGAATACTTACATGCTGGCGAGGTTGCACACTGCGACTTCCTCGCTGTCCGTGTATTGAATGATTTCAGTACACAGGTTACTGCACTGTATCGTTCCAAGATTCTGTTGGTTGCTCTTTGTATTTGCCGCATCCTTGTAGAGCATGTAGGGAGTTCCGGTTTCAATTTGCGATTCCAAAATTGCGGCCCAGACATCTCGGGCCCTCAATTGTCGAACGAACTTTCCTTCCTTCTCATACTTGCAGTACAACTCTTCGAATTCCTTTCCGTGGCATGCGGCTAGGCCCGGAGTAAGATCGGGGCACATGAGACTCCACATTTCATCATTCTCCACTCGCTTCATGAACAAGTCTGGAATCCAGAGTCCATAGAATAGATCTCGTGCACGCTGTTCCTCTTTTCCGTGATTCTTTTTTAAGTTGAGAAGATCTAGAACATCGGCGTGCCACGGCTCAATGTAAATAGCAAATGCTCCAGGACGCTTGCCCCCACCTTGATCAACATACCGGGATGTCACATCATAGACTCGCAACATGGGCACCAACCCATTGGAGACTCCCCGTGTTCCCTTGATGGGAGTACCCCGTGCTCGAATGTTATGGACGCTGAGACCGATTCCTCCAGCAGCCTTTGAAATGACAGCACACCGCTTCAACGTATCGTAGATACCAGAAATGGAGTCTTCGCTCATTTGGACCAAGAAACAACTGGAAAGCTGCGGGTGTGTAGTACCAGAGTGAAACAGAGTTGGTGATGCATGCGAGAAGAACCCTTGGCTCATCATATGATATGTCTGGAACGCAGCTTGCAACCGTTCGTCCTCCTCTTCTTGTGTGATTTCTCCCAAGTCGGTACAATGGATTCCCAGTGCGACACGCATTATTAGATATTGTGGTCGTTCCAAGATTCGTCCCGCATCATTTTTTAGCAAGTAGGATCGTTCCAGAGTCTTGAAGCCAAAGTAGGTCAGATCTAAGTCTCGCTCATTTACAATTTCATTGTTGATTTCGTCTCCCCGACGACGAAGCAAGTTTAGAACATCGTCGCTAATGTATTTGGTTTCTTGATCGAGTATTTCCATAGCCTCCGTGAAAGTGGAAGGCGTTGTTTTGTGATTTTGTCCCACTGCAATTCGAGCGGCGAGGCGTCCATAGGACAGGTGCTGTGTGGTCATGCTGGCAGCTGTTTCGGCAGCAAGTGTATTGATTTCAGTCGTGGTCGCGTTGTGATACATTCCTCTCATGATGGACTCAGTGATTCCCTCCAGGTTTATTCCAGTAGTAACTGCAGTGCCGTCTTGAGTCATATCTGAAGCCAGTGATTGCAAATAATTGAAAACCTTACTGCGATTGAGCGGTTCTCGGCTTCCACCCCGCTTTTGAATGAATATGACTTCACTGTCTGTCGATGCGACATCCTTTATTTTCTCAAACATTGTGGGCCTTGTAGCACCCCCAGAAACGAATGTAGCTCGGGTATTTATAAATGGATTGGAAGCTGTCGTTTGCTGACATAACTGAACCGTCAGCATCAAAAGTGCCATGCGGCTTTTCTTTAGTGGCATCATGATTTCGGAATCAATCAAGTGTATGAGAGACTCTTTTTGAAAAGATGATTTCCTTTTGGACGTGCCGAACGTAAAGCACTGGTTAACAATATTTGTTTGCTGACTCTTTGCAGTTGACAATAGATGAGATGGTGATGAAAGATGCTCCGATGAAAGCAGAAAATAATTGATTGGATTGATTCTCATTCTTGGGGGGCGACTCGTCTGACTCAGTCGACGGACGAAGGCCAGATGGCTCCGAGGTCGATGATGGAAAGTTTCAAGTTTCAAAGTTTTGACGTCGAAGTTGAAAGAGAAAGTGTTGAACTGCCGAGTTAGTTTCCAACTTATTGTCAAAGGCAAAGAAAGAGGAAACCCGATTGTTCTAACGTAGTGACAAACACTTGTAACGAAAGTTTCAGCGTCTGATCGACAAGACAAACTTACGAAAGATCTACTGAATTAGAATTAGATCAATAAAATACACAATAATGGATACGACAAGTCAAGAAGAGAAGGGAAAAGCAGAGTTCAAGAAAACCTGCGATGGGTATATCAACCAGGGATTGCAAAGTAATCCGACGATACAATTTTTGATTCAGAACCTAGTAGATATGGGGTGTCCTCCCCCTGCTGGCTTTATGAGGTGTTTGGATTGCGAAGGAAAGCCTGTCTCGGGTGGTTTTGGTATGTTGCAAGAAGATTCCATGGAAAAGTCATCATCATCATCATTAAAAGGAGAACGAAGTAATTTTCGGGACAAGCCAGATTGTACTCGGCCACGACAGGATATATTAGATCAATTCCAGCGAGAAAAGGATGGCAAATCCAAACTGTCCTTGCGACCTGAAATCTATATCTGCCAAGAACACGTCGCAGGCCCACAACATGCCAATACCATTTTGGCACATGAATTGATTCATGCCATTGATATGTGTCGGAGCAAGATGGATCCTTTGCACAACTGTATGCACTTGGCTTGTACAGAGATCCGAGCGGAGAATCTAAGTGGTGAATGCAACATGTCGTGGGAATTCATGAGAGGGAAACTGGACGGCTGGCTAGGACATGGGCAAAAGTGTGTGCGAAGAAGAGCCATCGATTCTGTCCGAGCCAACCCCAATTGTACCAAAAATGCTGCCGCCTATGTAGATGCCGCAATGGAACGATGCTACAAGGATACCTTTCCATTTGAACGACACCCGAATCAAGCGTAGCGCTACTAAACCACTCTTAGGTCACCCTTTAGTTCCTTCTTGCAGTATTCCATGGATGTATCTTTGTGGTATAAAGAAAAGAAAAGAGTAGATCTTATGGATACGCTTATTCAGAACGCTTTGAGTAGCCTCTCTACTAGAATGCTGATCCCAGCATCTCCTGGCTGGCTGGTGACAGTGTGTTGATTCAATGAAGCGTGATACGAGTAAACTGATAAGAGGTGTAAAAAAGTTCAAACGATCAATGAATGCCTTCAATACACTAGACTCACTCTCTGACCCGCTAGTAAAAAAATGTCTGTTGAACCACCATTCACTAATGTTCGTTTTATGAACATGACTGTTTTGCGATGGTCGGCCAGTTTCAAGGGAGTACCGCTACCCCCACGCCCTATTGCCGGTGATGCATCGTTGGTAACTACTATAATCCTAAACTGCAGAGCTAGTGTGCCCGTCCCAAGAAGAGATTTCCTCACTTACAGTAACTTTCTACGGTGGATCCAATGCTACTCTAAACACTTTCCATCTCAACTTACAAACGAACCGTGACAACGACAAAAAGGAACCACAAACAAACATCTAGTTGGAGGTATTTTTTCTTTATGGTATTAATAGAGTGCTTATTCCTTCATATCATCATACAAGAAAGTGGTTCCGGACTTTCCGCAGTAATAACGATCGTGGTGTTGGGCCATGAAGCAGCCAATTCCGGCAACGGGACTGTATTTCCTCAAGCGGGTGACCTTTCCGTCTGCTTCGACTCTGTAGTACTTGAGTGATTGAAGAGGAATGGCCTTGTGGACGCGCTTCACCTTCTTTGGCTTGGAGTAGACCTTCTTTTTGCGCTTCTTACCTCCACCTCTCAAACGGAGGACCAAGTGAAGGGTGGACTCCTTTTGGATGTTGTAATCGGAAAGAGTGCGGCCATCTTCCAATTGCTTTCCGGCGAAGATAAGACGTTGCTGATCAGGAGGGATTCCTTCCTTGTCTTGGATCTTGGTCTTAACATTATCGATAGTGTCAGAGGGTTCGACATCCAATGTGATGGTCTTGCCTGAAGAAATCAAGTAAAAAAGACAAGAAAAAGGGAGTCAGCATCATGATTAAAAATGATTCAACAAAGTAAATGACAGTCAGGTGAATGTAGTTCGTAGATTGCATATTGTGCGTTTGCAGTGACTTTGGGTTTTGTTTCAGCAAGGTACTATGGCGTCATATCGCCTTCCAATGGTAGCCATTCTCTAGCGTGGTCCAAACAACCCAGCACTGCTGACACCAATCTACATCCTCCACAATACTACAGCCTACTCGTCATCTACATAATGGACTTGGGATTCACTCACCCGTGAGGGTCTTGACAAAGATTTGCATGCTGTCAAAGGTTGTTTGAGAAATACAAACACACGTCGGCTGAAGCTGTTGTTGCCTCGTACAGGAAGGTGTGGGCGACGATGGATGGCTTACCGCCGATACTATTTTGTTGTCTGATTGTTTGAACGGATGGTTCTCGTATGAATCTGCGCAAAACACTGTCTGTCTGTGCCAAGGAATCGCGGCTGGCGGACGAACAGAAGAACGGCAGAATTCGTTAGAGATGATTCTTTAGACTTGAACCAAAAGTAAGACTCGTAGGATTGCTACTTGTACTGGAGAATCTGGCGATGGACAGGTAGCGAAATTTGTAGCAATCGCGAATCAAAGTGACTTCAATCGTGGCTTTCGTTCGATGAGTTCGTTTTGACATCCGAATGCAAAAACCACATTGGTGACATGTAACCAAGTGATCAATCACATATCCGAGTGAAAGGTTCGAGGTGTCGTGGTTACGAACTTCAGACTTGGCAAAGACAATTTGAACTTTTGCTCTTCAGCACAAATCCGAAACCTTTTGCTTTCCCAAACATTGGCAAATCAACAAGGACAACAAGGACAACAAGCACCGAATCTTGCTTCATAAATTGGAATCAGCGATTACTATCAGCTAACATGCCAGCCCTTCGTCAAGACCGTCTAGCTGAAGCTAATTTGGTGACCAGCTTGCCTTCGAATCAATTGCAACATGAAGAGAATTCGAAAGGTGTTCTTAGAAAGTCCTCACAAACTGATCATGCTTCTTCGTCGATGGAAGATTCATCATCATCAGTTTCCACCTGCAACGAGAATCTACCGAAAAGTGAAAGAAGGGACAAGAGAACAACGACATCAGCACCAAAACCAATAACTAGCAACTCTACTACTAGAACCCAATCAACAACTTCGAGGAAAAGGACTCGACCTATCAATCATGCCAACATTGCATCCAGATGGCTTTACAAAATTTGGTTCAAACTTACGCTGCCAGTCGTGGTTGTGTCCTTTGCGCTGACAAGATCTATACCAGTCTTGTTCTTTGCTGCAATTCTTCCAATTACTGTTGCCATGATGCAAGGCTTTGCCCGAATGATCAACTACCGACTATTTTATGCCAATGCCCCAGTGCCGAGGGCGCCTTCTCATGGAGTTGTCAAGTGCACCAGGCTGAAGCACGAATCATCATTCAACAATCCTTCTCCCATTGCAGCATCTGATGATGATGAGATGGAACGCCCACTTCGGCTTTTGCTCATCGGAGATTCCTTGGCGGTGGGTGTTGGACAGTCCTCGTCTTGTACACCAATCATGCCAGATGTCATTGCCAAGGAATTGAGTAAGGAACTAGGTGGAAGGACAGTCATGTGGACTTGCCACGGAACACCTGGAGCCTCCACTGGTTGGATCATTCGTGAATTGGAAAAGTCCATGAAGAATGGAGTCTTTCAACTACCATTAAAGGACAAGAAGAAGAAAGACAAGTTTCAACACTATTCCACCATGGACGATGATGATGATGATGTCACGTTGGGTTGCTGTCCCACTGCTTCCGATGATTCTTCTTGCGATTCTACTGGTTCACTGTTGTACCATCTAGACGAAGACTTGCAAGCATGGCAACGCCGATTAAAGCAGCAGCGCATTGATTTCGATCCCGAATCACTAGCTACCTTTGACATTGCGGTAGTTTTGACTGGATCGAACGATTTGAAGAATGCTTGCTTTCCATTCTTGAAGAAGGAAGAAGATTCCGATGGCGTATCGACACAAGCTAGTGACTATGGTAAGGAACTCCAGCGTTTGCTAATGACCCTGAATGGGAGAATGCACCGCCAAATTCAAACCATTCAAGAATCAGTCCGAGTTGCCAAAGAAAAAGTCCGAGAATCGGTGGATACAGTTGTAGTCCGTACTCTGGGACGTGACTCTTCTCTTCGAAATATAAGCTCTGGTTCTCAGTTGGACAAGATCGAGGAAGATGATATGCATTCCGTTTCATGCTCCACTTCGGAGGATGAACAGTCCTCTTTGGAAACTAACAACGAGACCACACGATTGCTCCAAATGGAAGAAGCATCCGAACCAACTACTCGTCGGCAATCCTTCTTTCCTATGGTGGTTCTCCCTGGAATGCCCGCTAGCTCACTGCCAGCCTTTGATGCCTTTCCACTACGGCATCTGGCACATCCAATGGTAGCAATCATGGATGGCCACAAGCGCAACATTTCCAATGCGCACGATGGTGAAGTCCTTTTCGTTGATCCACCGTCAAAGGAGGCCCTTTCCGAGTACTCTGCGAAGAAAGGTTTCTACTGGCGACAACAAGTCGACGACAATGTCCTGTTGAATGCATCTGATATCTCGCAGAGAAGGAAGGAAGCCATGGAAAATGACATGAAGGAATACTACGAAGAATATCAGACTACCTTTGAATGTCATCCTCCCAAAGCGTACAATCACTTTTCTGCATTTTCTGCCGACGGCATTCATCCCAATAACAGTGGCTACAACTTTTGGGGAAGATACATTGGAAATGCAATTGTGGAGGAGTGGAGAAGAAAACAAGGAATAGAAACCATTCGAGTGGTTTGATTATGATTCGTAGGAAGAACTTGAAGACTATAAATAGAAGAAATCGTTCAAGAAAACACAAGCATCTTTTATGTTAATAAGTTATGCAATAACGTTCTAATTTGTCTACTTTATACAACAAAATCTCCCAAAGACAGCCTAGGCTCAGGTCATTTATGCAGCTTCTTCCATAGCCTTGGACCTTTCTTCGAGGACTCTCTTGTAGTCATGTGGGAAGACCTTCACGAATTGCTTGCTTCTTTCGTCCCAGTTCTCTAGCATCTCTTGCCCAACACCGCTTCTCGTAGCAGCAACGTGCTCTTGAATGTATTCAAAGACTTCTTGCTTCTCGGCCTCGGTGTCGATGGTTTCCAAGCCAACAAGCCCCATGTTGCATCTTGTGGGGAACTTGTTGTCGGGATCGTAAATGTAAGCAATACCTCCACTCATTCCGGCGGCAAAGTTGCGGCCAGTTTCACCCAAGCATACCATGACTCCACCAGTCATGTATTCGCAACCATGATCTCCAACTCCTTCGACAACGGCAAGAGCTCCAGAGTTTCGAACGCAGAAACGCTCACCAGCCTTTCCACTGAAGAATGCCTTTCCAGAGGTGGCGCCATACAAGCAGACGTTTCCAACAACAACATGGTCTTCTGGCTTGAATCCGTCCTTGATAACTTCTGGTGATGGGGCAACAGAGATCTTTCCTCCAGAGAGACCCTTTCCGGTGTAATCGTTAGCATCTCCTTCAACATTCATGGTGATACCCTTAGCAAGGGTGAAACCAAATGATTGACCGGCATGACCCTTGAGGTTCACAGTAATGGTGTCATCTGGAAGACCTTCTCCACCGTGACGCTTGGAGACCTCATACGAAAGCATGGTTCCGAGGGTACGGTCAAGGTTGTTTACCACATCTTCAATGACAACAGGAGTCTTGTTCTCGAGGGCATCCTTGGCTCTTACAATCAAGGAGTTGTCGATTTTCTTATCGAGTCCATGGTCTTGGCCGGTGGTGTTGAAGATACCAGCAGAAGGATTCAACTCTTGAGCAGGTGTCAAAAGTGGGCTCAAGTCCAACCCACGGCTCTTGTAGTGTTGGCCCTTTCGGTTCACTTCGAGATGTTGTGTTTGGCCAATCATCTCTTCCATTGTTCTGTATCCAAGCTTGGCCATAATCTCACGAACTTCCTCAGCAACGAAGAACAAATAGTTGACAACGTGCTCTGGTTGACCAGTAAACTTCTTTCGGAGTTCTTCGTCTTGAGTAGCAATACCAACGGGGCAGGTATTCAAATGGCACTTTCGCATCATGATGCATCCCATGGTAATCAATGGGGCAGTAGCGAAACCATATTCTTCAGCTCCAAGAAGACATGCAATGGCGACATCGCGTCCAGTCTTGAGTTGACCATCAGTTTGCAACTTGATACGGTCACGAAGTCCATTGAGAACAAGAGTTTGCTGAGTCTCGGCAAGACCAAGTTCCCATGGAAGTCCACATCCCTTGACTCCAGTCCAGGCAGCTGCTCCTGTACCACCATCGTGTCCACTGACAAGGATGTGGTCAGAGAAAGCCTTGGCAACACCAGCAGCGACAACACCGACACCAACTTCAGAGACAAGCTTGGTAGAAACTTCTCCATGTGGTTGTGCGTTCTTCAAATCATGAATTAGTTGAGCAAGATCCTCAATCGAGTAAATGTCGTGATGGGGAGGTGGGGAAATCAAACCAACGCCAGGGGTAGTGTGACGGTTCTTGGCAATGTACTGGGAAACCTTGAATCCAGGAAGTTCTCCTCCTTCTCCGGGCTTTGCTCCTTGTGCCATCTTGATTTGAATTTGGTCACTGTTCGCAAGGTATTCAGAAGTGACACCAAAACGACCAGAGGCCACTTGCTTGATACTGGATCGACGGTTGTCCTTGAATCTCAGGGGATCTTCACCACCTTCTCCAGTGTTGGAACGTCCTCCGATTTGATTCATGGCAACTGCCAAAGTTTCGTGAGCTTCTTGACTGATAGAACCAAGAGACATGGCTCCAGTGGCAAATCGCCTCACAATCTCGCTCACAGGTTCAACTTCCTCGAGAGGAATGCCCTTGGAGGGATCAAACTGGAACTTGAGCTGTCCACGAAGAGTGACCTTTTGGTTTTGTTCGTTGGTGATTCTGGAGAATTCCCTGTAGGCATCTCGAGAATTGGTTCGGGCAGCGACCTGAAGGTTCACCATGCCACCAGGAGTATTCAAGTGAGCTTCGCCACCATCTCTCCAGTGGAATTGACCATCACTACGAACCAAGATATCGTCTTCTTGAGAATGGCGGGGGAAAGCATCATCGTGGAATCGTTCCATATCACGGTACAATGCTTCAAAGTCGGTACCTTGAATTCTGGTGGTAGTACCAGTGAAGCATCGATCGACAACTTCTTCGGCCAAACCAACAGCTTCAAAGACTTGAGCACCCTTGTAACTTTGAAGTGTGGAGATACCCATCTTGCTCATAACCTTGAGAAGACCCTTGGCAGCAGCCTTGCGGTAGTTGGTCATGAGCTCGTCATCGGTGAACTCGCGCTTAGCCGTGGCTTCAACCATACCATCAGCATTCATCTTGCACATGGCTTCGTAGGCCATGTACGGGCAAACTCCATCGCAACCATATCCAAAAATAGTGGCAAAATCATGGACTTCCTTACAGTCACCAACTTCGGCAAAGATGGCAGCTTTGGGGCGTTGCTTGGTACCAATCAAGTGATGGTGGACAGCACCAACAGCTACCAAAGAAGGCAATGCCATGCGGTCAGGTCCAGCAAACTTATCAGAAAGAATGATACCTTGAACTCCCTTCTTTCCATGGGCGGGACCTTGAATGGCTTCAGCAGCCTGGTCACAAATGCGTTCGAGAGCCTATAATCAATAATGATTATTATTATTGGAAACAAGCAAGTGCACACGTTAGTCGCCGGCTGCAAAAGGATATTTTCCACACTCTCTCACACACACTAAAGCAAACTTACCGCCAACATGCCATCGACACCAGCATCCACAGGGAAAGTAGTATCAATCACGGTAGTCTTGAATCCTGGTCCACCAGTAGTAGCCTTGAATTCGTCGTTCTTGAGAGTAGCCATTTCCTCCAAGGACAAGACCGGTGACTTGACGACCAATCGTTGACAGTGTGTCTCGTTAGGGTCATCCAAGAGGTTTCCTTCAGGTCCAACAGGACAGACCAAACTCATGACAATTTCCTCACGAATGGGATCAATTGGAGGGTTGGTCACTTGAGCAAAGAGTTGCTTGAAGTAATCATTCACTTGACGAGGATGTTCCGACAAGACGGCCAAGGCAGCATCATTTCCCATACTTCCAAGTGGTTCCTTACCACCGACAGCCATGGGCAACAAGAGCATCTCCAATTTCTCGCTCGAGTATCCAAACAAGTTGAGCTTGCGGTTGGTCACAGCAAAGTCCATGGGCTCGCGAGCAGTTCCAGAGGCGGCAGTCCATTTTTCCAAATCAATCATGTGATTCTCAATCCAGTCTCCATAGGGCTTGAGGGCAGCAATCTGTTCCTTGATTTCATCATCTGGAACAATGCGTTGAGTTTCAAAGTCAACCAAGAACATCTTTCCTGGTTCCAAACGATGCTTGATAGTGACTTCCGAATCAGGAAGTTCAGGGCAGACTCCAATCTCAGAGGAAAGAACCACGTGATCATCCTTGGTAACATAGTATCTGGATGGTCGTAGACCGTTACGATCCAAAGTGGCACCAATGTACCGAGAATCAGTAAAGGCAACCATGGCAGGTCCATCCCAAGGTTCCATGACACAAGAGTTGAACTCGTAAAACGCCTTTTTGGCTTCGGACAAGTTGTCGTTATCTTGCCATGCCTCTGGAATCATCATCATGACGGCTTCTGGAAGAGATCGAGAAGATGCCTTGGTCATGAGTTCCAAGACGGAATCAAAGTTTCCAGAGTCACTCATGTTGTCCGAAGTAGCTGGCAATAGATGGGTGGTATCGTCCCCAAATTCGGGCGATTCCATGATTCCACCTCGAGAATACATCCAATTCTTGTTTCCTCTAAGAGTATTGATTTCTCCATTGTGACACATCATGCGAATGGGTTGGGCACGTTCCCACGAAGGAAAGGTGTTGGTAGAGAAACGAGAATGGACCAGAGCAAGATGACTGAGAAAGTCTGGGTCTTGCAAATCCAGGTAATACTGGCTGACTTGTTCCGGTGTCAATTGTCCCTTGTAGGTAATGTGGGTGGTGGTCAAGGAGTTGACATAGAATCCAGATTCGGGACCCAACATTTCTTGGACTTCCGTTTCGGCCATTTTGCGGACCAACAACAAGTCTTGTTCAAAGGCACGTTGATCTTGGGCCTTATCCATGGTCACAAAGAGTTGTTCGGTGATGGGTTCGGAGTTCAAAGGTTCCTTTCCGAGCATGGAATTGTCCACGGGCACAGGACGCCATCCTAGGACATTGACGCCACGTTCCTTGGCGAGACGTGTGACAATGGCTTTGCAATCGCCCATAATGGATCGAGTGTCACTGGCGGGTGGGAAAAATATATTGGCGACGGCATACTTTCCCATTTCGGGAAGGTCCACACCAAAGTTCTCTTTGGCCTTCAAGCGCATAAAGCTGTCGGGCATCCCAAAGAGCATACCTGAGGATTGGAAGCAGCAGAAGAAGATACAGGGGTGAGAATGAGTCGTATGACCAACGGAACGGAACGAAATCCCAATTGCCATTCTATTGCGGAACCGTAACGTGGGATGCAACCGTAGAAAGTAACAAAGAACTTACCAGCACCATCTCCCGAAGCTGGATCACAACCACATCCTCCGCGATGGCTCATACGGACAAGCATCTCGTCAGCAACATCGACGACATGTCTAGAAGGCTTTGACTTAAGATTCGCAATCAAACCGACACCGCAGTTATCCTTTTCATCCTTGGCGTCGTACAAGATTCTTTGTTTGGACAAATCAATCTTGGAATCTCTAGACTTCAAAATTTGTTCGGTCGAGTAAGGCAAGACACTTGGAAGTCTCTTTAGACTGTTACCAAGTGGCCGAGATGCCGCCCTTCGGAATGACTTGTGAGCCACGGAAGTTTGGGATCTTCTTGCCAAAAATCGGCGGTTGACCCGAAGGCCTTGTCGAGTCAATGCTCGTGATGAAAGCATGCTTTCTTCTTCTCTATCAGCAGTGGTGTTGAAAGAGGGTCGTTCTCAGGTTGGCTAGGAAGTGGCCAGTTTATATTATTTCCTGGGATGTATAATGAACAACCTTGAGGATTGGTTGGAAATGCAAAATTCGCTGAAGCAAAGAAAGCGAAGAAAGATCTTCCCAATCTGCCGACTGACTGATCTTCTGTGGTGGCTTGGGGAAGTTTTGTAGACTTGTACCAGACACAGTCATCGGCGCGTCCGCCCGTCTCGGCGAAGCGAATTCTTTTCTCTGCAAGTTCTGTTTCGACGGGTGATGGCCAGACGGTCACAGGAAACAAAAAGATTTGGTTTGACTCACGTGACACAAATTGAAAATCGCGTTGTCAATGGTTCCCACCTTTTCGTTTCTCGACACAGAAATCACAACAACATTCCTTGATTGCAACATTGTACTCCATTCCCAAGACAACTTTCTGTATCCTTACCAGGAGATATACGGGAATCATGTTACGCTCTTTCCTTCTATCATTCGTCTTACTACTATGGACAAGATTGCATCATGCTCATGCGGCTTTGAAGAATAATAATCTGTCAGAATCTACCATGAACAAAATTCAGTCGGGCAAACCACTCACTCGAAAAGAACAAAAGGAAGTCGAACAAGCGGAACTAGAAAAGTACCAGGAACTGCGCCGACAGGGATACGACGAAGTCAGCAATACAAAAGAATCCACAGCCCTCCGCAATTATAGATTGCGAAAACGCAAACGAATTGGACTCTTTTTTCACAAGAAACGTCAAGCCAGCTTGTCGCAAGTCATCTTTCCTGGCAGCACACCCACCAACTACAATTCTTCTTTATTTGCCGTGAGCAATTTGATATTGTCGAGAAGGAGCTTAGAAGCCTATGATATATCCATGCATCCTGCCTTTCAAGGCCTCCGACATGCGCCCTTCAAAGACACCAATTTGGGTGCCAAATTGGAAGGTTACTCGGAAGCCTACAAGAGACTGGACATGATTGAGTTCAATGTCAAGCAAGATGTGCCGTGTACTGTTGTGGCTACCACAGAATTGCCCGTTCAGAAAATAAAGTTTTTGCGGCAGCTTGTACAAAAAAGATATCGCATGCATTTGTCGCTAGATAAGTTGCCAATGTTGATGCGAAGCCGGGAATTGAATTATGCCGTCAAGGGAATGCCGGTTGGTTTTGAAGCGCCGCAACAATATGCTATAAATCGCTATCCAGAAAATCTATTCTTGTACAATCATTGGAGGTTTACCGTGACCTATCACGAGGATCCCTCCTTGTTTGAAGGCGTCCGCATTACGGGGTTTGACGTTCATCCCGTTTCGATTGCCCACAATCTACCAGAATCATGTTCTGGAAATCAAGTCGAGAATAATCCCGACACCTACTTGAGTTTGCCCGATTCGGGCACACCCAAAACTGTGACCTTTTCCTACCAAATTGATTGGGTACAAAGCGAATTGATATGGGACGATCGATGGGATGTCTACTTTTTGGGATTGCCGGATGTGGCCATTCATTACTATAGCATGCTCAACTCGGTGATTTGCATGGTCGTACTAGCGGCTGTCATTGCGACGGCATTGATTCGGGTCTTTCGCAAGGATTTGGCAGGAGGGACCAAGAAAGACAATGGGTGGAAGCACCTCAGGGGAGACGTCTTTCGGAAACCAGAATCACCCATGCTGCTTTCCATCATGGTGGGAAATGGGGCGCATATTCTTGTGGCTTCTTTGATAACCATGATTTTGAATATCTGTCATGTCATCAATACCATGGTGACAGGAGATGCTTTGACGGGATTTGTGTTTGTCTACGCCTTAACAAGCAGTCTTGGTGGGTACGTTAGTGCTCGCTTGTACAAACTCTGCGGTGGACAAAATTTAAAAAGAAATGCCCTTTTGACATCGACGGTACTCTCGGGAAGCATGGTGCTAGTCTTTTGTCTCTTTAACATGGCATCGGATGCAATTGGATCCAGTTGTTCCGATAGTCTCAGCGTGGCGGAATTGATTCTATTGTGGGGTTGCATTTCAGTCAATCTCTGCTATTTGGGTGCACAATTGGGCGAGAGGGCTCCCTGCATTGAAATGCCTGCCAATGCGGAAACCAACGATACTGTCCGGCCCATTCCAAATTCCCGATGGATGAAATACAAGAAACTCAGTGTCTTGATTTGTGGAATGATTTGCTTTGGCGTGCTCTATGTGGAATTGCATTTCCTAATGACGGCCATTTGGTTGAATGTGACGTATCTCGGATTGGGATACATGTTGACCGTAACTTTGATGGTAACAGTCATATGTGCCGAATGCACCCTTTGCGTGTGCTACTATCAGCTCAATTCGGAAGATCATGAATGGTGGTGGACAGCCTTTTGGAATGGTGCTTCGGTAGGTGGTTACATTGGATTATTTGCCTTGAATTACCGATTCCAATCGCTGGAATTGGTTGGGTTCTACTCCAACTTGGCCTATTTTACCTGCATGTTCCTTGCAACAGTTTGCATTGGGATGGTTTGTGGGTCCATTGGATTCCTGTCGTGCCTGTGGTTCACGAGAACCATGTACAGCGCCATTAATTCGGATGATACTGTTGATGAGGACGACGAAGAGATCTCGCTTTTAAAGGACCCTTCTTCCGAGTATTCAGATGATTCTACTACCGATGCCGATGACTCGCAGTGAGAATGCTACATCATCCTCTTGCGCACAGAGGGTGCATTGTGATTTTCAGCCTCAATGCATCTACCTGGTTATTCAATTCTAAAGCGCAAGTCTACAATATATCGTAGCATAATTAATATAAAGTGTGACAATAGCTGTCAAATTAAAAGTTTAGATTACTTATTCTCGCTACTATTGCCATTGCTATTGTTGTTGCTATTGAGAATCATGGTTTCCAATTGTTGTTTCTTGATTCGAAGTTCTTCCAATCGCGACAATGGTCTCACTGGCATGGCTCCCCTGACGTCCATGTAATCCTTGGGGGTTCGATCCTTGCGTCTGATGTTGACACTCCGAATCTTGCACACCTCGGTATTGTCTTGCGCCAACGTAACCGTCACGGCATAGCGATCTTCCTTGGAAAAGTACCGTCCCACGACTCCATACTTGCCATTCAAATCGGCCCGTCCCTTGAGACCAACCACTTCGCATCGTCGACCACCCAATGGCGTCTTGACCAAAAAAGCTAATTCCTTGTGAGCGTCATTGGAATTCTTGTTGGACGTCAAAAAGTCTCGAAGGTTGGGGGCAATCTCGGCTCCCCACTCGAGTAAGGTTTTGGCCATTTGGAGGGGCTTATTTTGTTCGAGTCCGTGTTGATTGTGATTGTCGTCGGAGGAATTCAAACAGGCGTGAAACAAGGGTGACGCGCCCACCGAATCGGCCTTGTTTTGATTGGCACCCAATTGCAAGAGTCTCGTCAAAGCCTCCAAGTGACCACCGAAACAAGCTCCATGCAATAAGGTGCCACCCGTAAAGTCGGGTGCGGTCGCATTGAGCTTGGCGTAAAACTTGTCGTCGTAAATGCCATTGTAAATGTCGACGCCCAACCATTTGTCTACAGTGACCATGTCGTTTTCCATGGCCGCCATGAAGATTTCTCCTGGCAATTCTATCGAGTTGTCGCCTTTCGCCGCTAGCTGTTCTTTCAATAAAACATCGATGTCTCCGTATGTGGCTTCAAAGGCAGCAATGTCTTGCTGGGTCTGGGCCACACAAATTTCATAAAAGGTTTTCAAAAACGGTTGATGTTTGTCTTCAGGCAACTTTCGAAATTGATCAATTTGTTCCTTGGAGAAGAGTCCCGAAAAGATGGATTGATCGTATTCCTCTTCTCCGGGTAGTTTGGGGACTTCCAACAATACGGCTTTATTGTCGGGATCGTCATCCGATACCGAAGCCGCAGCAGCATTCAAATCTTGTTGTAATTTGTCTAGTTTCATGCGATGCAATTGCAAACTGGCCATGGCATCCTTGGAGGGTGGAACTCCTTTTTGATAACAAACGGGACATGCCTTTTTCAAGGAATCATAATTGGGAATTCCAAAGGGATTGTCATTCCGCCATTCGTTCAAGGCACTGGCGTAATACTTGTGGGCGCATCCCATGGTAATGACTGGATCGTGATGCTGATTATTAGGCGAGTCGTCCTTCTTTTCTTCTCCTTCTTTGGGCAAGGGACGTTTGGAAAGCAAACATTCCGTTTGAGGACCTTGTTGCGGCGGAGCACTATTGGACGACGAGGATGTTATGTGTTCCAACAAATCATTGGCGGATGGCATTTTTGTTTTTGTTTTTGCTTTTGCTTGGCTGCTTTTAATAAAAAGACGGTACGACACCAATGAGGAGGAGGTTGTTGGGATACCTACTGTTGCTACTGTGTGAATAAATGAATGAACAAATGAATGACAATGCACACACAACAACATGCACCGTTTCACCTTCTCGGAAGCAAGCTTTCGTCATCCGGTTTTCATTCTTTCTTCTATTCGTCTGACGAAGGACAGACACCATCACCGAACGTAAACATCAGAAAGTCATTGGATCACTCACCTCAACATCGACAATATATATCATCATCATCATCATCATCATCATCATCATCATCATCATCATCGTCATCACCCGAATAGCGCCCCATATCACGAGATATTACAGCCAACCTATCCAAACTGCTCTCCTCATCATCATACGCCATATATCAGCATATATCATCACCATACTGTAAAAAGACGATACATTTTCCAATCCAATCCAATCCAATCCAATCATAGTCAATCATGAGCAAAAAACGAGATCGATGGGATTCTTCTTCCAGTTCGGAAGAAGAAAAGGAAGAAGCGACACCAAAACCTCTCGCTGCCAGTAAAAATAATTCTGCTACCAAAGCTACCACCACCACCACCAGCAGCAACAAGTTTCCATTGCACAATCCACTCTTGCAAGGCTGTCGCAGCGTCTATGATACTTACGATCGGATCGACAAGGTGTCGGAAGGATCCTACGGGATTGTCTGGAAGGCGCGTGATTTGGCCACCCAAGAAATTGTCGCACTGAAACAAATCAAGTTTGAACAGCCCGAATTGATGGAACAGCAGGGATTTCCCTTGACGGCGTTGAGGGAAATATCGACGCTACTCCAACTCCAGCACGAATCCATTGTGGGCGTCAAGGAAATGGTGGTGGGGAGTGGCGATGACAAAGTATTCATGGTGATGGAATTTATGGAAAAGGACTTGCAACAAGCCATCAAAGATACACGGCAGTATCCCAATGTCTTGCGACAAGCAGAGTTAAAGGGCATTATGAAACAAATACTAGAGGGAGTCGCCTACATGCACGAACACTGGATGTTGCATCGTGACTTGAAGACGAGCAACATTTTGGTCCATTCCACCGGACGGGTCGCCTTGTGCGATTTGGGATTGGCGAGGCGGTATGAAGTACCGGCACAACCATTGACGTTGTTAGTAGTCACCTTGTGGTATCGGGCACCCGAATTGCTCATGGGCGAAACCAAATATGGACCACCCATTGATGTTTGGAGTTTGGGATGCATCTTTGGAGAATTGATATTGGCAGGAGAAGCCTTGATGCAAGGACAGGGGGAATTGGATCAATTGGACAAGCTATTTCAAATGGTGGGACTGCCCACAGAAGAGTCCTGGCCGGACTATGATCAATTGCCCCATGCCAGCATGTTTCGATGGAAAAAGCAGACTTCGAAAGATAACGACAATCGATCAGCACCATTGTTGGCCAAAAAGTTTCCAATCAATGCCCCACCACATTTCAAACAATCCTTCTTGGATGGAAATGGATACGATTTGCTATCCAAATTATTGGCGCTAGATCCCAAACAGCGGATTACAGCCAAGGAGGCATTGGCGCATCCATACTTTCATACCGGGGTGCCATCTGAATTGCCTGTTTTGTTTTGAAGAACGAAAAACAATCCAACAACAAGAAGAAGAAGGAAAAAGACGAAGCAAAATTTCCAGTTCCAACGGCAACGAATGAAAGAAACAATGTGCAAAATACAGTACACAAAATACAGGACACAAAGGATGACCATTGCGTTTGCCATAGCTTTAATGTGAAGAAAAGGGGTCACTACGGGATCGGAAGCTATTCTGCTGCTATCTAGAATTGGGCTATTGGGTCTTCCAAGGAGAGCTGCTGTAACAGTGGGTCGAGAAACTGCATCACGTTACACACCACTGCTTCCGATCGACACTGAAGGCGGCAGGTCTCGCGAGCTGTTATGGTGGTCAAGTCATGAGAGGAACCTGGTGGAATTGTAGACTCCAGTTTTTCTTCTGCTTTTGCCGTTACTTTTGGTTCAGGCTTACTAGGCTCGACCATCCGTTGCCACTGGGCCTTCCAAACAGCGGATTCCAATAGTGATACTGCTTCCATTCGTTCATATTTGTAAGCTAACGTCAAGATTTGATTGGCGCTATTTCGTCTTGTGGCTCTCGTCCCGTCCATTGGTAAATCATGAATACGTTGAAGAAACTCATTTCTCCATTGTTCACCCAAAAATCTGAGACGACATTGCAATCGCTCTGGTATAGCAACTTGCAAAATGTGTTCGATGGAAAAGTCATTCTCAATACTACTACTGCATTCCAATAGATATTGGAGGGGTTCTTTTCCCCACTTGTCCTTGACCAGCAAGTCACCAGGGAAAGCACAATACACCAAATTCCAGAGTGCACGATTTGGTTTGGCAGACAGGGCCAAAATGTGCAGTGGGGTCATGGATACATGATCTTGCGTGCTTGTCGTCGTCTTGGGTGCCACTTTGGTGTCCAGGTCGCCCTTGGTCCTAGAGTCACAATGGCACTTTATCAAACGTTCCATTTCTTCAACAATGCTGTTTGTTCCTCCTTCTGAATCCTCTTCTAGTGAAGACCAATGAGCCTGGTAGTAGCAAAGTCTGAGAATAGGTAGGTCTTGGTATCGGTTCTGAATTGAGATGGCTTTCTCCGCTTTCGGAGTCGACCATTCAATGTTTTCGTTCTCCAAGAATTCTGGATCAAAATCCAGGTCCAGGTCCAAATTAGGAATATTGTCGTCCTCTTTGCAAAGAAGCAAGGAATCTTGATCAAATACTCGATCATAACCCCCTTCCAACACGGTTCCAGGAGAAATACAAATATTCCTTAGGTTGGAACAACGACAAAAGGCTTCGACTCGAATCATTTTTAGTCCACTAGGGGGAAGCTCGATGGATTGCAATTGAAAACAATCCTTGAAACAATAGGCTCCAATATAGTTGACAGTGCAAGGAACGTAAATGCGTTGCAGTGAATGGCATTGCATAAAGACACTCCGACCCAAGAACTGCAATCCTTCTGGGAGATTGACCAAACACAAACTGTGACATCCATGAAATAGAAGATTTCCCAAAGTCTCGACAGTTGGTGGAATGATTATATGTGTCAACGAACGACAATGCTGAAAGGCAGCGTCCATAATGTCTTCTAGACCTTCGTTCAACTGAACCGTCTTCAATTTCATACACCCGGCCATGGCACCTGCTCGAATTTCTTTGGCGGAAAGCGGCAGCGCCAATTCTTGCAAGGACGTGCAGCCAAGGAATGCACTCTTTCCGATGACGCGGAATCCCATTGGAAACTCCACTGTTTCGAGGTGAGGCAATTTGCTGAGGGCCCAAACCGGCAAGACTTGGACGTGCACACGGACAGAAGTGACATTACGTGGAATGTCTTGTCGTTGAGTGTTCGAAGTGAAGACAACGAGGATGGTCTCCTCGTGATTGTTGTTGTCGTTGTCAGCCATTTTGATTAATATTGTGGTGGATGATTATTCCATTTGTCTCGTGGAAGCAACCCCACACACCACAAATGTCAGGATTTTGTCTCGTGTCATCATTTTATTCTCGTTTTTGGGACTTTGTCTGTTCGTCATCAGGCGGATGAAGAAATTTAGGTTTGGGTGCTCATGTAGGTACTGTAGGTACTGTAGGTACCAGTACTGGTACTGCATGACGAATAATAGTGTCGGTAGAAGAAGCCACTACTTTTTTCCACTCTTCAACCGCAAATATCGGAAAAGAGCGCCCACTTTCAACAGCGCCACATCATCGGTGACTGGAACCCACCTGTTGCCATCTTGCTTTAGAAATAGGCCTCCATTGCTCCTGACCGCTTCAACGATTTCATGGGCAACAGCCTTCTTTGCCCCTTTTTGCGCCCTTTCGTACTTCTTGAACCGATCTGCTACAAACTGTTGCAGTTTTTTGTTGCCATGGTGAATCTGAAATGGGGTACCCTTGCCCAACAAAACGTCCTCGCAAAATGGAACAGCAATCGAACTAGGAGTAGGATACTTCAAGCGCTCATTCCGCCGTTGTTGTTCGATTCTCTTGCGATCTTTAACAAGGTCAGTAATCTCGCCTTTGTTGTTCACAGGTATGCAAGATGGGTCGATTCCATGTCCACGTAATTCTTCAAAGCATTCGAGGATCGAGCCTATGAGAATAAAGAAAGCCAGGATTAGAATCACTACCCCGACTACTAGCCACACAGAAGTCACGTACCACGATGCACCCTACATCTAACTTGGTTTGGTTTGCTGAGTGCAGTCTTGATCACTGCAAGAAGACCTTCCCATGCTTTGTCAGTGTAACATAGATGAATAGCCGAAAGACACAAGGGAACTCCTTCATTGAGCTTTGGCAACTTCCAGATTAGGTCAGCATTATCCGAACTACCGCCCTTAATTTCATCCTGGTGGATACTGACAGCGACAAAGCCACGTCGTTGTTTCTCGACGTCACGACACACTGTCATGAAGTTATAAAAGGCCTTTCGAAGCTACAAACGCAAACGGTTGAATTGAGACGTCAACAAGGAATCGTAGCAATTGCAGCCACCAGTAGACTTCTATTCTTCTGAACTTACACATGTGTCGGTCCTGTACGTTTTCGGCACTTGAACAACCACATTGATAACTCTTCCCGCTTTGTCATACGCATTCAAGAATCTTCCATTAGAAATATAGAGACATTCCATGTCGTCCATGTCCAAATCATCTTGAGTAATGTCCTTTGTAAGCTTATCCTGACCAAACAAGTCCAATTTCATGTGGAAGTGTCGGACAAGTCGAAGCGCCGCCTTGTGACAATCAAACTTCTCGCATCGGAGAAACGCAAGTCGAAAGTCTCTATCCTGGGCATATTTTGGATTTATTCGTTCAGCAATGCTGTACGCTTTCTTGTCAGGTAAAATATTGATTTCACGTTGCAATCTCAACAAACTGTTGTCAATCAGTTCTGGAGTTTCAGCTATACAGTCGTCTGGTATCCCATGGACATCCATATACACCTTTTCTCGATCAGCGACTGACATCTTTGCCAGTTGAGATGCAATCAAGGAGTCGGCACTTTCGGGATCAGAAGCATTATGTGGCACTCGTCCTGAAAATATTTCTGCACTCTTGCTCTCATCCTCATCTAGCGTGCTATCATTGTCGGTAAACTCCTCCTCAATCAGAGAGAAATCATCCCACATAGAGTCATCCCACTGAAACTCATCCCACATTTTATACATATATCAGAATGCGGACCAGGTTGCTTCAAGAAAACTCTGTCGTGTTTAAAATACTGATGCAATTTCAATTCCTAAAATTTTTCATTTTAGTGAAACTTATTGTTCGTCATTTTGGTGATCGTCAGTCAGTCTTCCCTTTTTTATTATTAAAATACCTATTTTAATATTTTTAAAAATAAGAAAAAAAGGCAATAATATTATAATACCTATGACGCTATTAGTCCTATGAACGAAATCTATCATCCGAAAACATACAGTAGTAATAAAATGTGAGCGACGACCATTTTGGCATTGGTGGAGATAAGAGAGTCAAGGAACTCAGCCAAGGAACTAGCACATCCGTTGGAACTGCAAACTTTGCCCTACCCGGAGAAAAAAGCCATCCAAACATCATTTGAAGTCTCCCAGCAATATTGTTTGGCTTCCCCTAGCCCTGGTGCTGGCAAGAACTACCATGCTTTCGCGTTTGACCATGCCGTTAGCAAGCCATGCATCTTCTTCTTCCAGTACATTTAGGTATTCCAGCGGCAAGTTGCAGCGGCGGATGACAAATTACGTACTTAATTCGGCGAAGTCTAACTACTCTACTTTGTTCCATTCTTCAACCGCAAATATCGAAATAGAGCGCCCACTTTCAACAGCGCCACATCATCGGTGACTGGAACCCACCTGTTGCCATCTTGCTTTAGAAATAGGCCTCCATTGCTCCTGACCGCTTCAACGATTTCATGGGCAACAGCCTTCTTTGCCCCTTTTTGCGCCCTTTCGTACTTCTTGAACCGATCTGCTACAAACTGTTGCAGTTTTTTGTTGCCACGGTGGATCTGAAATGGGGTGCCCTTGCCCAACAAAACGTCTTCGCAAAATGGAACAGCAATCGTGCTAGGAGCTGGATATTTCAAGCGCTCCTGCCGCCGTTGTTGTTCTATTCTCTTATGATCTTTGATACGGTCAGTAATCTCGCCTTTGTTGTTCACAGGTATGCAAGATGGGTCGATTCCATAGCCACGTAGTTCTTCTAAACATTCGAGGATCGTACCTATGAATCAAAAGACCGAGTGAGACAGGATTCGAATCAAGTCGGCCCCTACTACTATTCTCGTAAAGAAAGAGAACGAAATCACGTACCACAACAATGCACCCGACATCTAACTTTGCTCTGCTTGTCGAGTGCAGTCTTGACCATTGCATTGTGTCCTTCCCATGCTTCCTTAGTGTAGCAAAGATGGATAGCCGAGACCCACAAGGGAATTGCTTGATTTTGCTTTGGCAACTTCCAGACAAGATCAGGATTATCTGCACTCGTGCCCTTGACTTCATTTCCAAACTGGATACTGACATTTACAAGGCCACGTCGTTGTATCTCTATGTCACGGTATGCTGTCATTGTGATATAAAACGCTTTCCGCAGCTATAAACGGTTGAATTGAGACAAAGTTTCGTAGCATATCGAAGATACACTTTCTTGATTTCTGAACTTACACATGAATCGGTCTTGTACGTTTTCTTCACCATAACAATAATATTGATGCGTCTTCCGGCCTTATCATGCACGTTCAAGAATCTACCATTGGAAAGGTGAAGAATTTCCATTTCATCCACATCCAAATCATCTTGAGTAATGTCTCTTACAAGCTTATCCTCGCCAAACAAGTCCAATTTCATTTGAAAGTGACGGACAAACCGTAGTGCTGCCTTGTGACAGTCAAACTTCTCGCATCGAAGAAACGCAAGTCGAAACTCTCTATCGTGTGTATATTTTGGATTTAGTCGTTCAGCAATGTTGTATGCTTTCTTGTCGGGTAGAATATCGATCTCGTGTTGTAATCCCCACAAACTGTTGTGGATTAGTTCTGAAGTCTCCTCTACACAGTCGTCTGGTATCCCATGGACGTCATTGTACACCTTTTCTCGATCAGCGACTGATAGTTTTGCCATTTGAGACGCAATCAAGGAGTCGGCACTTTCGGGATCAGAAGCATTGTGTGGAACTGGTCCTGAAAATACTTGTGCTCTCTTGCTCTCATCCTCATCTGGCGTGGTGTCAGTGTCAGGAACATCCTCCTTCGTCAGAAAGCAATCATCCCACAGAAATTTATCCCACAGAGAGTCATCCAACATTTTTAGCCATATCAATGAATGAGGATGCTTGAAGAGATCTTCGTCTTTCCTTTTTTTCTTTCTTTCAGATTTAGTCACTGCGCTCGCTCAGGTTGCTCATTTTCGAATTTGATTCTCCAATACCGGTAACGAACATGGACGGACTGGACAAAGAAGTGGTCGAACCTCTTCACTCTGTTTCAATAAATTTACTCTGTCGGGCGACCGTCTCCGCAGTAATTCACAATACTATGCACCAAGTCGGAATTCGGCAAACCGGCTCTTCCGCTTCATCCTCGTCATTGGGTTACGACCGTGACAACATTGGGTTACGACCGTGACATCAAAAAGACAAATAGATCAAGACAAATTTATTTGACGAATATCATAGATGAAACAAATTGAAAAAGCTTTAGTCTACACCATTGATTACTATTATCTTTATCCTCTCCTCTCCTTCTCCTTACTGCTGTCATTGCATTAGCGACTGAGAATACTCGTATGCATATTGTTCATGACAGGGTAACCGCAGCACGTTTCCCTCTACCTAAATATCGCTGGACTAGTGTTTTCACGATGTTCGACTCGTTACAAGCTGTTCGGGCTTTCCAAAAAAGTTTGAAGTGTTGATGACGAGATTCGAGTGTTTGGGAAATCGTTTCGGATCTCTAATTCGAGTGTTTCGATTGAAATTCGAGTGTTTAGGATGTGTTTGACTTTGATGTAGGCGCGGGGGCAAAACTTGCGGCGGGTCCCGTAGAATGTGAAATGATTCATTCTTTCTGCCGCCGCCGAATGTTTAGTCGGCAAACTGGCGGTCACAAAATCCCATCACATCGAACCTGTGTGCAAGAACAGTATACTGACAGAAACATAGAGTTGTTTCTTTCTTTCCCATCCCACCACACCCTGTTGGGCTGTTAAGGCCTGGCAGACAAGCAAGTCAGATTACACAAACGCTTCGAGCGCAACAGCTTCAGATCTCGTGAAACGTGAATCAGAGACTGGTCCTTTGGGTCGTACGATCTGCGCTCAATCCAAAGACCATAGCTTCACGCCACAACCCACAACCCACAACCAGTCATTCCAAGAAGAGTCCCTCACGGAAGAAACAAGTTGGAGGGCGCCAGTAGGCTATTGTAGTTCATTCATTCTGTCGATGTCGATGACCAGTCCGTCTGCAATAATGTAAGAGTCAGGGGTCAGAAGGCCCGAGGCCAGAGTCAGTCCCAAAAATTGATCACAAATACACAAACGTCGAATATTACTTCTGAGTAGATAATAATAGTACCAGGTAGTATCGGTTAATGATGTATTAGACAGAGGTATGAATTGTGTTTCGACAAAAAATCTTCTTAACCGACCAACTCCACTTCCACACAAAAGCCCTTCAATGATGGAGATCTGCAAGTCAAGGAGCCGAGCCAAGGGGCTACTAGCACATCCGTTGGAACTCCAAACTTTCCCCTACTCTGAGAAATCAGTCATCCAAGCATCACTGGAAGTCCACCAGCAATATAGTCCGGCTTCCCCTTATGCTGGTGTTGGAAATATCATCTGTTTGTGTTCGATGATGCCGTGAGCATGCCATGCATCTTCTTCTTAGAGAAGTAATATTAATGGCTGTTCCAACGGTAATATACAGGGACGAATGGTGAAATTTCTCCCTGCGGTGCATGTAGTGTATGGAGTTCGGCACAATAGCCACTACTCTACTTTGTTCCATTCTTTATCCGCAAATATCGAAATAGAGCGCCCACTTTCAATAGCGCCACATCATCGGTGACTGGAACCCACCTGTTGCCATCTTGCTTTAGAAATAGGCCTCCATTGCTCCTGACCGCTTCAACGATTTCATGGGCAACAGCCTTCTTTGCCCCTTTTTGCGCCCTTTCGTACTTCTTGAACCGATCTGCTACAAACTGTTGCAGTTTTTTGTTGCCACGGTGGATCTGAAATGGGGTGCCCTTGCCCAACAAAACGTCTTCGCAAAATGGAACAGCAATCGTGCTAGGAGCTGGATATTTCAAGCGCTCCTGCCGCCGTTGTTGTTCTATTCTCTTATGATCTTTGATACGGTCAGTAATCTCGCCTTTGTTGTTCACAGGTATGCAAGATGGGTCGATTCCATAGCCACGTAGTTCTTCTAAACATTCGAGGATCGTACCTATGAATCAAAAGACCGAGTGAGACAGGATTCGAATCAAGTCGGCCCCTACTACTATTCTCGTAAAGAAAGAGAACGAAATCACGTACCACAACAATGCACCCGACATCTAACTTTGCTCTGCTTGTCGAGTGCAGTCTTGACCATTGCATTGTGTCCTTCCCATGCTTCCTTAGTGTAGCAAAGATGGATAGCCGAGACCCACAAGGGAATTGCTTGATTTTGCTTTGGCAACTTCCAGACAAGATCAGGATTATCTGCACTCGTGCCCTTGACTTCATTTCCAAACTGGATACTGACATTTACAAGGCCACGTCGTTGTATCTCTATGTCACGGTATGCTGTCATTGAGCTATAAAAGTGCTTACGGAGCTACCGTACAAAAGGTTGAATTGAGACGCCACAAAGTATCGCAGCAAATGGAAGCACCGGTAAACTTTTAGACTTCTGAACTTACACATGTGTCTGTCCTGTACGTTTTCTTCACCATAACGATTACATTGATGCGTCTTCCAGCCTTATCATGCGAGTTCAAGAATCTTCCATTTGAAAGATGGAGAATTTCCATTTCATCCACATCCAAATCATCTTGAGTAATGTCTTTTACAAGCTTATCTTCGCCAAACAAGTCCAATTTCATTTGAAAGTGACGGACAAACCGTAGTGCTGCCTTGTGACAGTCAAACTTTTCGCATCGAAGAAACGCAAGTCGAAACTCTCTATCGTGTGTATATTTTGGATTTAGTCGTTCAGCAATGTTGTATGCTTTCTTGTCGGGTAGAACATCGATCTCGTGTTGCAATACCCGCAAACCTTTCTGAATTAGTTCTGGAGTTTCATCTACACAGTCGTCTGGTATCCCATGGACGTCATTGTACACCTTTTCTCGATCAGCGACTGATAGTTTCGCCATTTGAGATGCAATCAAGGAATCAGCATTTTCGGGATCAGAAGCATTTTGTGGAACTGGTCCTGAAAATACTTGTGCTCTCTTGCTCTCATCCTCATTTGGTGTGCTGTCGGTGTCAGTAGCATCCTTCTGAGTCAGAAAGTAATCATCCGACAGAGAGTAATCTAACATTTAAACTCATAGATTACAAAGTTGCTGAAGAAAACTATGTACCTACAGTATGTCGTCTTTCAATTTTTTGGCAAACACACGGTCGAAGGCCGTACACATGTACGGCCTCCTCCGCACCATTCCATTGACCCTCTACAATAGCTACACTATGTCATGACACTTCGTTTATTGCAACTCGTCGAATTGATAGGTCTATTGACAAATCAATTCATTTTTCTTTCCCTCCTTCACCCAACCTGTTGAGCACCATCGCTTCTTTTACGAGTATGCAAGCAGGTCTCAGAAATCCCGCAAACGGGATTTCTAAGACCCGTCTTCCGGGTCTCTTATGACTCGAAAGACCATCTTCATACCACAACCCTCGAGCTAGATTTCATGCAGACTGACACCAAGCGGAAGGCACCAGTACCAGGCGATCCCAGATGGTCGACTTTCGGTGGAACATTGCAGGAGCAAGTCCTCCCATCCGTTTTCTTAATAGATAAAAAAGGCCTTGTAATACCTAGAGCATCGTAGTGGTATAACGCAACGAACGAGCTCGAATATCCTGGTATCCAAAAACTAGTAATATAATTCCGAAGGACCCTTTCAATGGCGGAGATATGCGAGTCGAGGAAACGAGACCCGGACTAGCACATATCTTGGCACTGCCAACTTTGCCCTATGTTGCGAAATTAGTCATCCGGGCATCACGTAAGTCGACCAGCAATCTGCTTTAGCTTCCACTAGTGTTGGTGTTGGTATCTCACATCAGTTCAGTTACAAACGTCATAAGCAGGGGCGGATGAAGAGTTATCGCCCTCCGGTGTAGGTTGCGTACTCAATTTGGTGGCATAGCATCTACTTTGTTCCATTCTTCAACCGCAAATATCGGAAAAGAGCGCCCACTTTCAACAGTGCCACATCATCGGTGACTGGAACCCACCTATTGCCATCTTGCTTTAGAAATAGACCTCCATTGCCCCTAACGACATCAATGATTTCTTGAGCAACAGCCTTCTTTGCCCCTTTTTGTGCCCTTTCGTACTTCTTGAACCGATCTGCTACAAACTGTTGTAGTTTTTTGTTGCCGACGTGAATCTGAAATGGGGTACCTTTGCCCAACAGAACATCCTCGCAAAATGGAACAGCAATCGTGCTACGAGTAGGATATTTCAAGCGCTCTTGCCGCCGTTGTTGTTCTATTCTCTTGCGATCTTTAACAAGGTCAGTAATCTCGCCTTTGTGATTCACAGGTATGCACGATGGGTCGATTCCATGTCCACGCAGGTCTTCTAAGCATTTGAGGATCGGTCCTATGACACAATAGACCAAGTAAGCTAGGGTTAGGATCAAGTCGGCCCCATTTAAGATAGATAACCAAATCACGTACCACAATGTACCCTACATCTGACTTTGTTCGCTTTGCTAAATGCAGTCTTGGACACTGCAAGGAGACCTTCCCATGCTCCTTTAGTAGTGTAACATAGATGGATAGCCGAGAGACACAAGGGGACTGCTTCATTTTGTTTTGGCAACTTCCATGCAAGATCAGCATTATCTGCACTCGTGCCCTTGATTTTATCTCCAAATTGGATACTGACATTTACAAAGCCACGCCGTTGTATCTCTAGGTCACGGTATACTGTCATGAAGTTATAAAAGCCCTTTCGAAGCTACAAACACAAACGGTTGAATTGAGACGTCATCAAGTATCGCAGCAAATGGAATCACCGGCAAACTTTAGACTTCTGAACTTACACATGTGTCTGTCCTGTAAGTTTTATGCACCATAACAATAATATTAATGCGTCTTCCAGCCTTATCATGTGTATTCAGGAATCTTCCATTTGAAAGATAGAGACATTCCATATCATCCACGTCCAAATCATCTTGCGTAATGTCTTTCGTAAGCATATCTTGACCAAACAAGTCCAGTTTCATCTGAAAGTGACGGACAAACCGAAGTGCTGCCTTGTGACAATCAAACTTCTCGCATCGAAGGAATGCAAGTCGAAAGTCTCTATCCTGGGTATACTTTGGATTTAGTCGTTCAGCAATGTTGTATGCTTTCTTGTCGGGTAAAATATCGATCTCGTGTTGCAATCCCCACAAACTGTTGTGGATTAGTTCTGAAGTCTCCTCTACACAGTCGTCTGGTATCCCATGGACGTCATTGTACACCTTTTCTCGATCAGCGACTGATAGCTTTGCCATTTGAGATGCAATCAAGGAATCAGCATTTTCGGGATCAGAAGCATTGTGTGGAACTGGTCCTGAAAATACTTGTGCTCTCTTGCTCTCATCCTCATCCTCATCTGGCGTGCTGTCAGTATCAGTAAGATCCGCCTGAGTCAGAAAATAATCATCCCACAGAAAGTTATCCCATAGAGAGTTATCTAACATTTTAATCATATCAATAAATTAGGATGTGCGTGAATAAAGAAAAGAGATCACTCCGTCTTCCTTTTCGTTTTTTCAGATTGATTTTTGTGGAGTCGTGTGAGCCTATCTACCGGTTCAGTATCGGGGGTTGGAAGTTAGAAGGCCAAAGTCAGTCCACCCCAAAAAAGGTACCGGTAGTAATACCGGAACAATAATATACGTAGGAAATATATAATAATAACCGTATTGTAGTATCATAGGTTTTACCGTATTGATGATGAAATCATAAAATGATGCGCCGGCACGATTTTTCACTTCTATTATTTTAAAAAATACCTACCATACTGCACACGTACCGTAGTCCTTTTAATTTTAAAAAAATCACAGTAGTCCATCCTATTTTATAAAATAGGAGTAGGATAACAAATTTGGGTTGCCAGGTGGTCTTCTTCTTTTGCAAAGGTATGAATCATGTTTCAACAAAAAATCTTATTCACCAGATCAACACCACGCCCACATCGACCCCTTTAATGGTGGAGATATGCGGGTCAGGGGGCCGAGTCAGTCAAGGGACTACCAAATACCTTGGAACTGCACAATTTGCTTTCTCTTGCGAAATCTCATCCAAGCATCATTTGAAGTCCACCAGCAATATGGTTCGGCTCCCCCTGGTGCTGGTGTTGACAACTATCATCTGTTTGAATGTGATCAATGATGTCATTAGCACGCGCATCTTCTGCTTCAAGTGCGTTTAGCTTAGCTGTACCAACAGCAATACCGAATTCGGCGCAATGTGTTGGCACTACTTTGTTCCACTCTTCAACCGCAAATATCGAAAAAGGGCGCCCACTTTCAATAGCGAGACATCATCGGTGACTGGAACCCACCAGTTGCCATCTTGTTTTAGGAAAAGGCCTCCGTTGCTTCTAACGACAGCAATGATTTCATGGGCAACAGCCTTCTTTGTCCCTTTTTGCGCCCTTTCGTACTTCTTTAACCGATCTGCTACAAACTGTTGCAATTTTTTGTTGCCATGATGGATCTGAAATGGGGTGCCCTTGCCCAACAGAACGTCCTCGCAAAATGGAACAGCAATCGAGCTATGAGTAGGATACTTCAAGCGCTCCTGCCGCCTTTGTTGTTCGATTACCTTGCGATCTTTAACAAGGTCGGTAATCTCGCCTTTGTTGTTCACAGGTATGCATGATGGGTCGATTCCATGACCACGCAGTTCTTCAAAGCATTTGAGAATCGGGCCTATGAAAAAAGACCAAGTAAGCCAGGATTAGGATCAAGTCTTCCCCATCTTAGCTCATTAAGATCAGGAACCATATAACGTACCACAATGCGCCCTACATCTCACTTGGTTTTCTTTGCTGAGCGCAGTCTTGGCCACTGCAAGACGACCTTCCCATGCTCCTTTAGTAGTGTAACATAGATGTACAGCCGAGAGGCACATGGGAACTCCTTCATTTAGCTTTGGCAACTTCCAATAAAGGTCAGCATTTTCCGCACTCGTGCCCTTAATTTCATCTCCAGGGTGGATACTGACATTTACAAAGCCACGCCGTTGTATGTCCACGCCACGGCGGCATGCTGTCATGAAGTTATAAAAGGCCTTTCGAAGCTACAAACGGAGGACTGAGATGTCAACAAAACATCGGAGCAAATCGTAGATACTGCCGATTTCTAAACTTCTGAACTTACAATCGTGTCGGTCTTGTACGCTTTGCGTATTTGAACCTGCATATTGATGACTCTTCCCCGCGTATCATACGCGTTCAAGAATCTCCCGCTAGAGCTATAGAGGCAATCCATGGTATCCATGTCCAAATCATCTTGAGTAATATCCTTCGCAAGCTTATCATGTCCAAACAAGTCCAGCTTCATCTGAAAGTGACGGACAAACCGAAGTGCTGCCTTTTGACAATCAAACTTCTCGCATCGAAGAAACGCAAGTCGAAACTCTCTATCGTGGGTATATTTTGGATTTAGTCGTTCAGCAATGTTGTATGCTTTCTTGTCGGGTAAAATATCGATCTCGTGTTGCAATCCCCACAAACTGTTGTGAATTAGTTCTGGAGTTTCCTCGACACAGTCGTCTGGTATCCCATGGACGTCATTGTACACCTTTTCTCGATCAGCGACTGATAGCTTTGCCAGTTGAGTTGCAATCAAGAAATCAGCATTTTCGGGATCAGAAGCATTGTGTGGAACTGGTCCTGAAAATACTTGTGCTCTCTTGCTCTCATCCTCATCCTCATCTGGCGTGGTGTCAAGGTCGGTAAAATGCTCCTGGTTCAGAGAGTAACTAATCCACGCAGGGTCATTTCGCATCTTCAGTCATGTCAATAGACTACAGTAGGTCGATGAAGAAAACTCATCGTGCGTCGCAGTAATGATAAAGTCAGTCAGGAGTCCGTCCGTCGGGTCGCAGAAGGGCCAAGCCCCCCCAAAAAATCTCTGACACATCTACCGTACTTGGTACCTGGTACCACCTATACCTATCGACCTTCAACAAGCCTACAAACCACCATCAAATCCATCCACAGCCTCTACGATATGAACACGACTGGAATCTCAAGTAAGAGTGATGATAGCATTGAAGCGTGTGTCCTTGCTCTGGCTACTACATCTACAGACAAAGATCTTGATGCGACTCCATGATGATTTCAGTCTCTTGTCCAATAATGTAGCAAACCGAATTTTGAAGTTTGGGATTTCATCATTTCGAAACCACCTTCCACCCAGCCATCGTCTGGGGTGCAAATTCGGTGAGCAGTACTGAGGCGTTGGATTGTGAGGTTTTCCTTTCACTTATTGGACTTGGGAATGGACAATATATATTGTATGACTTTAGAAAACCTTTGTCACCAAAGAAGAGGCTGAGGCTCGTTGACCACTTCTTGGTATACTGCATGAGACCGAACAATTAGCCGGTGAATCGCCCACAAGATTTGCAATCACACCAACATTCTTCTAGCACACTATCCATAGATTGTTCACGACGTACAGGGCACAGGGCGTGCATGGTCTGCTCTAGCTGTAGAAGGCAGAAGTACATCATGACAGCATTTGCCGAGCTATTTTCATTTTAAGAAGAACCATTCTGATTGAAATCTAGGCCTGTTGGAAGGGCGGGAACCACTTGTGTTGAACAAAATGAGAGGGGCCGAGCATCATTTCCAGGTATTTTCTCACGAAAAAGCGTTGAAATAGAACCGCTAGGCTTCCTCTCGTGCTGCTGTCGGCAACTAGTACCTGCCTGTATATGTTCGATAACGCAACTAGCATGCAAATCTTCTTCGAGTATGATTGGCTGTTGCATCAGCAATATGCGGCGGCACATGAAGGATTGTCGAATTGCGGTGTAGATAGTGTAACGAATTGGCAAATTTATAGCCACTACTCTACTTTGTTCCATTCTTCAACCGCAAATATCGAAATAGAGCGCCCACTTTCAATAGCGCCACGTCATCGGTGGCCGGAGCCCACCTGTTGCCATCTTGCTTTAGAAATAGGCCTCCGTTGCCCCTAACTGCATCAATGATTTCATAAGCAACGGCCTTCTTTTCCCCTTTTTGCGCCCTTTCGTACTTCTTGAACCGATCTGCTACAAACTGTCGTAGTTTTTTGTTGCCGAGGTGGATCTGAAATGGGGTGCCCTTACCCAACAAAACGTCCTCGCAAAATGGAACAGCAATCGTGCTCCGAGTAGGATATAACAATCGCTCCTGTCGCCGTTGTTGTTCTAATATTTGACTATGTTCGGAATGGTCAGTAATCTCCCCCTTGCCGTTTATAGGTATACACGATGGGTCGATTCCATGCCCGCGCAATTCTTCGAAGCATTCAAGGATAGTGCCTATGACGAAGGACCAAGTAAGCCAGGATTAGAATCAAGATGCCCCCGACTATGATCATTACGACAGGGAAATCGAATCGCGTACCAGTATGCACCCTACATCGTACTTGGTTTGGTTTACTGAGTGCAGTCTTGACCATTGCATGCATACCCTCCCATGCGTCCGTAGTGTAACATAGATGGATGGCCGAGAGGAATATGGGAACTCCTTCATTTAGCTTTGGCAACTTCCAGACAAGATCAGCGTTATCCGCACTGCTGCCCTTGATCTCATCTCCAGGGTGAAGAAGGACTCCGACAAAGCCACGTCGTTGTATATCCACATCACGGCGGTATGTTGTCATGAAATTATAAAAACCCTTACGAAGCTACAAATGCAAACATTTAAATTGAAACGTCAACAAAGTATCAGAGTAAATCAGAGCTGGACCTCAAGTTTCTGAACTTACAACTGTGTTGGTCTTGTACGTTTTCGGCACTTGCACCATCATATTGATGACTCTTCCTGCTTTATCATACGCGTTCAAGAATCTTCCACTAGAGCTGTAGAGACAATCCATGTCATCCATGTTCAAATCATCTTGAGTAATGTCCCTTGTAAGCATATCCTGACCAAACAAGTCCAGTTTCATCTGAAAGTGACGGACAAGTCGAAGCGCCGCCTTGTGACAATCAAACTTCTCACATCGAAGAAACGCAAGTCGAAAGTCTCTATCCTGTGTATATGCTGGATCCAGTTGTTCAGCGATGCTGTACGCTTTCTTGTCAGGTAAAATATTGATCTCACGTTGTAATCCCAACAAACTATTGTGAATCAGTTCCGGAGTTTCCACTACAAAGTCATCTGGTATCCCATGGACGTCCATGTACACCTTTTCTCGATCAGCGACTGATAGCTTTGCCATTTGAGATGCAATCAAGGAATCAGCACTTTCGGGATCAGAAGCATCGTGTGGAACTGGTCTTGAAAATACTTCTGCACTCTTGCTCTCATCTTCATCCTCATTTGGCGTGATGTCAGTGTCAGAAACATCCTCCTTCTCCAGATTCAGAGAGTAATCATCCCACAGAGAGTCATCCCACATTTTCACTGATATATAAGTTTGTATTTCCATTTCCTCATTTCGGATGATTGCGGTGAAACTTTGTCGTAGTTCGGTCTAATCTTGGTACCAGGTACCTGGTACGCGTACCGCGTACGTACCGACCCCACTGGTAATAATCATCATTTGTGACATCATTTATTCGACATTCATCAATCGGTATCAAAGATAGCCAAATGGCGCCTGCCGCCTGGTTTCTTCCGTGAGGGATTCTTTCATGGTGTTGTGACTCTGGTGGGTTGTGGTGTGAAGCTGGTCTTTCAAATTGCGCGCAAAGCGTGCGATCCAAAGACCAGTCTCTGATATCCCGCATTGCGGGATATCAGAGACTTGCTTGCCTACTAGGCCTTGGATAGATGCAAATTGTATCTAGGCAAGGCCCAACAGGGATGTGGTGGGAGGGAAAGAAAGAAAGAAATAAACCTATTTCTTGACGTATACTCGCACACAAGTCCGATAAATTGATCGGAATTGTTGTGGAGCAACAAGAGTGGTAGGGATCTACGTTTACGTTTATATCATTAGAGAAGAAAGGAGCTACCTTAGGCCCATCTGGTTCATGCGACCTCCACCATCCCCATCATTTACATCTATCGGTATGGTAGAGGTCTAACACAACGCCCGAGCCGTTGCCCGTTGTCATCATGCAAGATGAACCGTCACTTCTTTCCCCCGTGTCTCAAGATAATCGTGCCTACGTCACTCCACTTTTCTTGGCGTTGCCTATCAACAGCCAACATGATGGACTCCTTTCGACGGAATTCTTGAAAGATTCCACCTTACAAAAGGTTCGTGAACAGTTGCCATTGACTCCAGAGGAGAAGAAAGACATAGAGTACGCAGAATTGAGCGAGTACAAGAAATTCAGAAGCATGGGCTATGATGAAGTCACCAACTCTCTACAGGCAATGCTCCTACGAAACTATCGGCTGAGGAAGAACAAAGTGAAAATGACAGGGCTGTTCCGAAACAAAGAGACTAATCTTTCACAAATACTTTTTCCTGGAAGTCGTCCTAAAATTTACCACAAGGATATAACAATGGTGCCAACAGGGAATTTGATGAAGTCTAGAATGAATCTGGCCATGTACGATATTTCAGATCATCCGGCATTTGCCAATACTAAATACGCTCCATGTCGTCCAACTGTCATGGGCGCCAAGGTGGAAGGCTACGGTTCTGCTTTCAAAGAGATGCCGTTTAATTTTATGCTCAAGAGAACTGTACAGTGTGCACCGATAGTGACAACAGAAATCTCTCCCGAGGATCTCAGTTTCTTGCGTCAACTGGTGAGAGAAAAGTATCGCATGTATTTTCAATTGGACGATCTTCCAGTCTTGATGAGGAGCAGAGAATTGAATGTTGCCTCCAAGGGCGTGCCTATCGGTTTTATGGCGTCACCAGAAATGAATGGACTGGTCGGCAGCACAAGCCACAACGGTCCTCGGAGCAACGAAAACAAGTATTACCTTTACAATCATTTCAAATTTACAGTGACATATCACGAAAATCCAAAGGAGCATGACGGCGTGCATATTACTCGTTTCGATATTCACCCATTCAGTTTCAAGTATGATGGAAAGTTCCCAAACTGTGATGAAAAGCCGTCCGAAAACGATCCGAATACCTTCCTTGCCCTTGAAGATATCAAGAGTCACAAGCACCAGACTGTTACATTTTCCTATGATGTCCAATGGGTTCGTTCCGAGTATTTGAAATGGGAGGATCGATGGGATGTTTACTTTGTTGGTATTCCAGACAGCAATTTCCACTACTACAGCATTATCAACTCGGCAATTTCTGTACTAATCCTGGCTTCTATCATTGCTTGGAAGTTGTATCGAACATTTCGCTGCGACATGGTGGGAGGGTCAAAGAAGAACAACGGCTGGAAACAACTTCATGCAGATGTTTTTCGACTTCCTCCATCACCAATGATACTGTCCGTTCTAGTTGGGGATGGAGTGCATCTTTTGGTCACCGCAATCCTGACAATGGTGTTGAACGTGCTTGGATGGATCAGCACTATGGAAACGGGAGACGTTGTGAATGCTTTTGTCTTGATCTACGCACTCGTTGGAGCAATTGGGGGATATACAAGTACAACAGTGTACAAGCTATGCGGAGGAAAGAACTGTCGCAAAAATGCATTGGTGACATCCACTTTGCTATCTGGTTTGATTGTGATTGCATTCTGTCTTTTCAATCAGCTATCCAGCATGATGGGATCGTCAGCCGATTGGTTCAGTGTGGTGGAACTAGTTTTGTTGTGGGGCTGCGTTTCAGTTCCACTTGTACAACTGGGTGCCAAAAAGGGTGATCAGGTTGCTTGTTTTATCGAGTTTCCAACAAAGCCGAGCGGTGATGTTCGGCCCATTCCAAAATCAAAATGGGCCAAGTTCAAATGGCTCAGCCCGATGTTATCCGGCATTATGACCTTTGGTGTATACTTTGTGGAATTGCAGTTTATCATGAGTGCCATTTGGGACCGACAGACCTATCTCGGTCTCGGATACTTGCTGACGCAGACATTTCTGGCGATAATCACATGCGCCGAGTGCTGTGTTTGTTTCTGTTACCTTCAATTGAATGCAGAAGATCACCAATGGTGGTGGCCTTCGTTTCGAAGTGGTGCTGCAGTAGGTGTCTACTTGGCGTTGTATGCCCTGATGATTTGGTTTGATCGCTTGGGACTGGAAGGATGGTACTCCTTTGTATCGTTCCTGACATGTATGTTGTTGGCATCCCTTTGCGTTGGCATTGCGTTTGGATCCATTGGATTCTTGTCCTGCCTTTATTTCACGCGAGGGATGTATGGCACTATGACATCCGAAATTTGAGAACTGAAAGCAACACTGAAAAAGATTGGGTTTCAGTTCACCAATGAATAATGATGGATATCCTTGGTAAGATTATCCCACCATTCGGGTATTGCAGCTTCCACTTTGGGAATATTCAAATCAGAGATCGCCAAAGAATCAGCGTGAAGACAAATCCTCTGCTGTGCTCTGTATTTCTTGGCACAAGAATCGTTTGGTAAACGGTACATGATTGATTCTCCTCCATACAATGGATCCAAAAGGATGGGAGCACCCAAGCCTTTGGAACAGTGGATGCGAACCTGGTGTTTGCGTCCTTGTTTGGTGGTGACCCTTATCTTGGTTATCAAATCGTCTGGATAGCGTTCCAAGACCTGGAAGGAAGAAATTGCCGGACGTCCATCAATGGGCACCGTGACCGTTCCTTCTTCCGGAAGCGAAATCGAGTTGGTGTATACCAAGGCAATGTAGGATTTTTCCACCCTCCGAAGGAAGAATTGCGTCAATAGCCGGGCGTGCCATTGGTTCGTCTTGGCCGCTATCAAACACCCGGAAGTTCCCCGATCCAATCGATGTACAAAGCCTCTCGATCCGTCTGGATTTATGGATGACAATCGAATGGGTTTGTGGTGGTGGGCAGCCTGATGTGCAAGAAGAATTTGTTCAAGGTTTGGCGCATCCTTGATCATTTGTTTGCTGGATCTCGATTTGGAATTTGCTGACGTTTCGGCTGTAGTAAGGACCATTCCACTAAGCTTATTGACAATCATAAAGTGTTCCGACTCCAATAGGATTTCTAGAGTTGATGCTGGAGTTTGCCCATGACCACTTAGTTCCGTTGGTCGGTCCAAAGTCTTGAGGTTTTGGCGTATTATGGCACGCGAGAGAAGTTTGTTGGCAATGCGCGGATAACTTTGAAATGATGCAGTATATGTTAATGCCAGTGTCACCACATTTGGTTTCAAGGCCAATGTAATCGTACTGGATTTAGCGGTTGTAGCGGTAGTCGTCAAATCTTCGAACGATGCATCATCGTACTCTTGCAATATTCGCAAGGCCGTTCGAGCATTCCTCATGTGCTCTTCCTTGACTGCATCACCATCTGAAATCGGCGAAGGTGCAAATTTCCAATCACGACCATCACCATCACCATCACCATCATGACAACAACAAGAACCAATCAATGCGTTCAAGATCCCGGATGCCGCCCCCTTTGACGGAACTTGGAGTGCCGCCCGTACAAGCTCCTTTGGTTCATAAGTTTCAGTTATCTTGTATTCATGGCAGTGACTGAGAACACCAGCAATCCCTTCATCATTGTAAGCAAGTTGCAAGGCATCGGAAAGGTCTCCCGTTGTCAATGGCGTTGAGTGGAGGGCCGAGAGGGCATTTCGCACATTTGTTTGTTGTTGCTTCTTTTTGGAATTTGCTGGCAATCTCAGGAACAATAAAAGCGTGAATGGAAGAAGGAAGAGCATCTATTTGTTGCATTCACTCAACTTCATGACAAGACATCTTTTTGCAGTTGATTCATGCGGACGGGTTGACTGTGTTGGTGTGATATCGCGGGTTTCCTATCATCCGGGCAATGATGATCGATGATGATCGAAACTGAAACGGGTCGAACCGTCTGAGTCAGTCGAATGAATGAATCAATATCATAGTGGTCGAATCAATCGAAATTTCTGACGTGTTGGAAGCAGTGTTCGACATGCGCACAGACAAGATGACGATGTATTCCAAAAAATCAAACGGTGGGTTTGGTTTTGGAACGAAATCGAAGGGTGTGGTGGTAGGCATAACTTTGTTGGCATTTTCAACGTTCCTTTGCTTCATCCTTCCACCACTCTCTACTAGGAATACAAAGCAAAGAGAAGTGTTTCAATAGGATAGGCCTACACACGTATATACACATATACATATATATACAATATGACAGACTTGGAAGAGCACTTGTTTGGGATTCCATTGTCGACGCACCGGGACCGATCGATCCAACATGGTCCATTCCCGTACGAATTGTGGATTGCCGCCATTTCCATTGCCTTTTGTCGAATCACAATTTATACCAAAAACGACCATTCGAAATGGATCTTTGCGGGAGTCTTGGGGTACATGGCCTATGAGAGCATGCCGTATGAATACATTGTGGGTGTCGAACTCTTTTCCTACGTTGTGCCTTTGGTGATGAATTATACTGGTGGTGGGAACAACAACAACAAGTCCCAAAAGAACCCGCCTACGACGGAACAAAAATTGGCCATTCTTGGTGCTTGTGGAGCCTTGTGTTGGTCCATTTGTCATTCTGCCGGTAATGGAGCTTTGTTTCGATGGTTGAGCTTGGTGACTCCGTCCTTTGTCAAGTCGAGTCTTATGGCTTTGTTTCCTGTCGAAGAGATTCGGGCAGCTTACCACATTATCGATCAATTCGTTTGGGAGCCAGGTCTTTTGCAGCATCAAGTCTCACGACTCTTCTTCATCACCTTTCACATTCAATGCGGGATTGGATACTTGGGAATTGACTTTTTGAAGGCCGAACAAGAACGACGAAATCAATTGGTCCGAATGGACTTGAAAGATGACGGCATCAAGAAGAAAAAAGACAGTAAGCAATCAGAAGCCTTGCTGAAAAAGTCACGAAGCTTTCAAAAGTCAGCTGCTCCTTTTATTTTCTTTGTGGCCGTCCCGTACATGATCAAAATCATTGCCTTTGGCAATTTGAATGCTTTTGCGTTTGCATGCTTCAACAATGATGTCCATCGCGCCGTCCGATTGCATGATCTCTTTGATCATGAAAACAATCTAGTGGCATTGGCCAGTCACTCGGCCAAGTCTCCTGCTGACTATGCCGACTACATGAGCGTGGTAGTCTCAACGACCTATGACCTATTCAATCGCAAACTGTTCAGCTTGCCCAAGGTCATGTTGTTGCCCATGATCATTATGAAGCAACCCAAAATGTTGGCACAGCTCTTTCCAATCATCTTTGTGACTGATTGGATGAAAGGCCGAGCAGTAGCCTATATGACAACGCGCATTGAACAATTGGAAAAGGATACACAAAAGATTATTTCTATGCGATCCAAGGTGGAATCGTTTGATATCAAGAATGCAGAACTATTACAGCGTGCTGGTGAGTGGATGTGTGTTATGCATTGTTGTACATCGTTTGCCGTGGGAGTGAAAGAATTTCACTCACATCATCTGCTGTTGTTGTCCCCTGTGATGTAGGTGGTGGTGCTACAGACTTCACTCGACGTCGATGGGAGGAACTGACCGAACAGATACAAGTCAAGAACATTGCCAAGGATTTGACGGCTCGGACCAAGGGATTCTTCGCCTGGATAGAGCGAAACTTTGTCTTTTCTGTTTTGATTGATTGTGCCTTGGCCCACTTGATTGCAGTTGGCAGGTTGGTGTCAGCTGATATTTTTGTCTTTTCGCGAGCCATTGAGGATGCTGTGGACACGGTTTTGATGAAATCTCGATCGGAAGCCGAGCTAGCTCGAATGATGACACAAATCGACAACCTAAAAGAAATTGCAAGTGTGTGGGAGAATGCCCAGTCCCGCAATCTGGTGGACTGTAATCTTCCACCTGCGAGAAGTCTTGCAGCGATTGAGCGCGGCGATCCAGAACGATCCATGGTGGTGATCCGGAACCTGCTGTATTCTCGGGGTACTGCGATGGTAAGGGTGGATCACCTTGAGTTGGATGCTGGAATATACGCTTTAACGGGTGGGAATGGAAGTGGAAAGAGTACACTTTTTCGAGTTATCATGGGCTGCTCTTCCAATGAAAGAGGGATAGATTTGCCACCAAGCATCGTGCTCTCCACACCCTTGGAACCATTAGTAGAAGAAGATGATATCGAACGTGAACAATTATGCGAATCTGCTGAAGTCGCAGTCGAAAGCGAACAGGAGCCGAGCGAGGTAGCTGAGAAGCCTTCTGCAGACATCCAAGAAGTACACCCACGGTTGTCCATTACAATGCCGTCGTCCGACGTCGTGGAAATCAGTCAAACATTCTATTGGCCTTTGTATACCAAGCCAATTGATTGGATTTATCAAGAATACGGAATGGGCACAGTGGACGAGGCTGAATTGCAAAACCGAGTTCGCAGAGTGGCCGAAGAGCTGGATGCGTTGGAATTCGCCCAAGCCCCAATCGAGAGCGACCAAAACACAACCTCTCTTGAGGCGAGTACCATGGCACCATCTGCAGATATTGTCGGTGGAATCATGGATCAACTGGTAGAAGAGAAGGAAGATTGGTTCGGCGATCTTTCTGGTGGACAACGAAGTAAGGTGGAGTTGGTTCGAAAGGTCTTCCTCCAAGAGCAATGTCCTGGAGTCCTGCTAATTGATGAAACCATGGCACCCCTTGACCCCAAGTCAAAGTCGTTGGTCATGGCAAAAATCAAGGCATTCTGCGCTGGAAGTGTTGTAATTGTCATCTACCACACAGACGTTGGGAGAGAAACGGATGGAGAAGGAGGAGAAGCCGTCGAGTGCGTCCCCAGCAACGACTTCTTCGATGGAAATCTCCATGTCGAAAACAAAATACTTCATCTTAGACCAGTATGCTAGAATAAAGAAATTGTCACTACATGCTCACTTTAGTCAGTAGTCTCTGGCGACGATTGAAATGTTTGGAACATTCCTTTAGTACCCGTAACCAAAATTCGCATCATTATCGAGGCTGTTTTTCCTCTGATGATGATGTGGCTTGTGGGCCCGAAATTCAGAGTAACTGCTCCGGATATCCGCGTCTAAGGTGTCATACTCGTTCTGCTGAGACTCAAGAACGAAATCCTTTTCGACTACAGTGTGTAAGGGTGTGGCTCGAGATACTGTTGGGTCAGGTGGCCAGTCATAAAATCGATCTTTTCGAAATCGAAAGTAAGGGACAGCGATATCACGTGGAATCTGACTTCTTTTGGCACCTCGATCATTTGCACTAAACGCTGGCCGAGGAGACTGGTATAGTTCTGCTTCCGTCAATTCATCGCCCATGTCTTCCGATTTCTTTCTGGATCGACCCCATAATGACTTTGACGGTTTCTCCTCTTCTTTCTCAGGTGTTGGGGCTAGAAATGTTTCGGCAGGAACGTGTTCCAGCACTGAATTCCGCTTTTCTGCTTCCTCCAAAGCCTTTTCTCTCTCTGCCGCTTGGATCTCTAATTCTTCCTTATCTTTTGCCTTCTTTTCGAGATACATCCGAACCAGGATGTTCTAATCGGCGAATATGCCATGGTTAGTCACAAGAACACAGTTCACCTACACCGTTCGGATGGAAACATACCTGAGGACCCAAAAATACCACCGTCGACAAAAAGAAAAATGTTCGCCACGGGAATATGAGCAAAATGATTGTTAAGAGGACAAAGAACGAAAAGAACCAGAATGTCAAGTATGGATCTCTCCAGGTGGTCACATTGAACGAGATACGTGTAATATAGATGGTAATCCGAACGATTCGCATGAGAGGCCCAAGGAAAGAGGATGTGATGCGCACAATTGGATTTGCATTCTTGGTTCGAAATCCGAGCAACTTGTCGAATTCGTCAAAGTTCTGCTTCTCTTTCTGAGTAATAACATCAGATGCTGGACCCTTGGCACTAAATTGGTTGAGCTGAATTTGAACGTGTGGAGGAGGGAAATGAACATGTTCCACGGATATATTCTTTGTCAATTTGTGAAACATATGTTCAACTCTAGCAAGTTGCACTTGTGGTGGTTTCTTTTGGCCCTTCTTATCACTGTCTTGATTCGGGCCAACACGGATTCGGCGTGTCAAAGTTGCTTCCCCATTGCCCATGAAGTTTCCGGTTTTCTTTTGCTTTCTTCGTTGCGATTCTTTTTCATAAGAGTTTTCACCGTCACTATCCTCGCCTTCGCCTTCATAATCATCGTCCTGTTCCATCACTCCCTCTTCGTCTCGGTCTTCGTTGTCGTTGTCTTCTTCACTATCAGGTTCAGATTCAATGCTTGAACTGGGATCTGATTCGTCATCGACAGGGGCCATAAAGATTGACAGCCTCCTCGCTGTCTGCAACTCACTCGCTTGGGTGACTAAATTCCAAGCAATGAAAATTGTTAGTCTTTGAATTTCTGATATGAATCATTCCTTGATGATCGACCTACCTCTTCCTCCATCCTTCTTTTGCTTCTTCTTCTCTGCTGGTGATGGCGCAATGGCCTCAGCAGCGGAAAACTTATGGTACTCAAATCGCTCGGAGAATGGAAACTCTCGGTGATTCGTCAGTTCAATATCCCCCTTTTTCCCATCATCGAGCAAGATACCTCCCCTTGGTCGCTTCTTGACATGAATCGGGCGAAAGAAGTGTTTGTTCCCCTTATCCTTCTGCACCAAACCGAGAAAAATTTCCTTGATTGTCACTGGCTTATACCCCAAATTGCCAGGTGTTGATTCACAATGACTCCTGTAGTTTTCTATCATGTTCAAAACGATCCACCCACTCACAAAGGCAGGGACGTACCGAACCGAGTCGAGCCAAATCGAGTACATCGAGCAGACAAACAAGTACAGGGACATCACCGGATTTTCGTAAAGCACAGAATCCCAAATTGTTACCTTGAAAAGAAAACGTAAATTCTGCTGGTACAAATTGAACTCTCTCATTGTCGCTCGAAACGAACCTCGGGTATACTTTCCGGGAAAGTCGCTTCCGTGGACCGTCATAGCCACATTACGAAAGGTCTTGGGATCACCACAAGGAATCGTAGGAAACTTCTTGGCCTGCCTGGAAAAGGCGAGTGGATTTCGAGGACGTTTCAGATAGGACAAAAGAACTGCACGCTCACTGAACCAATGCAAGGAGAATCGCAGCCTGATAACTCCCCGAGGTCTCCGGTCGTAAATAAATGCGGATTGACGGAGTGGAAAGGTGATGTCATATTCGGTATCGGGGCGAAGCTGTGGAACATCAATGCACACTCGTCCACAATAGAAATCGGCTTCGGTAGTCCTTGACCTACTCTTCCTCTGCTTGATATCGAAGACCCCGATGAACAACTTGGCATATGCATGGTGCAGGGGAAACACGCAAGCTCGTTTGCAGGAATTGGGCCACATGGGTGATCGATTCCCCGTGACCGTATCAGTAGTAAAGGCGCAGTCTCCTGCTACCAAGTACACCGCCACGTCCGGTCGGATGCGATCCAAACCAACACAACCCAAAACTTCGACCCGTATGGATCCCACTCGACCATCTTCCCGGGGGCTTCCAAAGTGTTGTCGTACAACATCAGATACCTGTACTTTGCGTGTGATCTTGGAGGAAGGATTCAGGTAGGAGGTCAGGAATTCAAACTCCTCCGATGGCTCCATCATGCAGTTGTACAATTCCGCTTCAGTCATAAAAGTTGGCGTTAGAAAGGCATGGCTTGGCTTGACTCGAAATTTGCTTTTGTTGTTGCTGTGTGCCATTGTTCGGCGAGTAGAGTCGGCAGTAGAAGAGCCATCCGATGTAGCTCTGACTTCCATCGGTGGAGGACGATTGGAGCGAGAGTTGGTCCGGTTGAGTACTCTGGAAATGCGGGAAGACGCAGTAGATCTTTCCTGGGAAGCAGATCTTCCAGATTTTGCAGATCTCCCAGATTTACCCGAGGCGACGGAAGGCTCATCAGGAGGTGCCTTGTTTTTCTTCTTTTTCTTCTTCCTATTTCGTTTCAGCAGACGCAGTCGATACTTTCTTGCTTTCTTTCGGGGTGTATCACTTTCGGCGTCTGAGGAATAGTACGGCGAGGTATCGGCGTAATTAAAGGCGGGAGAAGGTGGACGGGTTTGTCGCTTTTCTTGATTGTCCTTTTTCAAGTGTTCACTAGGAATGTAAACATCCTCATTCTTCAGGGCAGCCCTCAAAACATTCATACTGGAAAATGAAGCTGCAAAACACCACCACGCTTATTCTGAAAATGAAACCTACTCTGATCCTGTTGAATTTGGAACGTCTTGATCTTAAACTTCCTCAACCGAAAGGTGCAGGCCGTTCTGTTACAATTATGTAACGTTGCCTTCTCTTGTGGTCTCTTCCTTTTCTTGTGTGTGTTTTGGTTGTCATGGGAACTCCAATCCAATAATTCGTCGCATCACGACTGTCTGCACCTTATTCTATCCGAATTACATTTGAGCCTTTTGCAGTACCTCACAGGTAGACATTACGGTATACTGTATGAACTGCGATAAAATGCCATGTTGTCAGCGAATTCTTCACACAGCCCACACCATCCATTGCACCCATTTGGAAAGGGCCTTCCAAATGAAGCGAATTGCTGACCAGTCGTTGTTGTCATTAGGCAGGAGAGTCTTCTGCTATGATTGAGAAGGTAGCACAACGGAAGCAGAGACGACAATTTTTCGTTGTGACATTTATTCTTGTTATCACTTTGATTCGCAACTCTTATATCGAGGCATTTAAGATCCAAACGATCCAAGACAAATTTGACAACGAGCATGAGGTGACATCATCAGCCAAGGCAGAGGAAATTTGGAAAACCATCTCGGACAAGCTTTGCCCATCCATGATCCCTCAGAGCCAGAAATATGCCAATCACCTCTTCCATCTCGCTCAAATGGAAATTCTCGCGGCAAACATGTCTCAGTCATCGACAACACATATGAATTGCACCGAACTAATAAAACAGAATAAAAAGGCGGGTGGACTGGAATTTGCCGTCCGATTCTTTGAGCATACCACATATTGGAAAACCTATTCCCATTTGGATCCTGGTGAAGAAGACATTTTTTCGTTTTTGAGCATTTGGAAATGTGCAAACAATCAGCTGCGCTCCTTCCTAGAGCAGATCTTTCCTGGAGAAGATTTCAAGCAGCAAGTTCGATTCAAGGATCGTCATGAAAAGTTCCCAGAGGCCAACAACAACAAGCAAGGTCATGGTTTGTCGGAATGCATTCTGGCAGTCATTCGAGATCCAATTGCTCATTTCCTTTCAGGATACAATGAAATCGAGTACCGGATAAGAAGCAAGGAACCACGAAGACCCGTTGCTCAAAAATGGCCATTTGGAGGTCAGCCTGAGGGTTCAATAGAACGCTTCGAACAATTCGTTGCTGATCTATTGACCTGCCCCATTGGCAAGAAGCTTCCTGGAATCATCAACGCGGGCGCCATTCGGAAATTGGAGCTGGAGCATCTCTATTCCATGACGGGTGTTCTACGTCTCTTGGACAAGGATGATTCTGTGACTCGCAGCAATCGCAACTTTCATTATTTGCCAAGTCTGAAGAATCTCAATGAGACATGGGGACCGTTTGTTGTATCCAGCTGCCCACGCTCCTTTTCCAATACCACCAAAACCAAACTCTTGACCACGCCCATGATTACCGAATCAGGCAAGCATGAATCGAGTGGAGATCCACATGGAACCTATAAATCCGCCAAATTGGTGTGGAAACATGGTGGGCCAACGGCGAAGGCATTGTGCGCTATTCATCTAATGGACTATGCTTGCTGGCAAGATCTGCCTGATGGAGTTCCGAGATTGTGCATGGATCTCTACGTGGACTACCATAGAAGGAATCTTTTGCTCTAGCATATGAAACTAGATTGCGCATGCTACAGCCTAAATTTTGCTAACCATTTTGTAATTTTTACCGTTGTTTGTATAATACATTTCCCCACATTTTTTCTGCATACGGATACCTTTATTTTAGAAGAATCGGTAATAGCGTGCACACAGATGAATGGTGTGAGAATTTTTCAATTATACTTTTTATAGGTAGGCTATGTATGTGATGATGTATAATAATAGTAATATGCGATGATGAATGATACTGTGGAAACCCTCCCTTTCTTTGCTCGTCGTGAGTCTTATGTTTGCTTGTCCACTGGCAATGGGATTCGAGGCTTGCGAACTCTTCGATAGTTGTAATCGTAGAATTGGTCCAATGGATTGCGAATGACACGGGTACGATTTTGCTTGTCTAGATTTGTTCCATAATCTTCAAAGGTATCAAAATTCTGAGTCACTCTTTGAACCAATTGAGGGAACCGAGGATCCGACTTGGGGCAAGTCTTGAGATACTCCAACAACTCTGGGAATTCCCGCGATCCAGTTGGCAGCAGAGGTCCCTCTTTGTGTGGCAAGCCTTCCCAATCAAATCCCTTGAACCATGGATGCTGAATAATCTGTCGGAATCCGTTCTCAAACTCGGTGCTGTTCTTGCTGCTTCCAATACGAGATTCTGGCCCGGCCAACAAGCAGCTTAAAAAGTCAATGCATTCAGGTGATAGTTGTGCCTTTGTCTCTGCTGGCATTTCAAGGCACTGTCTCCATCTTAGAATCTTTCGGCAAGTTGTCACTGGGTCTTCTGCATAAAAAGGTGTGTATCCTACCAAGCATTCAAACATAATCACACCCAAACTCCACCAATCCACTGCAGTAGTGTATGAGTATCCAGATGCTCCATTTTGAGCAGCCAATACTTCTGGAGCAATGTAGTCAGGTGTACCAACCGTCGAATATGCCATCTAACAAACCAATAGCAGTTTAGCAATGAACAAACATCTGTGAGTGAAAATCAACAAAACGCAACCTTCCTGCTAGGCAATAAATAGTAATCGTCGTACCTCTCGTCGTGCCTTGGCCGTAAGGTTTGGATTTTGTCTCTGGCCAGTGGCAAATGCCGCACCACCCATATCCATGTTATCGTCAATGGACATGGCCATGGCATCATCCGAATTGCGGTGCCCCCGACCTCCAGAAGAACGCCCGGCACCTCCCATACTGGGATGGTCGCCCGATCCAATATCTTTAATGAATCCTTGATCCCTCATTGTTTTCAGAACCACATCTGGGTCATCCATGGGACTGACTTCTCCCACCTTTTTGCAGAGTCCCATATCGGTCAATTTCAAATGTCCCCTCGAATCCAAGAGCATATTGTCTGGCTTGATATCGCGATGAATGTACCCCAAGGCGTGAATACTGGAAATTGCATGGGCTGCCTCCGCCATGAAAAATCGAGTGACATGTTCGCTAAAGGTGTCCTCCTTGATGAGCATGCTCATGAGATCCCCACCTGGACAGAATTCCATGACCATGTACAAATAGGTTTCGTCGACAAAACTGTAATGCAAGGCAGTCAACCAACGATTTTCGGAACTCGCCTTGGCCAATGCTTCACGCTCGGCACGAACATGGCCCACTTGATTCTTCAAAATCATCATTTCCTTCTTCATGGATTTGAGGGCATAAATTTGCACTGGTTCGTTGCCCTTTTGCTTGTCACGGACCAATCGAACTTCCCCAAAGGCTCCCCTTCCAACCACTGTCAGAGACTCAAAATCAGCGGGACTCATGGCTTTTCGAGAATGCTTTTGGATCATCATTTCCTCTTGCTCCAAGTGCTTTCGCATTTCCCTCTTCTTGTCCTCAGGAACACCCATTCCTTGCATCTGACGTTCTAGGTTTAGTTTACGAGTCTTTTTTCCTTCCTACAATATGAATGAATCATTGGTGAGGACATGGAATTAAATGACGAAATGACGAAATGACCATCCTAAAACTATAGCAATGCCATGTAATTTCTCACCTGTTGACGCTTCAGTCCAACATACCGTTTCGAGAGGAGTTCCTTGGCTCTGTTGGCCCGTTCCTCCATCTCCTTGTCGGCTGCAGCCACAGCTTCTTCATCAGTGATTGGCGCAGCAGTTCTCATGATTTTGTCGTCTGGATATCGTGTGGTCTTTTTGTATGTGTTTGATTAGAATTTTACTCAAGCGGACTTTCGTCGAAATGGAAAGGTTATTTGTTTCGTTCTGTTCCCAACGAATCTATTTTCTTCACGAGCTGTCGTATGCACTTTCACCACTGGCCACGGTGCATGTAATGAATCGAATGATTGGCTTGAATCTAACTGCTGCCGCAACCGTTCGGTTTTTTGTTCTCACGCTATTTTCGATTCGATCAGATCCAAAGCTTGCATTTTCTTCATTCTTGCACGCAAGCACATACAAAGCTCCGAACACCGAATATCAAAAGTACGCGATCGAACGGTTGAGAAAATAACGTTCACATCGGAGTGGCCAATGCTCACATTTCACCAGATTCAAGATACCGGTACCCAGTACAAGTACCTCTCTCTTGCATCCATACGAGCTCCGCGACAGAACACGAACACAAGCAGCAATATCTTTGAGTTTCTTGGTACTGCGTATGCATGTACAGTAGCGAGCAGGAAGGACTGTATTGCAAAACCTACTTGCTGAAATCACTGCTATTACTGCTGTGGTGTCATGCAGCATCATGATGATCATCATCATGATACTAGTTACTACTACGATCGATGTATCTACTATTCGGCTAGCTGTCCGTGGCCACCGCACACTGCTAGTATAAGAAGATAAACGATGACATTTATTAAGTCATGATGGAAAAGTTTCCAAATGCACTATTGCCTGCAGCAGGTTTGTTGTTATCGAGGAGTGTATGCATTTGCAAATTAGTCGATTGGGTCAAACATTTGAAAATCATTCATCTACTCTAGAGATATCTAATATGACAACACCGACACCATCCATCCATGTTGTCTGTACACAATCATGATGACGATGATGATAATGATAATGATACCATCAGTGACCGCCAAAGTAATCTGGATCAACAGGTAAACAAACTTTTAATCGACCAAGCGGCTCAGCTTATTGAAGCTGCCGACATTCTTCTCATTGCCACTGGCGCTGGCTTTTCGGCAGATTCCGGATTGCCCACCTATTCGGATGTGGCGCAGAATCCAATTTACCAAGCCTTGGGCATTGATTATGGTGATTTGTGTCGGATACAATGTTTGAAGGAAAATCCAAAACTATTCTATGGGTTTTGGGGTACCTGCTTCAACATGTATCAACGGCAAGTCCAACCGCATTCTGGCTATCAACTACTCAAAACATGGTGCGACGAAAAGCAAGTCCGATTGGACCAGCGACGAAAGAGGCAACAGCAGCAACAGCAACAGCAAGAGCAACATACTAATGGAGATTCCATTGACAAACCCAAGAGTGCCTACTATCTATATACGAGTAATGTGGATGGGCATTTCCGTCTCGCAGGGTTTTCAAACGAATGGCTGCATGAGGTTCATGGTGCCATTGATACTTGGGTGCCCGCAATCATCCTTGACGACAATGATTCCAATGATTATGATGATGCGTCTGAGAATAAGCAACAGTATCCAGTTCCTGATTCCTATTCCTTTCCCATTGATGCCGAAACGCTGCTTGGTCCTTCACCGGAGGCATTGCGAGAGAGTATCATTCCACCAAAGGACAACAACGACGATATGTCAATGTCGTCCTGCAGGTTGCGACCAAGAGTCCTCATGTTTGACGATGGTTTTCCATCGCATACCCAAATGGGTCTAGATACAAGTTGCGAACGGTATCAAGCATGGGAAAGTACCATGGAGTCCGCCATGGAGGCCAGCCATTGCAATACGACAAGCAGTGACGACGACAACGGTATGAAACTTGTAATTTTGGAAATTGGGTGTGGAATCCGAGTGCCCAGTGTCCGCATCGAATGTCAAGATGTCCTTTGTGATACTGCTGGAAGATGTTATCAAAGGAGTAGCAGTACCAGTGCGGATGATTCTCGTCCTAGTTGTTCTTTGATTCGTATTAATCCCGATCATGAATCCATTGAGCATGTTCCACCAAATGCAACTGGCGTGAGCATTCGAGGAAAAGCTTTGGAGACACTGCAAGCGATTCAAGAAAGGATAAATATACTCAAGAAGAAGTGAAAACAGAGAACATAGAATATGCCTTGGAAAGGTATACGGTACTTCGCACCAAAAGCTGTGGTGTCACCGAATGTGGAATTATATTGCTGTCGCACCTGCTTCATCATTGTAATAAATGAATAATATGAAATGCAAAAGTCTCTCTCAAGGATTGATTGGCATTCTACCCTGATGCATGCGAGATTCGAGATGGGCCAAATTCTGGCGCAACTTGAGTTGAGTGGATGGAAACGCACAATCTATGATATCACTCCAACTTAATAATAGCAATTCTTCCGTATCAGTATAGCACAACATGTCTTTATAATACGTTATGCTACTTCTAAATATTACTGCTGTGCCATGATTCGTTCAAAGAGTGTCGAAACTGCCTCATTCCAATTGCGCTCTTGTGAAGCCAAATCACCAGCCTTCATGCCTCCTCCAGCTGCCTGTCGTTTCAGGTACAAGTCTCGATCCAACTTTTTCTCTCGCTTCATGCCACCATCCGGTTCTCGGACCCGCGGTGACACAAAGTTGGTGACGGACGACTTGCCTTCGCGCTGGCGTTTCAATTCGTTTCGGTAGCCTTGCATTTGAGCGGCCTTGACTTCGGCTGAGACTTCTTCTCTTTCTCCCAATAGTACTTCCGCAGACTCTTGTTTGAATTTGCGTTTCGTTTTGGCAATCGCCGCCTCTTCTTCCCTCCAGTCGCGCTTGCGACGCTCGGCCTCTCGCTGTTCCGAAGCGATGCGATCTTGAATCGCTCGCTCTTCGTCGGCTCGTTGAGATTGGCGAATGACAATGGCGGATCGATGGGCCTCTTCGTACGCCTTGATTCTAGTCTTGCATTCTTCCGCATTGGCCTCCTCATTGACGATGCTAAAAATGATGTCCTCGACTTCTTCGAGGTAGTTGTTGTACTCGAGTAAATTGGGAAAGTCAGATTCAATCTTGTTGAAGACCTTCATGACCCGCCGTCTCCAACTGGTATCTTTTTCGCATTGGACGTCATCGAGAGATCTAGTGGAAAGAGTCACTTTTTTCACGGGTGTATTACATATTGGACAGGGGAATTCCTAGTTAACATGGAAGAAAGAGAACGAAGGCAGCACGTTTGAGCACTCTATGTTCCATCCAAAACATTATCAAGCATCTCTTGGTATGCATTCTTTTCTTACCCGTCGTCGAGAAAGCTCTCGATCAATACAAGAATTACAAAACATGTGACCACATCGAACCGTTGCATTCGTTTGTAGATTGGTTTGCGATGTCAAGTTGGCACTGTCTCCCTCCGCCACACCGCAAATGGCACATCGAAACAAATCGTCATCGTTCTCTTGATCGTCCATACTTTTTGTTTGTTTGCTTGTTAGTTTGTCTTTTCTGTTATTTATTCAGTTCTTGTTCTAACAGGTAATATTTGATGTTCACAAAGTAGGAAATGGGTCTGTGGAAGTGTCCACCACTGGTGTACTTTGGATTGACAACGATGGTGTTTTCACAAAATATGGTGATGAGAGTGTTGGAGGGCGATTTGAAGAAGCCCTAACAAAGTACCATCTTTAGTCGTGCGAGTCCATAGCGCTAGCTAAAAGGACTCTACGATACCGGTACATATATGATATGAATGCCTGCTGACACAATCTGATGAAATCGTTTGGTGTTTATAGCACTTTTTATAAATTAATTTACAGGCACTGTACTGATGTTATTGGTATTGCCGAATGAATGAATCGCACTTTGCTGTTATTGAAAGACATCCGGATAGCTAGATAGTAGATTGGTACAAGAGGGACAGTCGCTCCGTCGCTTGCTCAAGAAAATGGCCGAAAAGTCAAAGGACTTTTGCATTCCAATCCCTTTTAGGAGTTCAAATTCATAATAATTGTTCAAGAGTCGTTTGGGCATGACTTTTGTCGATCCCAGATCATACATCATATCTTCCACAATGAGATCGGCGTCGAGCATGAATACGTGGGAATACTGTGGAGTGGAATCTTGATTGACCAAGTCCAAGACAGACTGTCGGTAATTTTGATCGTGTTCATCACTGGCCATTAATAAGGTAATATATTTGCCAGTATGTTCCGTCCCATTCAAGGAACATTGGAGGTATCGTTTCATTTCGACCAGCGTGGTATTGCAAGATTTCTTGGCATCCCCTCGTCGAATGTGCAAAAACCCAAAGACATTGGTCGCATTGGGAGCTAGTGCCCGCACCCGACGTTGCAACTCTTTTCGAAAGTCATGCAATTGTGTTGGTTCTATTCTTTCAATAGCACCGTCGACATATTGGCAGGCCCGTGAGCTCAAGGAGGGACGCATCACATCTCGATATTTTGGGTGGGAGTTTGTCATCGTCGTCAAGTTGTTTTGAGTGCTGTTAGATGTCCTGTTGTTGGTACTGTTGGTATTATTGTTGGATGCTGTTACTACTAGTGCGGGCAATGGTTTGGCCTTGCGGATATTGGCACTGTACATGCTTTGATGGATCTCCCATAAAAAGCCTCGATGTGGATCGTCATCAAATTGCCAAGACCACTGTTGTATTATTTCATAATGTTCGAGCATATTGCTGGATCGATTGGATATCATTAATCGCCATCCCTTTGGATATTTGGAAGGATCATAAAAGCCCTTGTCACTCCAGTTTTCATGGTATTGGGATCGATTCGGATTTTGTCGTGCCTCCTGAAAGACTGGTGATCCATCTTGCAAAAAGGTCATGTTGTAAAAGTCGTCCCATCGAAGGTGTTTGCTGAGTGGTATCCCGCCATTATGAATACCAATGAGTGATTCTGCAGGTGGTGGTAATTCGACAATGGCACATAAATATCCGGCAAGTTTCCCCAGCATGTGAAGGACGGATAAGCGATCGCTCAAGCCAGCAGTTCCCATGAACGCGTAAATTCGATTCTTGCGAGGATATGGACATATTCTTCGGCAACTTCCATCATTTATGGCTTCCTTGATTGGATCCATCGTTTCAATTTGATTTTCTTCTTGCGATAATAACGTCCCAGTATCCTTGGCGGTTTGTCGGAGATTTGACAGGAGGTTCCCATCGAAATTGTGACGGTAATTCAAAAACCACAAAACAATGACAACCACCAAAATTCGTATTATTGACACATTGGAGGTTGCTGTCGCGGACATTGCCTGCACCAAGATGTTGTCAGCTGGAAGGCGGTTGAGTTTTTAATTGCATTCAATATTGCTGGGTATGGTTGCCGATCGATGAAACAAGTGTTGTTGGGCACACCGCAGGGGGTGTTTGAATTGAAAAGTGTTGTGTAAATGAACGATCTTCTTTAGGCCCAAAATAAAACGTAGCGTATGACGGAGGGACTATGCATGACAGGAAACTTCAAACCGTCGATCCTTTCATTCATTCAGTGATAGTGGTACAAAGGATGTCACTGTTTGGACGTGCCGCTCGACTTTCAACCATAACTTCTGGTGCTATCAGAAGGAGGACTACCACCACCACAAGTAAAACAACGCGACAATGCATTTTTTATAAAAGGTATCGTCAGCTATCTACCAAAACAGCAAAAACAGCAGCATCGTCGGATTCTTGGATCTTGGAATTGCAAAGTCATCTTGCTACTACGGAAGTGGAGTTTTCGGTCAACAAGTACGAATTGGAACGTCATGGTCGAGGGGAATCCTATCATCCTACCGAAACTCCCGACGTGGTCGTTTGTCCTACTTCTGTTGACGATGTAATAACTATTGTCCAGTTCTGTGCCAAACATAAAATACCCATTGTTCCCTTTGGAGTGGGGACATCCGTAGAAGGCCATGTCTGCTGTTTGCAAGGAGGCATCAGTTTGGACATGAAGAATTTTGTCAACATGGAAATTCCAAACATGGAAGATGATTTGTTGCCGGATCCCATTGCGACGGTCGGTGCGGGAGTGACTCGCAATACATTGAACGAAGCTTTGCGGCATACAGGGTTGCAATTTGTGGTGGATCCAGGAGCTGATGCCACCCTGGGTGGAATGGTGGCAACTGGTGCATCTGGAACGACGGCAGTGCAATTTGGGACCATGCGCGAAAACATATTGGCAGTCCAATGCGTCCTGGCGGATGGGACTCTGGTGAATACTGGTACCAAAGCATTGAAGAATTCGGCCGGATACGACTTGTTGGGATTGTTATGTGGTTCCGAAGGCACACTTGGCGTGATTACGGAAATCACTGTCAAGCTGCATCCCATTCCGGAAAATGTCATGGCGGCCGTCTGTGTCTTTGATTCGCTGCAAGACGCGGCCCAAACTGTCACCATGCTCAAATTGTGCAACATTCCCCTCTTGAGGTGTGAATTGCTGGATGCCATGAGCGTCAAGGCGTTCAATCAGTATCAAGAACAGCAACCAAATAATACAGCGACCAAACGAGAAGAAAAACCAACACTCTTTCTAGAATTCCAAGCTCCTTCCATGACAAGTTTGGAAGAACAAGTCCAAATGACACAATCCATTTGCCAAGACTATGGTGGTTCAGGATTCGACTATTGCTCCGACGAAGAGGAACGCAAGGCCCTGTGGGCGGCACGTCATTCTCTGTACTATGCTTCCGTGAAACTTCGACCGGGTGCCAAGGGTGCCATTTTGACGGATGCCTGCGTCCCGCTCTCCCAATTTGCGTCTGTCATTCAAGAAACGGCCCAAGAAATCGAGGAAAAGGGTGTGGTGGCACCGACCTTTGGACATGCGGGGGATGGGAACTTTCATACCATTATTCCCATTGGAGAAGACGATTCCGAAGAGTACATTGAAACCTTGCACGAGATTAGCAACAATATCGTGCTACGGAGTTTGGCTGCGGGAGGGACCTGTACGGGAGAACATGGCGTGGGATATGGAAAGACCAAATATTTGGAACAGCAATACGGGCCTGGAGCTGTGCACATGATGCGACTGGTCAAAAAGTCACTAGATCCTCACAATATTATGAATCCAGGAAAGGTGATACCGAATTGATCCAGCCAAACAGTATCGTCTGAGAAGGAATCGTTCTAGGTCTTTAGAGTGGATTGTCAGTGGCGATAGAGCTCCAATGTAACAACAGTGAAAAAATGTACTTATATATATCAATAAAACTTAGTAATAACAAAAATTGAGCAATCACAAAAATTACGCTTGCCACATTTGCGCATCAGCTGCTCGACTGTCTTCTTCTCCCACACATGGGCCGTCACAAAATCGTAGTGTTCCTATGCATTCTCGGCAAACTTTACCAGACTCGGACATTGTCGTAGCAGATTGAAAATTGTGTCTACTTGATGAAGCGATGTTTCTTCTTCACCAGCCGCTTTCGTCGTAGTGGTAGAACCAGTCGTGGCTCGGGTCTTCTTACAACTGCGTCGAAGCCTTTTCCGTGGGGGTGGTCCTTCTTTTTCCTCGGCACCAATGCCCCCCGCTTGGGCTGCCAATTGATAAGGATACAGTCCCAATAAACTATCGACTTGAGACAGGCTATTTGGATTTGCTTGGACCAATTCTCGAATCCCACTGTGCCAAGTTCTCCCCGACGTCAAGGCCGCTTCCATTGGCAATCGACCAGAACCATCGCGTATGGACGCCAAGTCTGGAAATTGCTGCAGCAAATATTTCACAACCGCTTGTTCTTTCATGACTGAATGACCGAATAGCGATTGTGCATATATATTAGAAAACAAAGGAAACATAAAGTCATACTAGCATGCATAGTCCCCCGTTCAACTTACCCACAGGTACTTTGACATAATGAATGGAAGGATTGTTTTCTCGTACAATGCAATCGGAATTTCGACATCGGACACCCCAGTGACTTCTACCAGGATCTCGATTAAAGAATGCCTCTTGTCCGACCGCAGTGCAAGATGGTTCCTGTTGACATCGGTCACATTGAAAAAAACGCTTAAAGGCAAAGGGTGCGGCACTGACCGCCAAATGCAGCAGTGTGCTTCCACTCTCGTCTCGAAAGGTAGGAATCGTGGCCTGATGACGATTTAAGAGTACCTTTACAAAGGGGAATGGGCACGAGGGACTTTCAATGGCCGCAATCAGCAACTTCCATTCGTCCGCCAGGTCATCGATGACACCAAGATTCACCCGGCGTTCGGCAGCCAGTATCAAGCGGACTTTCTCCAAATACAGTGTATGCTCCACGTGTGATCGATGCGAGACTGACATGAACCCATTGGAGAGGCGAAAAAAGAGCAAAGCAGGGCTCAAGCCTTGTCTATTCTTAATAGTGACTTGGTTGTAATCTGCATTCAAGAGTGCTTCAATCACACGGTCGGACCGATTCCGGGAGCAAGCGTCAGTAAGCGGAGATTTTTGGTTGCGGTCTGCTACTGCGGCTGCTTCTGGATGCTGGCTCGCAATATGAAGTACAGAAAAATCACAGCCTCTCCAAGCTGCCAGATGAAGTGGCGTCCTGCCTTTTCGGTTGGGTCTCGAACAGATTTCAGAAGGTGAATACTTGATTATGTCCTCAAACAATTCGGGCGGCGTGGACGACCACCATGAGGCATAATGTGCAGCTGAATATCCATATGGGTCGACATGCTTCAGTTCCGTCCGTATGATCTTCTTGTTTCTTTGAAAGAGTTGACCGAGCAAAGGCCATTTTTCCAGATTGACGGCGCGGAAGATTAAAGGCGCATCAACATCTCCAAACCACTCGTCATGAAGAGGACGCATAGGATCTTCATCTTCCATTTCTGTTTCGTTCATGGTGATTGATTTGGTGCCCAAATTAATACTGTAAAACATTTACTTCGTTATCCACTTCTCCGAATATAGGCATCGCAAAGATACCGTACCTACTTCCTCCGGCTACCATCTTCCCCTCGCAACTGTCATGGATGCGTTGGGAATGTCGGGAAGCAGACAGACGAATGGTCATACATACAGACGATCATCAATCATCAACATCAAACTTGCTCAATCAACGACTTACTGACTCCTGCCTGGTCCTACGTGGTTTGATCTCGAACTGACACCACAAAAAAATCTGAAATCCGAAATCTTCGCTTTGCAACGTAATTTTTCGAACCAATGATACCGCTCATACATGGGACGATAGATGGCACCAACGAAATTACATCGCATCCATATAATAGTAATGAAACCAATTCAGCACAAAGCAGCTGTAATGAAGTAGTTTAATGTACTGATCGTTGTAATGAAGTAGTAAATAATACAATATAATTATAAATCTTGAAGCGTTTCCAGCCAAGAAGCATGATGAAACAGGCTAATAACTTTTGCAAATTTGGATTGACTTCGAAATAGCAAATATCCAATCATCCCCATACATAGAATCTCTGTTGTCGAGATTCGAAGATCTTCCCCGACTGGAATACTTGAAGCTCTGCTTTGGCGTCTTTGTCGTCCTAACATTTGGAAAGCAAGAACTTGGCGACAGGATCGCATGGACGATGTTCCCTCGAAGCAACGGGAGTTCTTGGGCCAATGGTGGGCATAGGAGCGACATTCACCAGCTCTGTTTCAATGTCAGATTCGTCGTCCTCTTCCATATCATCGTCAGTGTTTCGTCGTGGTGTCAGTGGACCAAAGTTGTCCGAAAGAGATCCGAGCGAGACAACTCTCTCTACCACCGATGGTGAACATTGTGCCAGCGAAATGATCTTGTGGACGTTCTCGATTGGACACGAGAAATCCCGATCTTCACTTTCATTTCTGATCATTGGCAGCTTTTGAAAGTCCAATACGGTCGATATAGAACTTGTGCTGATTCTGCTTTCCTTCCTCTTCATCATTGATGATTATTCGTATTTATGAGCTATTCTATGGAACAATTGAGTGAATCAATCAATCAATCAATCTTTGCGCAGGACTATTTCTTCCGTAGTTCGTGAAAAATTCGTGTTGAGTTTACAGGCACCGCTACACTAAAGATCCTTCTTTTCTACCGTTCCTACTTGTTGCCGGACCTGGATGGGAGTTTGTGTGAAAAAGCGTTGGGAGGAAAAATGACGAGGGAGAAGTCCTTAGTTAACAAATGTCGGAAACGCCACGCTATTTTGTGAACTTTGAGTCATTTTATGCAAAAGAATTCGTCGTGACAGTCTTTTCGCCCGTACAAAAAACTCGAAGCGACCTAGGCAGGTGGGCGAAAAATGTGTAAACCGCGCAAAAGCAGGAATCTTCGAATAAGTGTTGGTGTAGAAGTCGTGATTAAGGCGCGTCGATGCCAAATTTGATGCTCGGCTGGCGTGCTGCGACATGCATTCGTTCGGATTTTTGTGGACTTGAATTTCCCCCAATCTATGTATCTTTGACAACTTTGCCCCCCACCCAAAAAATTGGGTATTTAATCGAATCCAACCAGTCAGAAATCGGGCGAGCAACGTACAGAATTTTGCGCACGAAGCAAAATTTGGCTGATCCGATCAGGCTTGATCGGATATCTTTGGTCACCGTTTGTCGAATGGGAGCTGTCAACCCCAATAAAAATTGAAGCCTGAGGCGTGAGTAGAAGATCGTACGTGGATCTGAAGCTGTGATCGCAGTTTGTTAAGTGGTGACAGTTCCTCGCAATAAGCGCCAGTGGGAGTCGATCCGACGATTCTCATCAAACACACGTGTTTAGAAGTTGGCCTTGCCAATTCTGATCGCCGTCACCTAAGTCTTGAGATTTTTTCGAGTGAGAACATCGGGATGCACATACATCATCTGGCCAAATTTCTAGAGCCTTTAGAAATATAGCATTGTATGGTGGTTGATCTTGCCAAAGGTGAAATAAGTAGACCAAGAATCCGGGAAGAAGCACGACCGCGTGTATTTTCAAAGTAGAATTTCTCACAAAACCTTCCTTGGTAAAAGAACGGATCTTGCCTTTTGAAGCACCGCATACTCGTACAATTTGGCAATCGAAACTACTATAGACAAAGCAACAAGACAGATACAAAAACAAAGAAGACAAACAGCATACAACACTTCACATCATGGCTGAATACAACCCCTACGGAGACGCACGAACTGACAAAAAGCCATACGACCCCTATGGTGACGACGGCGAAGGACCAGGTGACGAAATGACTTATGACATCGAACACCAGTCCACTCCTTCCCCTCCTGCTCCAGTGGACATTAAACGGCCGTCTCCTCCCACCACTCATGAAGCAATCGCTCATCATCGAGTGGATAGTACTGGCTTGCCAGTCCCTCCTCCTCCACGCCCTAGTCCAGAAACCACTGCAGAGGTGCCTCCGCCGGTGCAGGTTCCTCGACCAATCCCTGAAGAGAGATCCATTGTTCCTGAAGAGACACCTGAGGAAGACGCCCTCGTCAGCCCACTTAGAAGTCCACCTCGAAGTTCGGTTCCTGTAAAGTCTCCACCAAAGACTCCAGACACCGTTGCAGTTACTTCCAAGGCTCCACCCAAGACTCCTGACACCGTTTTTTCGACGGACGAGTCAGAAGCCAAATCAGGTGTAGATACCTTGAAGCACAGTAACCGTAACGACATAGAAGGGGATACTGGCAGTGACGACGGGTCACATTCCAGTGATATCAAAGAGACTTCCTCAGAAGAGCGCGAGAAGGGAGGGATTATGCCAACAAAGTGTCTCATTATTGCTCTTATGTTGATGGTCGTATTTCTCATTATTGCACTGATCACGGTGTTCCTTGTTCTTTCTGGAGATGATATTTCTGTACCTGCAGCATCTGAGTTTAATGACTGGTCGTCTCTTCGGCCAACCATGCCTGCTCCGATTGCGCCAAGTGTGCCCGCCCCACCAACAGTGTTCAATCGCCCAACTCAAGGACCAACCATGTTCGGTGAACCTGCTCTCACTCTAACGCCCACAACCACAAATACAAGAGAGGTTGTCACAGCAAGCCCATCTGCCATTGGTCAAACTCTACCACCCACAGGACTGGCTACCACAGCAAGCCCTACACAAAGAACAACACCAAGTCCTACTCAAGGAACAACACCAAGTCCTACACAAAGAATAACTGCAGTCCCAGGCGAGCCAACCCCGGCACCAACCTTCCCACCTACTCCTGGCCCAACTCCCAACCCAACCCCGGTACCGACTCCTGGCCCAACTCTTGCCCCAACGCCAAGACCAACTCCTTCACCCACCAGAGCGATTTCCGATCTTCCTCCATCACCAGGGGGTGTCTTTGAAGACGTCATTACCGATTTTTTGTTCGACACCAACAATGTCATTGGCGACAACGTGGATCGAAATGATTTGGCGGTCCAAAAGTCTGTGCGATGGTTGGCCAATGAAGCCGATGCTGCCGGAGCCGTTGCCCTTCCACTCGACGAAAAGTACTTGCAACGATTTGGCATCCTCATGCTCTACTTTTCCATCGATCCAAACATCCTACCTTCCAACACAAACACGGCACGCTTGCCCCATACAAACTTGCAAGGTCGCGACGAATGTACTTGGATCGGCATGTCCTGTGATGCCACTGGCATGTTGACCGGAATTAAGCTTCACGAGCGGGAGCTGGACGGCACCCTTCCAGTCAAATGGGAATTCTTTCAAAACCTCAGAAACGTCGACTTGTCCGGAAACAAGTTGAGAGGAAGTATCCCAGAAGAACTGTACGATTTGCTGGCATTGGAAGGGATATACTTGTACAAGAACGAATTGTCTGGTACTATTAGTTCCAAGATTGGCCAATTGTGGAGCTTGCGCATGTTCCTTCTGAATCATAATAGGCTCACGGGTAGCATCCCAGCAGACGCCTTTGCCAGTACACCAGATGCCGGCAGGTTTTATCAACTTCGTAAGTATTATCAGTCGAAAGAAGAGCGTCTATATTTTTTGACGATTGTGTTGATTGTAGTCTGACACAAATTGTGTTTCCTTTCGTTGTTAATATTTTCGCAGGCAACTTTAATGTTCATCGCAATCAAATGACAGGTTCCATCCCTTCCAATACACGCTTGCGTCAACTTCGTATCTTTGATATCGGACGGAATCAGTTCAGTGGACAAGTCCCGGAAGATTTTGGACGAGAAGCTGTCCGATTGAGGCACCTTTATTTGGACCACAATAAATTCACGGGAACCTTTCCTTCCGCAGCCTTGAACGCGGGTGATGGCTTTCTCAGCACGCTCTTCATCAACGACAATGAGTTTACTGGAACTTTTCCCGGGGACCATAAGAGCACAACTGCCATGATCGAAATGACCATTCAAAACAACAACTTTGTGACGATGCAACGAAACGCCACCTGCGACTTGGATGTCTTTTCGGGTGGTGAACTGGTCGAATTCAAATCGGATTGTCTCATTTGCCGATGTGGGTTTGCGCTGATGTGCCGATACTGCTCTTTGTAAGCAAAATCAAATTCTTGGGTTGAATTTTATTTTGACGGTCTAGCATACTGTGTACGTGTACGTTCTTGGAACAAGATCACACTATTGATAATTGTTGCATAAATTATTAGATACATTTTAGTAAACAACCTACCTTTTTATGAAGTATATTGCATTATCTTCTGTGCAAGATTGTTGACTTTTCAATTCAGTAGGTGCGATAGCAAAGAGCATACTTCACTCCACTTCGTTTTTTCGACGAACTCTAAAAATTTCGACGTCGATCAGATTCAATGTCGTCACTGTTTCTTTCGATCAATGATCTTGGCGCCAAAATACGCGTATGTCTTTTATAAAAAATGTGTGGGCCAAACGCCGTCATAAAAAACAGTTGAAGGTGCAGATGTTTGATCATCTTGTTGTCTTCTGTTGGAATTATCATTAAATCCCATTTGCTGGACCATAAGTAAAGTGGCTAAAACTCTCTCAGAAACACGGGCTTGCTTGATAAGACAGGTTCCGTGCGCTAATTGTGAAAAAGATTCTGAACGACACGAAACGACAAACCGAAAATACAGATGGATTAGATTATGATATCTCACAAAACCTTCCTTGCTAACTAATACTCGTACGATCTATCTGGTAACCACAAACGAAAGGACAGCCATCAATCATGACTGACAACAACATCGACCAAGAAACACCAAGCGAGGAGTTTACAATGGACATCGAACGGCCGTCCCCTCCCACCACTCCTGCAGCAATCACTCATCATCGAGTGGATAGCAGCACTGACTTGCCAGTCCCTGCTCCTCCAGGCGCCAGTCCAGAAACGATTATTGACGTGCCTCCGCCCATCCCTGAAGATAAACCTTTGGAGATTGCCAGCAGCCCAGTGCGTCCTTCGACAATGCCTCCACCAATGACTCCAGATCCCTCGAAAAAGCCGCCGCCGCCGACTCCAGACACCGTTGCGTCGACAGAAGACGAAGAATCCAAAGAAGATGGCCAGTCTTCAAAGTTTTACGAGGAGGAATTAGGAGGCGGAGGTGCTATTGTTGACACTTCAAATGTGGTTGTTCAAGAGAATAAAAAGAAGCGATGTGCTTTCTTCACAACGACTTGTGGAATGATTGCTTCATTGATTACACTGCTGGTCATTATTGCATTGATTACGGCATTCGTCTTTCTTTTTAAACAAGGAAATGACGATACTGTTCCTCGCTCTCAGTTTAATGATGTTTCTACTCTCCGGCCAACAGTGTCTGGTCTGTTGGAAACAATGATGCCCGCAGTAACAACGTCTGGTCCACCAACCCAAGCACCAACCCAAGCACCAACACGTTTTACTGATCCAACTCTTTCCCCCACAGGGCTGGTCGTCACCCCGATTCCACCCTTCATTGGTCAAACGCCAACACCCACAGGAGTGGCTGTCACAGTGCGCCCGACCAACCCCCCCACGCAAAAACCAACTCCAGGCCCAACCGTGGTTGCCGAACCGGGTTTGACAAATCGCCCCACGCAAAGACCAATCCCAGGCCCAACACCCAACCCAACATCTAGACCAACTCCTGGCCCAACACCCAACCCAACATCTAGACCAACTCCTGGCCCAACCCCGCGACCGACTCCTATCGCAACTCCCGCTACCACGACCAATCGCCCTACGCAACGACCGACTCCTGGCCCTACTCCAAACCCAACACCTGCCGTGACGCCCTCGACCACCACCAATCGTCCTACGCAAAGACTAACTCCTGTCCCCACCCCGAGACCAACTCCATTGGTTACCAACCCAGCCCCTACTCCCTCCTCAAGTAATAGGTTTCAAGACACTATTGTCGATTTCTTGTTCCAAGACAGCAATGGCATCAACGCTGCAACTGCTGATAGTGCATCCGTACAAAAGGCTGTGGAATGGTTGGGGAACGAAGCCAATGCAGCCCAATCCATTCCCTTTCCATTGGACCGAAAATACCTACAACGATTTGGTATTCTCATTCTCTACTTTTCGGTCAATCCGAATGTTCAGACTACCAACTCGGACAATGCACTCCTGCCCAATAGGGACATGCGGAATCAAGACTCATGCTCTTGGACCGGCATGAGATGCAATGAAAATGGCATGTTGACCAGAATCAGACTCGCGAAGCGGCAATTCGACGGGAGACTTCCGGTCGTATGGGGGTTCTTTCCAAAACTAAGGACGATTGATCTTTCCAAAAACAAGCTAAAAGGAAGCATTCCCGCGGATCTTTTTGAAAATGCCTTGGAATTGGAAGAGCTGTACTTGTACAAGAATCAATTGAGTGGTAGCATCAGTCCCAAGATTGGCAACTTGTGGTTATTGCGAAGATTTCATTTGAGTCACAACAGCTTGACAGGATCTATTCCAAAAGAAATCGCTTCTACTGCTGACAAGGCTCGGCTACTTCGTAAGTGAATGTTCAAGAGGGCTGGTTCTTGACGGCGTACCGATTCTTGGACGCAATTTGTCTTCTAACCCTATCTATTTCCTTTCGCATTTGTTTCGCAGGCTACTTTAATGTTCATCGCAATCAAATGACAGGTACCATTCCGTCCAACATGCGGTTGCGCCAATTGTTTTCCTTTGACTTGGGAAACAATGCTTTCAGTGGGACTTTGCCTCCAGACTTTGGGACCGAGTCGGTCCGGTTGAGGCACCTTTATTTGGACTACAATGGATTCAGTGGGACCTTTCCTTCCGAGGTCCTCAACGCTGGTGACGGGCGTCTCATCACATTATTTATAAACAATAACGAGTTCACTGGAACCTTTCCTGGAGACCACAAGAGCACAACTGCCATCGCCGAAATGACAATTCAAAAGAACAACTTTGCTTCGATGACAAGGAATGCCACATGTGAACTGGATGTCTTTTCGGGTGGGGAGCTCGTCGAATTCAAATCGAATTGTCTGGTTTGTCGATGCGGAGTCGGGATGATGTGCCGACACTGCATATTGTAAGCAAAATTTGTGGATTGAAAAATGTCAGGTGCCAATTTGGCACCTGTTCTTTGATCGAGGCTGTCAGAATGCACTTTTGCGTCGAATCTTCACAATCTCTAGCAACGCAAAAGTGCTTTGTTGCATACCATACATTATTCTTGATTATCTAATGCAACGCTAAAGTGATTTCAGTTCATACTATATTACTTATCAAATTATCATCTTCAACAAACTGAGTTTCACCATTTCTTTTGAAAATATTACGAAAAAAACAGTGAAGTGAACAAAGTTGTCCAACGTAGACCGCAGGCACACTGTTCGATTTCTTTGACTACATTGTGTTACAGACGGACAAAGGCCGAACGGCCTTCGACCGTCAAAAAGTTGTTGTCGATGCGCCCAGGCAATGATGCCCAGTTTATCGACTGAGATTGAATTCACCCACTTGTGTCGTGGTAATTCAATTTTTCTCTCCCAAACCTCACCCGCCCTGTTGGGCACCGCCTCCATTTTACCATATCGGCGGTGCCTGGTAGGAAAGCAGATCTCAGTAATACCGCACACGGGATTTCTGAGATTGGTCGAACGAATCGAGTCTATTACTCGATCAGTTCGACCCGCTTCACACCACAACCCACCAGCTACACACCAAGACAAAATACTACGAACACACACACGGAGGACGGCAGTAGGCTATCTTAGATAGATCAAATTATTAAAAAATACAAATATTTCGATATTTATTTACTTAGACAAAACATGTGCCTTCATCAAACGCCACCATGTAAACCATTACCATTAAGTATTTGGGCTAAATGCTTCTCTGAGACAGGGCTTGCTTGATGCGATTTGTTTTTGAAAATTTGAATCGAGCAAGGATCCGAAAATACGAACCGGTGGGCTGTCATCATGTCAATTTCTCACAAAACCTTCTTTGTAGCACCGGATACAATCAATCTGGCAACCGCAAAAGAAAGTTATAAAAGAAACTTATTCAAGAAGATAGAGATACCAAACAGCACCAACGCTTGATCATGACTGACAGCATCAACGAAGAAGCACCAAGACAGGAATGTTCATCCGACATTGAACGGCAGTCACCTCCTCCCACCCATTCTGCACCTCGATTCCCCTTTGAAAGCAATCTTCGACTCGATATGACTGGCTCGCCAGTCCCTCTTATTACAGAAGCCAGTCCACCAACCACTCCAGTGATGTTTCTGCCCATCACTGAAGGGACTTCCTGTGATGACACCGCTGATAGCGTCTCTAATGACACTGCTGACGCTGACAACATCTCTCTTCCTTCAAAGCTTCCCAAAACGCCTGACACCGTTATGTCGAGGGGAGATGAAGAGATCAAAGGCGATGGGCATCCTTCGAAGCTTTATGAGGAGGAAGAAGGAGATGATGGCAGTGACAGCACGTCACATGCTGTGATTGCTGCAGGGAATCGCAAGGAGAAGCAATGGTCCTTGCCACCGAAGTGTGTGATGATCGCTGTACTGCCGGTGGTATTTTTGGTCATGCTGGCTACGACATTATACTTTCTTCTTGGACAAGGACAACAACAAGGAAGGGAAGCAACTGTGCCAGCTGCATTTTATAAAGAGAGGTCCACTCCCCAGCCAACAGTGTTCGCTCCGTTTGAAACAGGTGTGCCCAGTGAAGCACCATCCAGTCGCCCAACCCAAGGGCCAACACCAACAAGAGTGAATGTCGCACCGCGTCCCCCGACCAATCGCCCAACATCCGACCCAACGTCGAGACCAACTCGTAATCCAACGTCCTCGACGAGTCGCCCTACGCAAAGACCAACTCCTAACAACCCAACACCGAGGCCAACAAGACTATTTGAAGCACCACGTCCCTCAGCCATGACCAGTCGCCCTACGCAAAGACCAACTCTAGGCCCATCTCCCAACCCAACACCGAGACCAACTCCCAATCCGACGCCCTCCACCACGACCAATCGCCCTACGCAAAGACCAACTCCCAACCCAACACCGAGACCAAGTCCACGACCCAATCCAGCTCCCGCTCCTATTGAAGACATCATTTCCGATTTCTTGTTCAAAAAGAATAGCGATAATAACGCTGTCAATCCCAACGATGCATCGGTGCAAAAGGCTCTGCGATGGTTGGAGAATGAAGCCGATGCAGCTCAATCCATACCCTTTCCATTGGACCAAAAATATCTTCAACGATTTGGTATTCTCATACTCTACTTCTCTGTCGCTCCGAATGTCCAACCTTCCAGCTCCAACAAAGGACGCTTGCCCAATCTGGGCATGCAGAATCAAGACGAATGCTCTTGGACCGGCATGAGATGCAATGGAAATGGCATGTTGACCAGAATCAAACTTTCGAACAGGCAATTTGATGGCACCCTTCCTGCCGAGTGGGGCTTCTTTCCAAATCTGAAGTCGATTGACTTTTCCAATAACAAGCTGAAAGGAATTATTCCGCAAACCATTTACGGTCTCTCTCGAATCGAAGAGTTGTACTTGTACAAGAATCAATTGAGTGGGAGTATTAGCTCCAAGATTGGTAACTTGTGGCGCTTAGAGAGGTTCCACCTTAGTCACAACAAGCTTGAAGGATCGATTCCGAAATCAATTGCGTCTACCTTAAGTCGGGCTCGTAAACTTCGTAAGTTTCAGTTTAAAATTGGACCGATCGACCATCCTGCTGATTCTTGGACACAACTTGTATTCTCACCCGAACTATTTCTTTTCTCATTTCGAATAGGCTACTTTAATGTCCATCGCAATCAAATGACAGGTACTATTCCATCCAACATGCGGTTGCGGCAATTGTACACCATTGACCTCGGACATAACAAATTTAGTGGTACATTGCCTCCTGACTTTGTAAGTTGCCACTGTTTGTATCAGAGAGTGAAGAAAAGAATGATTCATTCTAACACTGTTTTCCTCTATGTGTATATGCGTATATAGGGGACAGAATCAATCAGATTGAGGCACCTCATGCTGGACTACAATGGATTTAGCGGAACTTTTCCCTCTGAGGTCCTCAACGCTGGTGGAGGACGTCTCATCACACTCTTTGTTAACGACAACAAATTCAGTGGAACTTTTCCGGGAGACCATGATAATACGGACTCTATGTCTGAAATGACAATTCAAAACAACAACTTTGTTTCGATGCAAAGGAACGCTACCTGTCAACTGGATGTCTTTTCGGGTGGTGAGCTAGTCGAATTCAAATCGGATTGTCTCGTTTGCCGATGTGGGTTCGCGTTGATGTGCCGATACTGCACGTTGTAGGCAAAATTCCTACTAATTGATGGAGACTGTCAGACTGCACTACATTGCATTGGTTTGGGTCTTCTTGATTAGCTATCTTGCAACACACAATTAATTGTTGCATACGATGCATTCGAAAATTAATTAGATACACTTATAGATTTCCTCAGCACATAGTCACCAAGTCGTCAAAGATTACTATCAACAAGGATATCAAACCAACAAAGAGAGAAGTGGTTCTGGTACCTGTTACTGTACTATACCGGTACACGTACCTGGTACTCTTCAGAGAAGCCCATGTTTTTTGCGAGAACTAAAACAATCATGCAGTAGTTTTTTGAATCCAGCGACCAATAAATAAGTAAGATTTTAAAAAGAATGTTCTTCATACACGACTGCTTTAACCCACGGATAAAAATGTCGTTGCACCTTGCCATTTGCCGCCATGCCAACGGCTCGAAATCGTTTGAAAACCACTCTCCTCCATAAATATTCATTATCGCCAAAACATCACGAATGAAAAACCGACGTTGACCAGATGAAAAACATCAATTTCAAACTGACAAAATAAGAACCCCCCACAACTTCCAAGCCTGCCTACCGTACAACCGAAATAATCTCATAGAAGAATCGACAATAGACACTACGCTACAGCATAGATAGATTAGAGGATCCCGATAAATAGATGATGACCTCAACAAGCAATCCAGACAAACAAGCCAACGGCGTTCCCCCAACTGACGTTGAGCAGCCATCCATGCTCATCAGGGAAAATTCCATTCGGCAGCACTCGTCCAACAAAGTGAATTTTGGAGTGCTTCTCGTCGCATGGGCTGTCCTGGTCACTGCTGCATTGGTTGCCGGCTACGTTTTCCTTTTCGCACCTATTGTTGCTACAGAGGTGCCACTTAAACCAACGTCCAATTTTACCATCAATGGACCAATAGTTGTCACTCCTGAAATCACTACATCTCCCACACCATTGGATACCACGCTAGTTCCCTCTACTTCTCCAACCTTGGCTCCCACTGTGTCTAAGGATTTCAAGGGTGCCATCGAAGACTTTCTGCTCGAAGGCGCCGTCGAAGTTCGTTCTTCTGCTAATCAGGCGGTGGCCAAGGCAATCGATTGGTTGGCGGCTGAAGCTGCCGCTGCCAATTCTCTATTCTTTCCATTTGATGAGAAGTACTTGCAACGATTTGGTATTTTGATTTTGTACTATTCAGTATTCACAGAGGAACGAGAGCTCGGAGATGGAGAAGTTTCTATGCCCAACATTGGGATGCGAACACAAGACGAGTGCTTTTGGAGAGGAATGAAATGCGATAAGAAGGGAAGACTGGTCGAAATCAAGCTGGGTAATAGACAGCTGGACGGTGTTTTGCCTTCCGAATGGGGTTTCTTTCCGCGCCTCAAATCAATTGATTTTTCCAAGAATGACTTGAAAGGAAGCATCCCAGGAGAGTTGTATGACATCAGGGGATTGGAAGAAGTATTCATGTACAAGAATCAGTTGAGTGGGACCATTAGCACCAAAATTGGAAAATTGTGGAGCTTGAAAAGGTGGCATGTGAGCCAAAATAAGCTGAGTGGATCTATTCCAAGGGAATTGCAATCCCAGGGGAATAAGCTTCGCCAACTTCGTAAGTATAGAGATGTCGATGAGATGAAATGGGAGACCGTATTGTTTGTTCTAATGCTAAATGGTTCGTCTCGCAGGCTACTTCAATGTTCATCGCAATCAGATGACGGGCTCCATTCCTTCCAATCTGCGATGGCGTCAAATTGTATACATGGACTTGGGCAACAACAAATTTTCATCGGAAATTCCTGAAGATTTTGGAAGAGAAGCTATCAGATTGAGGCATTTGTACTTGGATCATAACAACTTCGAGGGTTCAGTACCCTCAACCGTTTTAAATTCTGGTGGCGATCGCATCCGAACATTGACACTCAATGACAACAACTTCACCGGCACCCTACCTGTAAACAACAATTCCGAGATAATTGGTAAGTTCGTCACCGCTTACCATTGTTGTGACTCCTAAACAGTGACTCTTTTCTTACCTTGCTACGTTGCGCGTTGCTACTTGGATTCACAGTCGAACTCACGATTCAAAACAATAATATTGTTTCGATGGACAGGAGTAGCTGCCAATTGGGTGTCTTTTCAGGTGGAGAGCTAGTCGAATTCAAATCGGATTGTCTCGTTTGCCGATGCGGGTTCGGGTTGATGTGCCGAAACTGCCAGTTGTAGTAATCTACATCGCTGCATTGCTGATCAATCGACGGATGAACCTTTATCCCTGGATGATCTGGGTCTTTTTCGTGACCCTCTCTCGTTTAGCGGAGCTATTTTTGCAACTGCGATAGCGTTGATAAATCATTACTAACTAGACCAATGGTCGCTTCCATACTTTTGCCCTACTGTAGGTGCTAGAATGGTGACGCTTCGATCTCCTTGCTTCTTGCGTCGTTGTCGTTATTGTCTCATTTGCCTCGACGCGCGTGCGTTTGAACGCCGATTTCAGACGGAAATTTTCCATCACGAGAATCAATCAATCATGCAGTAGGCAGATTCTCCGAAACATTTTAAAATACACGTGGATTGAAAATGTCGGGGAGGAGTTTCGACAGGGAAAATTCCAGATACGAACACACATGTATCTTTCTCGACACTCAATCTTGTTTGACCCAAAGTGGCAACATCAACCGAAAAGGAACAAATTCCAGCAAAAAGAAAAACACATAAACCCTCGGAGCGAACTTTCGGGCATGGCAAACTTGAGCTGTCCACACAATCACAGCAGGAATGACCCCCTCGACATAGAACAGCAATCTTCTGGTAAGCCGTATCCATTGGCGCGAGTTGATAGCACAGGTTTGCCCATTCCTCCTCCACCAGCTGAATCTCCGCCCATCACAACATCAAAAGGCTTCACGCCTGACTGCAATCGCAATACGTGTACCAGCAATGCGCAGGCACGAGTAGAGAAAAGTCCAAAAACTGAAAGCACCACTTCACGAGAAAAAAATGATAATGTCTGGAATTCAGATCCCAAAGGACGATGGTCGCTGGAGAGGAAACTTGAAATGTTCATCTTGTCCATGATGATCTTAATCGTTATCGTGATATCTTTAATTGTGTTTTTCATTTTTGGGCCAAGCAGCGAAGGAAACGGCGGCGGGCCTGTCGAAATACCTGCCACTCCTCTCATTGAAGCACCAACGAGTTTCGCTACTGATCCCACTCTCTCTCCCAGTGAGTTTGGAGCTACCCCAATTCCATCTCCCACCACGCCTCCGAGTCTCTCGCCCACATCACCTCCGAGTCTCACTCCAACATGGCCTCCGAGTCTCACTCCAACATCACCATTTCCTTCTTCATTTCCTTCTTCACCTCCCACCACCGTGAATCCTACCCTTTCCCCGACGGGCTTTGAGCGTGGCATCCGTGAATTCTTGTCCCAACAGGACGGGAATGCCAATCAAGACTCGGAAAAGGCAAAAAAGGCAATCGATTGGTTATTGGAGGAAGCAACCGTGGCTCAATCTGCCATATCGCCATTCAATCAGAAGTTCTTGCAACGGTATGGTATTTTAATTCTGTACTTTTCCGTCTTTTCAGATCAAAACACGGAGTCAGGTAGTCCCAATAATAATGTTCCTTTACCCAATATGGGCATGCAAAATCAAGACGAATGCACTTGGACAGGAGTGACGTGTGATGAAAATGGAATGATGACCGCAATCAAATTGTCCAAGCGACAATTGGACGGAACCTTGCCATCCGAATGGAGACATTTTCCAAGCCTCAAGTCTATTGACTTTTCAGACAACAACTTGCAAGGAAGCATTCCGGAGGAAGTTTATGAAATCATTGGTCTCGAAGAGGTTTACTTGTACAAGAATAAGTTGAGTGGGTCCATCAGTTCCAAGATTGGCAACTTGTGGAACTTGTCAAGATTCCAAGCGAGCCATAACAAGCTCTCTGGATCTATTCCACCTGAATTTTCATCCATTGGGGGCAAGATTCGACAGATCCGTAAGTCCTGTATTGATATAATGATGGGTTGGAACGAACTCCAAGACCATTGATGTGCTGACACCAATCGACCTGCTGCTTTCTTCTGGTAGGCTACTTCGACGTTCATCGCAATCAAATGACGGGCACGATTCCTTCCAATATGAGGTTGCGCCAAATGTTTTACATGGACTTGGGACGCAATCAATTCAGTGGGACGCTGCCTCCCGACCTGGGCAGCGAAGGTTATGTTCGCTTGCGCCACTTGTACCTCGACCACAATTACTTTGAAGGTTTATTGCCCGAGTCCTACATAGTCGCCGGTGATGGACGTATCAACACGCTCTTTGTAAATGACAACAACCTGACTGGTGCGTTTCCTGGCAACGGCGAAGTCAACCACCGGATGAGTAAGTGATCAAAACAGATAAGGCAATCTTCTGATTCATGCAGCAGATTCTAACGTTTTTCCTCGTATCGCCTCGATTCACAGACCAACTGACAATCCAAAACAATAACTTCACTTCGATGGGTCCGAATTCTTGTAGACTGTATTGGACTGGATGGCTAGTTGAGTTCAAAGCAAACTGCAATATTTGCCGGTGCCGATACATGTGCCGACATTGTGTGTAGAATGTTGTAATGTAAGCGGGGGTCATTCATTTCACATGTCTGTTCGTCCATTCATTCATTTGTCAACAGATGAATTAATTCCAACATCTGTCATTGTTGGTGATGTGGAGAATGAAGGAATCACCTTCATTGTGAAGGTTGTAGATGTGTATGGCCTTCGTCCGTCTGGAATCCATTTGATCGAACTTCAAATTTCAGCTCAACTTTTTTTAAAATGGGAGCGGATATGATGCCATTATCATTCACCTCTCAAACAGCTGTAGTATCTCATGGATACAAAAAAATTGAAGCGACCAGCCGTTGACCAATAAAACGGTGCTGGAAAATATGTTGTGACGACGTTCTTGGCGTGCCGGGAAGATGTTGTTCCTCCTTCTTCTTGGAGTAAGCAAACTGATACGTACTGCTGTCGTCGTCATGAATTTGGCTATTCAAATTGGATGGTCTGGAATCCATTATATTACAATACCTGTGAAGAGAATGATGACACCAACAATATCCAATACAGCTGAACCTACTATTGGTTTACAACTGGACCTACTATTGATTGAGGCAATCCGCTTCTTCTCCATCACAATTATCCAAAATGGGGTTGTAGGATCAAAATTCCAAAAGTGGCGATTGATGGTCGCACTTTTGAAATTTGATGTGGTTGAGATTCCTACAGAATAAACGTCATAAGAAGAAGCTATACTAGAATTCCAAATCCGCCAGCATATCAGCTGCCTTGCAGTCCGTTCCAATCTACAGTACCTCTACCATCATATATATATCCAAACAGTACAAGGTACCCGGGGTACTTCTATGCAACCATTGCGGTCATCAATCTGAAATCACATATTGTGCGATTCAAAAGCACGTGTTACTGTAGAACGCCGCTTTCAGTACGTAAGAAAATTCCGCGAAAAATATCGCGTTCTTCAAAATCACCTTTCAATCACACAATGGGCGGAGTTTTGCATGTGCGTATGAAACAAGCACCGCACAATCGGCTTGAGGCGCGCATCTGATCATTCAAGGAGGAGCGTCAATTTCAATCTTGCAAAACATTTTCCACAGCATCAATCATATTTTAACAACGATATTGATCACAAAAAGTCGAGACCTGTCTCACGAACACACCGGCTGCCAAGGAGTCAGCCTCACAAGAATTCGTGGGACGTCTACAAATCTTTCGGTTTGCATACAAAACAGAAAATACGGGAGCATGGGAGAAATTGTCAAATCCAATTATGAACCAGGTTGCATTTCCATCGACGTGGAACAGCCTTCTGTTGTCAACGAAAATCCAAATAAAAAATGGCCAACAAAATACCTAATGATTGCCCTTCCAACACTTCTCGTCATAATTCTCGGGTTGATTGCTGTTTCCTTATTTCTTGTTCTGACAGAAAGTGAAAGCACTTTTCCCGCCGGGCAAGCAACTGAGCGTCTCTTCCAGGCACCAAAACGAGCCACTCCTCACCCTACAATAGCTCCCACATCGCAATTTCCTTCCTCATCTCCCACCACGATGAGTCCTACTCCTTCTCCGACAGGCTTTGAGCGTGGCATTCGTGAATTCTTATCCCAACAGGATGGGAATGCCAATCGAGACGTGGAAAAGGCAAAAAAGGCAATCGATTGGTTATTGGAGGAAGCAGCCGTGGCTCAATCTGCCATATCGCCATTCAATCAAAAGTTCTTGCAACGATATGGCATTTTGATTCTCTACTTTTCCGTCTTTACCGATCAAAACACGGAGCCAGGTAGTCCCAATAATAATACTCCTCTACCCAATATGGGGATGCAAAACCAAAACGAATGCGATTGGGAAGGAATGACGTGTGATGAAAATGGAATGTTGACCGGAATCAAACTAGCCAATCGACAACTGGATGGTTCGCTGCCTTCTGAATGGAGTTTCTTTCCAAATCTCAAATCCATTGAGTTTTACAAGAATACCTTGCAAGGTAGCATTCCAGAAGAGTTGTTTGATCTCGTAGGATTGGAACAAGTATTCTTGTATCACAATCAATTCACGGGGAGTATCAGCTCCAAGATTGGCCAATTGTGGAATCTTACAAATTTCGATGTTAGCCACAATAAGCTGAGTGGGTCTTTGCCACCTGAGTTGTCATCAAAGGGAGACAGGATTCGTCAGATTCGTAAGTAAAGATAACCGAGGGTATCTTGGAATGATAGTTGGTTGGTTGGTGATAAACCATAATGATCATTCTCACCCAACCATCCTTACTCAGGTTACTTCAATATTCATCGGAATCAAATGACTGGTGTCATTCCTTCCAACATGCGATTGCGCCAAATGTTTTACATGGATTTGGGGTTCAATAGAATTAGCGGGACGTTACCTCAGGAGTTTGGCGATCAGGCTGTCAGATTGAGACATTTATTTCTGGATCATAATGAATTCCTTGGTACTTTACCAGAGTCATATGTAGTCGCCGGTCAACGCCGTATCAAAACACTCTTTGTGAATGACAACAACCTCTCTGGTGTCTTTCCTGGAAATGCCACACTCTTTCAGAAAATGCGTAAGTGTGTTGGTGCTTTGCTGGTCAATGGATATTTGTGAATGTTGGTATGTCTAATTTTCTGCATTGCTCTTTGATTCAAAGAGGAACTGAAGACTACAAACAACCACTTTGATGCGTGTAATATGGGTTTCTATCCGGATGAACCACGCATTGAATTGAAAACAGACTGTGATATTTGCAAATGCCGAAGACTTTTCATGTGCCGATTCTGCAAAGATCATCCACGACGATCACTTTTGAGGCATCAAATGGAATGATTGTATAGCGGGATACTGTAGTATAGGGGTTTCATAAGGAGTTTCATAAGATCCTTACTGTACCGTAGCATCATGGACATTAGAAACATACCTGTATCGTACACGTGTACCACCGCCGTGAGCTGGAATGCATGTGCATGTGAATTTGAGATTTTTGTGTCGTGTGTTGCATGAAGGTGCACGTGTCGATGGTCGCGTTTCTATAAATGTAGATTTTGAATGTGAGAACATCACGTGGGAATCAATCAATCGTTCGTATTTTTTTAGTTCATGAAACTTGCGAAAAACAAAACACTTTATTCAAATCGCTCTCATAAATCTATTCATCGTGCAACTGAACCTAAATCATGAGGCATTTCCTGTTGTTCTTTGTGTTTTGCACTTTTACTACCATTGCCAATGCTGCAAATCTTCGTGGAAATGGGCAACAGAAGAGGGTATCGAGCGACTTATCTTTGCCAACCATTATCAACGAAGAATCCACCAGAACAACAATAAGTGAATCATCACCATCTGATGATGACTCTAAAGATTCAGCGGCAGCGGCACTGGACAGTGTTCACAAGATCTTGGACAAGGCCAAGAATACAGGCATGACTGGAAATTCGCGCAAAGTCTCAACGGCTTCTCTTCCGACTGCTACTAGCAACTCCCGTCGGCGAGCACCATCGAGTCCTTCTGCAACTACCTTGACTGAAAACTCTCGAAAGCAGTCTTTCATGTCTGCTCCAGCTCCTACACTTGCAACTTTTCTTCCGCTCTTGTAAAATTTTCTCGCACTGGGCAATGTACTTGTACGCGAAGAGGACAATCGCGGTTTACACTTTAGAAATGATATATATTAGACAACTTGTTTTTTAATTGGATATTATCTTGTGCAGAAAGCGTGATGTATGGCAACGTCTTCTTCTCTCGCAATAAGAATATATTCTTCGTTCCAGCTTTTTGCATAATATAATCCTTGTTACCACTTTTCTTAGTGTCTTGCCCTGCTGGAAATCACTTCCTTTACTAAACTTGCACTGGACCCTCCTCACACCACATACGAACTGAGAATGTCTTCAAACAAAGGCTTCATGGAGTCGTAGTCAGATTCTGGAGTCTGAGCCGTTATGGACACAAGAACACCACCGGCGGCGGCGGTGGGTCCAGCGGTGAGGGAAAAAATGGTTCGGAAATGTGTCTTTGGTTGTCCAGGAGAGGATTGGTAGTAATCGAAGTAGTATCCGCCCTTTTTGCTCTCAGCGCTCAACAGTTTGGCATCAATGCCTTCGTTACCAGCGATTTCTCCCTTTGGCAAGATCGTCGCTTGACCCACTTCATCTGCCGTCCCAAAGCTTCCCAACGATGTAAAGTCGGCACGGACAGGAGTGTAGACAAGAGATACCAGTGTCTTCTTCTCTGACCCAGGCTTGATATACAAGGTGATTTTTCTGCGATCAGGAAGGGTCTGTTCAGACTTTTCCCAACTAGTTGGCAATGAGACTGTGAACTTGCAGTCTTCATCAACATACTTGACTAGAGCATTGTCCGATGATTCAGCGAATACTGCTGACGGTTTGATCAACAAGGAAGATGTTGCAAGTCCAGCAGCTGATACTAGCAACTCTCGTCTTGATGTTCCTGATTTATCAACAGCAGATGTCGCAGGGCGTGGTAGCAGAGGAGAGTAGGCTGTCAAGGTAGACACCTGCAGCAAAAGTAGGAGAAGCAACAAGGCAGTCATGATATCTTGAACTGACTGTTGTTTTTATGAAGAGAGCCAGTTGCTCTCGGATTGCTGACGTCACATTGAAGCAAAGAATCCTGGAACACGGAATCTTACGATTCGGTAATCCGCCGAAACAATTATAGCCAATTTCAAATTGGTTGGTCTGAAGATCACCCATCTAAAATCATAATCCACAACACAATCCAAATCTTTTTGTTACAAACTACACAATGACTTGAGCAATCGGATATTGAGAAAATCGCATGAGGACGTTGACAATGGTAGGTGAAACTTTCATCGTTTTTTAACTATAATAGCACACCGCCCAGAGGATGAGAATCTTGCTCAATAATCATTCATGCGTGTCAAATGATTTAACCGTGATCTGAACAAAACAGCTGCTGATGGGTGTGGATAGCTATACAGTATTGATATGATATTGGTCTTTCAATTGTATCCTGCTGTCCGACCAAGCGCATATCAACATTTATATTACTTATATCGACTCGTTCTCACCATCTATTGTTTTCAGTTGTTGTCAACCCCAGATTTGGTCACGACAAAATAATCACACAAGGCCATTGGCATAGCAGGAGTTACGCCCAGGATTAAAGCCATTGTGAGTTTCAAATATTTGTATTTTAGAGAGAAAGAGCCCATGATGATAAACCATCCATATCATAGACCTGTACGGAACTTTTTTGGTTGGGTCTACGCCGAAAGGTGTTGACCTGCCGTTACGTGTCGAGAAAACCGATGCACCACCAACTTAGGCTACACGGAGTTGCTGCTATTATGATTTCTTTCACCGCAGCACTGTACTCACTCATTGCTTAGCCATATTTCTATTTATTTTACAGTTCCTATTACAGGTGCAAACGCTATGAAGTTTCCCGTTGAGAGCAAGTGGACACTGGTTTCATGAGAGAGATTCATTCTTTGACCGCAATCTCGTAGGCAAATCTCTGGAGATCTGGATATACAATAGATTCATCCATAAACTATAGATTGGCCATTCGACTGCCTCCCAAGCACGTCGAAGCAAGAATTCGAGGCAATAGCCGTAGAGGACTCACTCCTTCTAATAGTAATCATCCATCTCTTCATCATCATAATCCGCATCTGAATCCCAAACATCCTCGTCGTAGCTGACATCATACACATCACCCATGTCCATCGCAGAACCCCAGGCCCCTTCCATCTCTGTTTCCGCGCGAAAACGATCGGCTGCAGCTCTGGCAGCCTCCACGGCTCGTTTTCGAGCCTCACGGATTTGTTCAAGGGCTTCCAAGTGCCTTTCTGCCATTTCCACAAGATCTGACTCCAGATTTTTGTTGTCCCCTTGGAGAGCCATGACCATGTCGTCTTCCAGCACATTGTTCATGCGAACATCTGCTTGAATGTTCAGTCCCATCTTTTCCTTGCCCTCATGAATGACTGCCGCCAAGGCTTCAGCAGCACGAGTGTCAAGTGAACAGTGTCGCAGGCCCAGAGCAATGCTGCAAGTCCGTTTGTCGTTGGCTGGCCTGTCAGTTTGCTCTTCGGCGTCGTCTTCGTCGATGAATGCATCTGCGAATGCGAGTGCTCCACACTTGGTTTCCTTTTGCTCAGAACTTCCAAATGCGCCGTCGCCGTTCATTCGATCCTCCTCCTCGTCATCGCTCTCCAGAGTGTTTTGGTTTTCGGTCAGTCCAATATCTTTGAGACTTCTTTGGACTCTTTTACCAATGATGTTCATGTATGCTGCAGTGGTAGCAGTTGCCTTGCTCTTCAGAGCACTTGCAGAGTACCCACCAGACTTTTTGACCTTGCGAAGGATTCCAATTGGATTTCCACTGAGATCGATATATATCTTCCTGGGCCGATCCGTTTGGCGTTTTCCAATATTCTTCAAAACGGTGGCAAACGCGCTAATACCATCTGCTCGGATGTGACAGCTTCTTAGAATCAACTTGCCAACGGAATTTTGTTCGATGGTCCGCGCCAATTCTCGAGCACCAGCATCTCCAATCTCCTTGTTGTGGCTCAGATCCAAACTTTCCAACCGACCAATAGTGCCCTTGGAATTGGCAAGAGCACGGCCCAGAATGGCAGCTCCTTCGTCGGTGATGTGATTGTTGCTCAGAATCAAATGCTTCACTGAGGAAGGGTGGTCTTCCAAGGCAATGGCCAAGGCTTCGGCACCAGTATCACCAATCCCACAAGCCGATAGATTTAGTACGTCGAATACCACAGTATTAGTATTCTTGGAAGCAATGGATCGAATGGCAGCTGATAATGCAGCAGCACCTGCATCGCCAATGTACTCATTCTTGGTCAAATGAAGGCACATTGGCTTGATTTCTGTGTTGTCCGTCTTTGTCTCTGTATCGTATCGAGAAATCATACCCTAAAAAGTAGCAAAGGGAGTATTAGCATCATATAGTTGGTCAATATCCACTGCATCCTTCCTTCATTCCATCCCCATAACCAACCTACCTTTCCTATTGCACGACATGCTGCCGGGCTCAATGCACAGACATCCAATCTCAGAACAAAGGGCTCGGGAGAATTTGATGACTCTTGTACCAGCTTCTGTAGAGCTTTGAGAAACTTCTTGGATTCGCTTGTTCCCTCGTCTCCAAAGTTGTTCCATCCAAGATCCAAGGAGTGAAAAGGAAATGTCGGTGACTTCGGCGGTTCTTCCTCCTCTATTTTGGTTGCATTTGCCTCTTTCTCGTCAGGTGCCAGTTTGGCTTCCGTTTTAGATTCGTCACTATTGGGCATTTCGGTTCGTGTCAAGACCGCTTCCAACAATAGTCGTCCATCTCTGGACGACCAATTGTTGCTCCTGGCGGTCAAGTCCATCATTGAATCTTCCTTCATGTCCTTGAATATTGACACTATATTCTTGATGTCTTTTCCAATCAGCGAAGAACTCAGATCTATTTCGATATCTGACTGCTTTTGGAGCCTGTTTTTCAGGACCTCTGCCAAAGTATCTGGTTTCACACGGTGAAGGTACGACAAGTCAAGCTTGGTCTTATGTGAAGTTCTAGCGCTAGTAGCTTCTGCTTGTGATGCCAGCAACCATAACAGACCTAGTGATATTGAGCCCCATTTCGCTGTCATTTTCTATTCTATGAAGTTTTCGTTGTAAAGTAAATAGCAGGTGCAATGAGGGCAATCGATTGATTGATTGATTGATTGATTGATTCTCCCAATCACTGATTTCCAGCATCAAAAGGTTGTGTGTTGGAAGCAGTTGAAGTCTCTGATGGATCGACGGGTCGACTCCTTCGATCGTTTTGCCGCTCGGGCGGCGGACATACACGATGGCAACCAAAACCAAGGAAACTGAGAATAACTTGTCACAGAAAAAAGAACAAGAAGATCGACAAAACACCTTCCAACATGGTATCCAAACGAAAACTAGATGCTGTTGAAGGCACGAAAGCCGAAAAGAAATCCAAGCAGTCTCCTTCTACTGTGAGCAATGATTCTTCCAACAAGATTTCCTTCGATCACAAGTACATTGTTGCTCCAATGGTGGGAGCCTCCGAACTTCCGTTTCGATTGCTCTGTCGCAAGTATGGTGCTCAATTGGTGTACACTCCCATGATGATTGCTGAGCAGTTCGCAAGCTCCAAAGAATACCGAAAAAGCGAGTTTCAAACGTGCTCCTTTGATCGACCATTGGTATGTCACTTTGCCGCCAACGACCCAAAATCCTTTGCCAAGGCTGCCAAGAAGGCCGAACCCTACTGCGATGCGATTGATTTGAACTTGGGATGCCCCCAGCGGACTGCTTACGTTGGTCACTTTGGATCCTATCTATTAGATTCCAAGGATCGTGAATTGGTCATCAGCATTGTCCAAGCTGGAGCTGCCGCGGTCAATATTCCAATTTTTGTCAAGATCCGACTGTTGGATACCTTTGACGAAACAGCAGAACTTTGCCGACAACTATACGAGGCAGGTGCATCATTGATTGCCATTCATGCTAGATTTCGGGCTAACTTTCAGCGCAAGGGACCTGGAGCCAGAGATGGCCCTGCCTTGTTGGACCAAGTGAAGCAACTGAAGGAAATGTTTCCGGACAAGGTTGTCATTACCAACGGCAACACCATTACCTATGATGATGTGGAGAAGAATTTAGAAGAAACCAACGCGGATGGAATCATGAGTGCGGAAGGAATCTTGGACAATCCAGCCTTGTATTTGGGTCGATTAGGAGATCGAGAACAAGCAGACACTTCTGTAGAAGTAAAGGGAGGCAGTGTGTACAATGCCTGGCCAGAAGTTGAAAAGCAAACGCTGGTGCAAAAGCTTCGCACAATCCGAAAGTTACAAACCAAGGCTGTAGCCGGAAAGGAACTGTCCGCAAAGGAACTAAAGAAGCTTGCCAAAGCATCCAAGGTTCAATCCAAAATTCAAAAGATCAATGACAAAATTGTCCAAGCGACTGGTCCACTGGCGTATTCGACCTCCAAACTGGGCGACTTGTACGCCAAATCCGACGACAAGGTCAATCTGGCACTGGAATATCTTCAAATTGTGCATCAATATCCTGCCACACTGCGAACTGTCATTTTTCATACCCGACGAATACTGAAAACCGAACTGACCAGTTATCAATTGATGGAGGAATGTCTTGCGTGCAAATCGATGGATCAAGTGGAAGCTTTGGTGTTGCGAATTCAGGGGTATCAAAAGGACCCAGCATCCTTTCAATACGATGTGGAAAAGGCCAAAAAGGAAAAGGAAGCACTGGCTCGTAAAAAGGCCGAAGAAGGACGACGAAAGAATTACGAAGCAAGAATGATTCGCAAGGCCAAACGAGAGGGCAAGAAGGATTTGGAATTTTACTTGCGCCAGGGTGCGTCCGTTCCAACACTCGAAACGGTCCAAGAACTGAAAAGTCTGACCAAGGAAGGGCAAATGAAACTATGGAAGGAGCGAGAACACTCGCAGCACTGTTTGGCCTTTCATTTGACTGGTGAATGTCCACGGGGACGAGGATGTGCCTTTTTGCATGTAGCATCCAAGACGGATACCACCTTTAATGAAACGGATGAAGTAGCAGGATAAACAAGACAAGACAAGACAATTAAGCGGTACTATATTAGGAGTAGTACTCTAGGATTGTATTATTACTCTGAATACTTTTAAAATTTGACTAACACAACGAAAGGCTTGGAGAATTCTCATTATGATCCAAACCTAAGGATCACACTCACTATCCCTATCCCAATCTAGGCATCACTAATATCATTGACACCTTCTACTCTTGCTTTCTTGTTGGGTCCAAGTGCATCTCCATTTTCCTCTTCAGTAGTATTAGCATTAGCTGTAGAAGGAGTAGTAGAAGGAGTAGTAGTATACCAAGACAATTCTGGCAATTTGGATATTTCTTCCGACCGATCTGTATTATCAATGACCGAATCGAGACCTTCCAGTTGCAACGCATCCGTCAAGATTTGTTTTCGCTTTTTGAGCTTTTCCGAGACTTGCGCCAATTCGAAAAATTCCTTGGCCGCTTGACGGGATCCAAATTGGCATCTCGATTTTATCAGCAAATGAATGAGGGTCTTGCGTGCCTCTTGTTGTCGAAGGAGAATATCTTTAAAGGTGGCAATATTCCCCAACTGTTCTTGCAAATCGAGATCCAACAGTTTGGATGGCATGCGTTTGCTGTAATCGTGAATGGTCTCTTCGTCCAATTCTTCTTCTTCTTCTTCCTCATTATTATCATTATTCTTGTTATTCTTGTCAAGATTGTCCAAAATATCTTGGGGCAAATTGTCCAAGAGGGATCCCAATTGGACGGGAGCATCGTTTCTCAAATCTCTGGCAATTTGCAAGGTGGCAATTCCCTTGCAGGGTTGCAAAAACTCCTTGGCGTCCACCTTCCCAGCCGGAACACCCTGATGCATGAATGATGAAAATGAATGATGAAATTGATGGAACGAGCAGCAGATATGTATATATGTTAGTATTTGTCTTGTCAAGCATGTAGGTACTGTATGAATATCAATCCATCCATCCATCCCTTTCGTCGGTTCCTTTCTTTTCTTTTCCTTTCCTTTCCTTTCTTTTATTAAAATTAAAAACGTACCTTGCTTTCAAAATCGTATTGAATATCCTTTCCACTAAGACTTCCCAAGGATGACCTTCTTCTTTGTAATGTTGGTCGTTCTATCTCCATCTTGTCGTCGTTATTCACAATACTACTAATATCAAGCATATTTTCTGGTTCCTCCTTGGATTCTTGTTGTTGCTCTTGTTGTTGTGATGATGTTTTCGTGGGTGATTCTTCTTCCACAGCATCGGCGGTAGCAGCAGCACTTGGTGTTGTTGTGGGTGCAGGTGTCATGGTATTAGTAGTAGTAGTAGTAGACGACGACTCGGTTACCGCCGTGGTTGTCTTGTGATTGTCATTCGATGTTGTTGACGGTGTTGATGTTGATGATTCGTCCTTGAATATCTTTTTCATTTGAGATACCATGGTCGGTCCTCCAAAGACATTCTTATCGTCCCATTCCTTGAGGAAATTATCCTGAACTTGAGATGGAACTTGGTCTTTGTGTTCTGTAATGGCCGTCAAAATGGTAGTTTCACCCAATGCCGTTCGCAGCGGTTGCAGTTTTTCCCATTTGGATAGATTGGAATGATCCATCAGCAGGACGTCATTGATGAGTTGCCAGTACAACCACTGACGGCCACTGTTGCCAATTCCAGCATTACCACCATTACTGCTATTGCCACCATTACTGCTATTGCTGGATTTCAAATGATGCAACAATGTTTGGGCGATAGTATCCGCGTGTTTTCGATTAAAGCCCACCCAATTGGCCAGCGTTTGAATGGACTCCTTGCTGGCATTGTCGGTAAGTCCTGACAATTTCTTTTCGAATTTCTTGGCCCACGCTGCGGACATGATGTGTATGATGTATGATGTATGAATGTATATGTATGTATAATATATGTATGTATATAAATGTATGTATGTATACCTTTTATATACTATACCTCTAGGTGTTTGATGTCTGTCTATCAAAATGGTAATACAATAATGAAATAAAAGAATGATATCCAACACCAAAACGAGAGCTGCGAGATTTTGCTTCGTTGCGGGACGATGAGAGCACGAAAAAATGCGATCCAGCATACCGGACGACGTACAGACAACACCAGTTTCAAAAACCAAAACACCAACGTGACGTGAGAGCAAAATAAGAGCATTGAGTGAGAATCCAATTGCACACAGTATTGAACGACGACAAAGCTAAGAAGACGAAAGACAAAAATGTCATTTTGGCAACAATCATTAGGATTGCAAGACGAGAACAAGAACACTGATGTGCAATCAATTGAGGAGGATAATAATAAGGATTTCGGCGAGGATGTGATTGCCAATGATGACAGCTTTGACGATGACCCGTTTTGGGCGGACGATGATGACTATTATGAAGAAGAAGATGATGATGATGATAACGATGATGACAACGATGATGATGACGAAGGTGATAACGATGATGGACTAGAAATAGAATCACCAATTCCTTACAACAATGATATTTCTCCTATTGACGATCACCATGACGATGATAATTCAGAGCAAGTTTTGGAATATTTGGACCAAGACCATCCAGGAGCTCCTCTTCCTAATATTTCTTCGCCGCCCAAGATTGTTATAGACGAAAGTATTGATGTCCTCTCATTGCCATCTCCACAAGAAGACAAGATGGCTCTTGTTCCGGTGGATTACTCCTTGGCACCACCAAGACGACCACCACCTCCACCACCACCCCCAAGGAGAACCACAACCACCACAACGACAACAACAACAACAACAATGATTACCCCCATGACACCACCGCCCACCACCACACGACAAGAAAAGCACATGCAATTTGTCTTTCTCAGTGATCAAAAGGCAGTTCCTTCGGAACTCAAACGACTCCAAGAAACCACGAGACGACGACGACGCGAATTGCAAAATCAGCATCACCATGTCGAACTCCAAATTGCGAGGGCCGCCTCTACCTTTGCCGAAGAAAAGATGGATTTGGGATTGGCCATTAGCGATACCTTTGAACGATCTTGCTGTCTGCCACTGGAAGAAGCGACGGAACGAATCTTTATGGAACGCGAGACGGTCATGGATCGGAGGCCTGCCGTATCCATGCTCGAAAAACGAATTAGCCGCGTCGAACAAGACATGATGCATCATTTGCATGTCGAATTGAGCAATGCCAAGAAGGCTGAACTAGATAGTTTTCGAAAGGATTTGGTACAGGAAATCATTCCCAGTGTACGAATTGAAAAGTCCATGGCGGATAAAATTGAAGGCGGTGTCATTCGACGGTATGAATTCAATGCGGGACTGGCGTCCAAGCATTTTCATCAAGAATGTGCCAGACGCAAGGCGGAACTCGAAATATTCAATCGACAAATGAGAGCCGCTCTCAGTCAACAACAACAACATTCCGAAGATATTTTGGATCGAATTCAAAATCTAAGATTGCAACTGAAAATGGAAAAGGAAGAACGCAAGGTGGCGGATCAAAAATTAATGCAGGATCTCCAAAAGACATCGATCGCCATGAGACGGGCCTTTTTGGCTGCCTTTGACGACGATGCTGATGGTAATTCTTCTCCTTCGAAAAGTAAAAGCAAACAGATGGACATGATACATCGCTCATCATAATTAGAACAACAATTATAATAATGATGACAATGATGACAATAATGATAATGTAATAAGAGTGCCAGGTACAATAGTGGTGTGTGGTACTTGTACTGGGATGCCGGTATTCAATATCAAGAATTATTTGGAGTCAGTCATCGTCTGTCCGCAGTCAAAGTTTAGTCAAAGTGATCGACATTTCCAGCCCACAAATTCATATTCATGAATTCATTATTCAAAACTAAACTCGATTCGATGATCCTTACATCCATCAGCACATCATAGGAGCACACATTGATATTATTTGTTATCCATAGTTTCATTGCCTCATTGTGCTTTGTTGCTAAAAGCTACTATTAGCTTGTCGAAAAAACGTATCATGAAGGAACAACAAAAGCGGAAACTGAAAGTCCTCGTCATTACCATGGGAGGGGATCGACAGGAGAACATCAAAGCTCTCTTTGATCGTTTGCAACGAGATTTTGAACCGCCGGTATTCAGTCCGGGGGTATCGGCGCGGGATTTACGAAAACGGTATGACTTTTTTGAGATTGCCAACGAGGTGGGGATCATTCCTCCGCCGGAATGGGAGGCCATTCGGGATGGTCAGGCGACCTATTCGCTGCAAAAAATTACCGAAACCTTTTGGGATTGCTTGGAAGGAATTCCAATCACCAAAGGACGGTGGGGAAGTCAGCATGATCAGTCCTTGCACTATTCGGTCGAGCTGTGGAGAAAGGCAAAAACAATTAATCGTGGTCGGTCTGTTCTGGCATGTACATTTGCTCATTTGCGCGCCATGAAGACCTTTGTCAAGGATGGATCATCATTTGATCTGATACTGGAAGACAATGTTCGGGTTCCAATAGAACATTGTGCACAAAGAATATGGGAAACCATTGCTGCTTCCAAGATCGTGGAAGAGCATGGCATTGCTTGTCATTTGCGGTTTCATGGGTATCTTGGTTCTGTCACAAACATGAAGTACGTCTATCAGACCCACTCCAGGAAACGAGCATATGCCTGTACGTCGGATGGTGACAGTAGTGCCTCGGTTTTTCCATTGCCAGGGCCAAACGATTTAAAACAAGACATTTTGGATGGGGATCTGCCGGAATTTGAATCATCAGTAGAAGAACAAGACAAAGACGGCGACGATAACGGGGAAGGGGAAGACCACCAAGATGATGATAATCAGTCAAAGACGACCAATGAAAGAAAACCAGGGGGGAATTTTCTATGGGGAGCCTACAGTTATTGGATATCAAAAGAAGCGTATGAGAGTTTATTACAACGATTGCGGGTCGATGTTGGAGCCCTTTTATACAAAGGAAGAAGAGCGCGATTCTACGCCGTAAAACCAATCGACAAGATACTTCCGAGGTACATAGCTTTTACTTTTGGGGCACAAACAGTTCAGCACTCGACGCATCCTTCATTCTTTCGAGCTCCAATGCTTACGAGCAAAATACATACAAAATGGGATGCTGAGTTTTGTAAGGTAAGCACCAGCAGTCTCAAGGATGTTGGTCTTCATGAGGTCCTCCTTTACTATTTCTTGTACTCACGAACCCATGCAACTTGTATAGAGCTCGGACTTTCAGCTTCGGCATATTGGACTAGATTGGTCTGATTTGTGGCTCACAGAATCTGAAGAGAGAGTCGTCGTGCACTACCGGAAAACTGGAGAGTGGCTTTCTCCAACAGCATTGGAGCAACTTCAAGAATCCTGATAGCAGCCTTTCGGACTAGTAGAGAGTTGTTCACTAGCTACTTTGTTTGGTCTAAATCCATGCCACTCAAGAAGAAACTAATGAGTTCTTGTGTCTTGGTATCCAAGGTGGCAATCTTTCTCTCGACACTGTCCTCTGCAAAGAGAGAAGCAGCATCGGCAGTATTCACAAATCGGTCGTTGGAAAGGCCACCGTCAGAAGCTCCTTCGTGGACGATCGAGTTGTGGAAATCTACGTGAAGAGCTTTGGCAAAATCTTCCGCACTTCTCTTGTCCCCAAGCCCGTATATTCCAGCGCTCGCTTGTCCCAAAAGTTGTTGCTGGACTTTTTTGCGAGACTCCTCCCTCTTTTCTTCGATTTTCTCGGGGGCGACACTTGATGGGGAAGACTGCAATGTAGGGCGATGAGCGCGACTCCAAAGATGATACAGCACTGATACTGGCGGAGCGTACAAATCATACCCATGAGTGTACAACCGGACGGCCATGCTCAGCTCTTCTCCAAAGAACAAAAAGTCCAGCTTTGGGTCATATGGCACGTCTTGGATCATGGACGCTGGGCCAAAGTTGAAGCCTGCTGCATACAAATGGCAGGGGGTCGCTCTTGGAGGAGGATGTTCAGTACTACCACTATCCTTTTTCAAGAGCCTTCCTCGTTGTCGGAGCATGCCATTCTCGTCAAACTTCCAAGGTACCAACAAAGTTCCCCTTTCTTCATTGGGTATCTTGTTTGGCAGTTCATATCCAACAGGATATGCTGTCAATACTACTCTTTCATGGCAGCCTTTATTCGTTGTTTGTTCCCAAAGACCAATGAGATAGTCGTCCCAATTGGTACGAAAGCGCATGTGCGAATCAATTTGCAAGACAAAGGTTTCGCCCCGATGCAAAGATTGGGCCAAACTTCTGGCATAGCAAGGCCCCAAGGCATGTTTGGCGGCCAGTTCAAGACATCGAACATTGGAATGATTGACATATTTTTGTGTCATTCGAACATTTTCCTGGTCGTAGGTGGCATCATTCTGAAGAACTGCTCCCACGAAGATTCGATCCGGATGCCTAGCATTGGAAAAGAGTGAATCTAGAGTAGGGCATATTTCCGAGTCGCGGTAGCTAGCAATGGAAACGAATATGGACGGCAAACAAGTAGATGAAGAATCAGTTGTCTCTGAAGTTTTCTTGACCAATGGCAATGGTGGTAGAATGTTGGATACTACCTCCTCTGGTACTGGCCTTTTGTTTGCAGAAGCATCCTCGCCTTTTGTAGCAATGTCTTTCGTCTCCACTTGATTCGATAGCTTGGAGTTTGTTCCATTTGATGCTCCAAGTAGTATATCATGATGTCCATAGAACCAAATGGTAATGGCCGTCCGTGATCGTCGCAAACTGGGCAATACCTCGTGCTCCACGCCATCGGATCGAAAAAGGATCAAGCGATCTCGGTAGGGACAAATATCTGTTTTATCTAAGCTGCCATTTGAAAAAACTCGGAGACATCCTCCATCGAGCACTGGATCCCAGTCGTCATTGGTCAGATAGTAAATTGCCGTAATGATTCGTTCGGCTTCTGCTGCTTTTGGTGGCGATTGTGGTGACGCTGGTCCCTGACGAGAGGATGCAGATGATGATGATGATTGTGATTCTGCCATGCACGATGTTTGACCTCGATCGCAATGTCGAGTGTATCCCGAGGTACCGTCACCTGGATAGACGGCAAGTTGCACCGACGTCATGGACGTATCCAGCGTTATTCGTTCGCCCAACTTGTGAAGGATTGTATTGGTAATGGTGGTAATCAATTGATGCATGTGAGGATGTTTCGTAGCAAATTCGGCCTTTTTTCGATATTCTCGTGAGAGAAAGAGAGACTTGTCCCCTCGCACCGTTCCTGTTTTCTGTGGCTGACTAGTGCCATGATCATTTGATGACGACATGGCAAGCATCATGTTTGCCAAAATGGAAGATTCTCCTTTGGTCCGTGCGGGTACCAGCTTTTCCACAAGTTTGGCACCTTCAATCTCCTTCCAAAGCCCATTGACGAATGGGTCACCAAAGTTGCCGTCGAGAACATCCCAGGCACAGCTCTTGTCGTTGACTTGTCCACTCAACAGTCGGCTTGTCAATGGAGACCAACCTTTCAGAATATTCTCATTTGATGATTCTGATGTGGAAGACGATTCTGTTGAGGTCATCTTGACCAAGACGTGAAGATGGAGTGGTAGCAATAGACAACAATATAATGAACACACAATATAAAAAAATGAAAGGGTCGTTGATTTGGATTTGAGTCAGATGAGTCACCCCGAACCATTGACGAAACCGAAAGTTGTCTATGATACCCGTAGTCTACCCGTAGCTATTGTAATACCATTCAAATTAGCTTAGCCTATTTGGTGTTTCTTCTTTTTTAAATTTTTTATTGCTTTATATGTTCTTTGCCTTTGACCCGCTTGATATTTACCAAATGAGAATGTGACAAACAATAGACTATTGCTGCTTGACTCCTAACAATTATTTGCTGTCCAGCAACTAACTGCATTTGCAAATTTACTCTTCCGAACCAAATGTCGACTCTCCACTGTATTGAATGTACAGGAATCCATCCTCATCCTTTTGTTCTTCGTACACAGTTGACATGAGCGCGGCATTCGGTGGGATGCTATTGGAACAAAACAAGAACAGAGCCTTTTCGGGCGCCAGCTTGATGCGCTTGCGAATCACATAGTGAAATTGTCCCACCGTCAAGTCCGCTGGTACCAAATACTTCTTTTTGTCGATATCGGGAATGTCAGATCGGTCCGCCTTTTCGCAAATGACAGGCACTCGGTCGGGGTACTTGGCGCGGATGCGTTCGGCCTCGGACTTGCGCTTTTCTAAAGAATTGGAAAATATAATCGTGAGCCATGGTAGCATTGCAATTTATTCAACGGATGCAAAAAGAATATCGCCATATATATATATAGAGAGAGGAGAGGGTAGCAGTTGTAGAGGGAGTCGCCACGACTTGAACTGACACTTGTTGAATCTCGCTTGGAGCTTATATAGGCCCAATATGGTGACACGAACAAAGAATCTTGAGGAAAATCAATGCTTCCAACATGAATTCGGGTGGGAATGGATGGTTTTGCTGCCTGATATCTCGTCTAATGGTAGCATCATTCGTCAATGGACAGATGGAAGGTTTGTTCATCGATTGAAATCCATTCGTAAATGTTGAAAGAAAGAATTTGTCGTGGCACGTTTCGTTGATGGAGAAATCTCGCGATGTCGCGCTTTTGATGTTCCTGTTCTCTCTCTCTCTCTCTCGCTCGCTATCTTTCCATCATTCTATTCTTCACCTCTTGTAACTTACCAAGCGGGTGTTCTTCCTTGAATGGTTTGCTCATTGTGAAATAGTTTGTGTTGTTGCAGTGCTAATTCCGGATTTTTGTGTAACGACAAAATCTGTCAGAAATTTTTGTCGTGTGTATGTTTTGCTATTGGGCGAGGGCGAGACTTTTGTTCGAAAGAATCAGAACAGTAGTGGCAAACGTTCGCAAACGTACCAGCTGAAACCCGGATCCACAGTGCAAAACTGACATGACGTACGACATACAGACTATATTTTCGACTCTTTCGACCGACATATTCAATAACGCCGCCAAATGACAACACGCGAAGTCAATATCCACCATCTTTATTAAACAAAAGCTCTAGGGAGCACCTCGATCCCATATTAATAGTCCGATTGGAGGAATCATCATGCCTCCAATACCGAAAGATGAGGAAGCGGAAGAAGAAAATCCTTACATGGCCTTGAGAGCTGCGAAAATTGCACGGAATCAAGCCCGTCTGAAAAAGTTGGGGCTCGTTAAGACACCCTTGGAATATGTGCCATCCAAATCCAACGTCCAGCGATCCAAAAAGCCACTTCCCAAGAAATCACCACCACCAACTGCAATCATGAGACGATCCAACCGACTTTCCAATCAATCCAATCCGCCCGACTACAAGGAAAAAGCACTACCCAGAGACTATCCAGCAGTGAAGGATGAGCTGTCGTTGCCAGCACCCAAGCGTCGTCGGACCAGCAGTGCTACTGCTGGTACGCCACCACCCCCTGCTGCCAACTCGGTACGATCCATTGATCTAGATATTGAGCAATTAGTCTTGGGGAATAAGAATAATGATAATGACAATGGCGGTCAAGGTCTCTTGGGCCAACAAATGGAACAAACGGGCAAGGAATTTGTCATATACCAAACGTTTGAGAAAGCTTCCAGTCCAGAGGATAGAAATCGTCTCGAAGGGGCAAGACTATCCTTTAACAAATATTGTGGCGTTCAAGAATGGAGAAATGCTGTTTTTCTGTGGGTCAATCTAGGCAACAAGGACAATCCGGTAGTCAATGACTTTTTGAATGAAGGCCAACAAATCACATGGTTTGGGGGTTCTCGGATGCACGATGAGTCGCCCGTCATTATGAAGCTATTGAAAATGGGACAAGATACAACAACAACAACAACAACAACAGCAACAACAGGCAAATCATCATCATCACAGATTGTGCTTTGGTGTCGGAAGTATCAAGTGCAAACAAAGCAATTTACTCCCTATGTTTGTTTTGGGCGGCTGGGATACGAGTCGCATGAACCGGGCTCACATCCACTATCCTTTGTATGGAATCTTTTGGATTATCAACGGTTGAAAAATCACTCCGAAACGCAGATTCGAGAGCGCTTTCAGTTCTTTACGTCATGACACCACAGCAATATAGAGTGCTATATGTAACAAGAAGGACACCAGCAAAAGGGGTACGCAAAACGACAACGCCAAAAAAGTCTAGGATTTGTTTCGCTTCGTTTTGGCAATCCGCACTATATTGCAGCTAAAGGACGAGAGAAGTCTTGCATCCGGTAGACTGCTAGAGAGTACCTATCGTATTCTACCTCTTGCTCCAGCCAGATCCTCTTTTGTTCTGGCCTGGCGAATGGCACTGCTGGCCATGATGATGTGCTTTGGGTGGAGTTTGGAACAGATCAATGGATGATGGTTAGATTGGAACAAAGCTTGTTTCACTAGTGTCTGACGATCTGATTGGCTACAAAGTGTGGGTAAACATATAGAAAGCTGGTATATATAAGGAAGCAGGAATAGCAACAGATTTTAGACGGCTGCTATTGTACTGTAGCCTTCTTCCGAATTCTCCCAAACGAACATTACTGTCCGTAAACCTCACAATTTAACGGACACTCCCGAAACTCGGAACAAACGCAAGTCAGGTCGTGTGTGTTCGATTGCTACATTCTTTGCTGTCACTTCACAATCATACACGCTTCATAATGCGATTCTTTCATCTATTGTTCCTACTTTCCTTCTTGGTTCTTATTACTGGTGCTTCAGCAGGACTCGAAGAAGGTGAAATCATGACAGATCAAAAGACAGATTTCCCCGAAATGGTTGGAATGAACGGAGCGGAAGCCAAGGCTCAACTGGAAAGTCAATTCCCTTCCTTTCAGATTGATATTGTTCCTTGGGATGCTATGCTGACCATGGACTACCGTGAGGACAGAATTCGAATCAAGGTTGATGAAAGCGGCAAGGTCAAGAAGTCTCCAAGAGTTGGATAAGTCGTTGATGATTGAATGCCTATTGGAAAAATTGTCGAACACATTACGACAGCTTTTTGGTTAGAAAGACATATGCAACCACCAATTTGCATCTATGATACTTTGTGGAAGTAGCTCTGCAAATGCCAAATGTACACTTATTTAAAAAATAGAAAGAAGTTGAAAGCTCTTGCTATTACTACCGGTAGGAATGTAATTTGTAATCATTTTGTTCGACTAAAATATTGTTGTTGATGGGCTCTTTTCCTTTCTTGAGTAAGCCTGATACATACTTTGCATCAGACGAGAGAGTAGTGGGGTGGGAAGATTGGTTCATCGATACGGGCACCGTAATCAAGAGATATTGGAAATGGTGCAAAAGCATTTCTCAAAACCGGCAAAAGAATACAACACCTGGGATTCCAACGTGGTCCCCCACCGTAGTACTAACCAGGCCCGAACATGCTTAACTTCGCTGAGCGGACGGGAAGCGGTGCTGTCATGTTGGTATGGTCGTATCCATTCGTTGGGTCACATAAATGGTATAGTAACTGTAGTTCTGTATAAGAATCAATCCCTTCTAAACGTTTGCAAAATTGCTGGTTCAGAGCAACTCTAACACTTCTTCCGGAAGTTGATATCTTTGCACTTGCATCAACACCCTACAAACCTTGCCTTCATGTACTCGTAAGCAAAGTACAGTATATTCTACAGCAAAATGGTCAAATTGACGTACGCTACTGGTAAAATAAAAATTTTCTACTGAAACAACACTAACCCAGTACGTAAAGCAGTCTCCCCACTTTCAACTTACTTCCGTATGGTTACCCCCCGTACGAACCGCAGTCCCGGTAGAAATCGAGACATGCGGTATTCTCTACTGTAGCTGGCAGTGATGCTTCTTCTAAAGTTGTCCAAATGCAGTACAGTAGGAGACAAAAGGCAAACGATGACAAGAAAGCGAGATGCCTTTGAGCGTCCTGGAGATTCTGTTAGCCCAAGAAAGCGCCATCAAAAGGAACAAGGGGAGGACTATTTGGTCCATCTGAAGTATTCTGACGATGTTCGAGTTCACAACATTGTAGATTTCATCAATCGAACTGTGCAAAAGGAATGGAAATTCAGTGTCGGTCATCGTGATGGTGCAATTGTGAATCATCGTGCTGATTCTGAAGAGGGATGGATCTTGGAAGCTGTCTCATCTGATTTGGCCAAGAAAGTGTGCAATCTGAACGGTATGTACTACAAGCACCAGCCTTTGAAGATTCAGAAGTATGGTGCTCTTACCTCGCCAAGCAAATTTTGCTGGAACGAGTACCATTACAAGCGTTATGGGAAGAACGACCATTTTGTGGAGCACAACATCCTGGCGACCATTCTCAATTCGGAAGCAGGAGGCACCGACATTGATGCTTTGAAACTTCAGACTATGCTGAATGAAAAGATGGAGGAGTTCAAGTTGGCCAGTACGAATACTCCCATTGTCAAAAGTATCAAGATTGACAGTGAAGATGGCAACGGCAAATTCTTGCTCAGTATGCGTACGGAGCGCTATGCAAGTCGTTTGACTTACCTGAACCATATCAACATTGGCAATCATTCAATCGCTCTTACTAGGCTTCCTGAATGGAAGGGTGAGAAACCAAGATACCTGAACTACGACGAGTTTCGCAAGGACCACCAACACAATGAATTAGGCTCCAAGCCTGCTGCAGTTGAAAAGGCTCAAGCGGTCACGATTGTCATTGAAGAGAGTAAAGAGCTTGAGGTAGCCATTGCAGCACAAGGTTCCATGAAGGCCATCATTGCCAAGCAAGCCGCGAATGCAAAGGACTTGCGCTCTTCCCTGAAAATTGCAAATGATAAATTAGTGCAAAAGGACGAACGCATTGCTCAGCTCGAAAAGGTAATGGAAGAGCAAACGCAACTTTTGGAGGACAAGTGCGAGAGCATGAAGACCATCATTGCCAAGCAAACAGCAGATGCGAAGAAAGCAAGTAATTCCTTAAAGCTCGCGAAAGAGAAATCAGCACAAAAAGACGAACGCATAGCACAACTTCAAACAATTGTGAAAAAACAGAAGAAAGATCTGGAGGATGAGCGAGACAAGGTGTCAAGCAAAGAAGAAGAAGTGGGAATTCTTCGACAGAACCTAGCCTTTCAAAAGGATGAAATAGAAGAGCAGTGTCGAATTGTTACATCCAAGGAAGAGGAAACAGCAAAGTTGAATGGCAATGTTGAGCGTCTTTCGGACGAATTGGACAGTACTGTCGTGAAACTCGACGCAGTTCATCAGAGTTGGAGCGATCAAGTCCTGATGCTCGAAGCCAAAGACAAGCAGATTGCAATTATGAATGCCAAATTCGAGAAACTTCGCGGGGCCTTTTTGTGGCAACCCGGCATGGATGCAAAGGAAAAGGCGGAATTGCAGGAATTGAAGGGAGGTATTTATAGGGATTAGCGAAGAGGCTGGCTCCATATTTCATGCAAGCATCCACAAACTATTGCTGATTGAAATCATCATTTACGTTTGACTAGGCACATTTGAAAATTTCACCTTACCGGTATGCTACCTATATTATGTTTAGCTTATTTTTCGAAGCATTTCGAATCAAGTGACTCGAGCAATGAGATATGAATAAAATGAGATTCATCTAAGTTTTGTCCTTTTTGCGACGGGGAATATTGCAGGAGGAAGGAAGAAGCTAGAAGGAAAATCAATTGTTGGGCGCAATAGTGACAGTGAATCCAAACCATAGTCTCTGTATTTACTGCCGGTCATATGATGACCGAGATCGCATTACGGATTGAGGATGTCTGTCTCGAATTGCCGTAGTTGCTGCTCGAAACCAGCATTCGGCTTTGCAGAAGGTCTATGGTGACGGATCCTTTCCAAGGCAGAATCATAACTCATTCTCTGGTGCTTGATTAGGTGCGCAATGATGATGGCAGCGGATCGAGACACTCCAGCATTGCAATGCACAAGCACCTTCCCATCTTCGGCGAGAATTTTCTCGATAAATTGGAGTGGAACATCTAGAGTATCCAACAGCTTCTGCTCGGGAATATCCATCAAGGTGTGATTCATGTATACAACATCTTGGTTTTCAAACGGCCGCTCCGCACTGAATAGATTCAATACGTGAGTAATGCCGATTTCTTTCATTCCTGGGAAATAGTTCTTGTCAACGTTTGATTTCTTCCTTGGTACTTCCATGCCGTCCCAATTGAGAGCTGCATCTTGAGATCCAATGTACACGTTGTTTGCACACTCGTAGACCCCTGGATCTGGACAAGTATCTTCGACGAAACCTAGCACGACTTCGTAGGATCCAGTCTCTGAATCAAGCTTTCTGCCAGAGGTGTCAGTCACCACAGTATTGGTCTTTTTCAACGTGCTCTTGGCCCGTCGTCCTTCTTCTTGGAGCTTCATTAGAAAAGACATGTTTCATGATGTATCTCACATGTGAGAAGTACCAGGTACTGTATGTTTTCGTTGACTGTGCAATCAGATTGTTCACCAAGACATCCACAAAAATGAAACTTTCGAAATTTCCAAAATGAACAGCAAAAGAATACAACACCTGGGATTCCAACGTGGTCCCCCACCGTAGTACTAACCAGGCCCGAACATGCTTAACTTCGCTGAGCGGACGGGAAGCGGTGCTGTCATGTTGGTATGGTCGTATCCGTCGATGAGCCTAGATATTAAATATACTAATCCTATAAAATACTTTCTACTCTCAAGAGTACTGTAGGTACTTGCAGACAATAATAGAAAAAAGTTTTCTGGTGTAACACTTTCTATTTGTTATCAAGAGGAACGATGTCCTCGTCAAAGTTCACCACCCGCCCCGTCCCTCGAGGATAATCGTCTCTATTGGTGAGAAAGAAAGGGATTCCATCAGCAGTCTGCTCAAATGACTCCCAGAAATCATTTGCAGTATCTTGGCTGGTGTCTCGACTGAAGAGATTGACGTTGATAGTGTTCATGCCATTCCAGACAAGAATGATACTGAAACTCTGACTACTGTATACCATGGCAAAGCCATTGTCCGCAACCGAATGCGTTGAAAGTTTTACGTCTTTGAAGCCGACCTTTTCCAGCGTCAGTTGCAGATGTTTCGTTAACTTTTCCACCGTCATTGGCTTGTTTGGAGGTGGATTGATTCCGTACTGAAAGATTGTCTCTCGTCCCAATGGTTTTTGCGTTTGGTAATGTTTGACACTTTGGGCGTCGTTATATAGCTCGTGTGTAAACTCTTCATACTCGTTGTCCTCTTTGTATTCCCGTTGACCTCCCAGAATATACTGCACTTCGACTTTGCCCATTTTCCCAATCTTCTTTTGAATTCTGCTTTCGATGAACTGCAAATTATAGAAAGCGTATACATCCCCGGCAGAGACAACGTCAATTTCCATTCTTGCCCCATCAATCTCGATCAAGAGTTCAGCACGATTGATTGGATCGTAGCGGATGTGCCTTCTGTACCGATCTAGCATTTGTCGGTGATAGTTTTCTTCTGGCGGCCTCAATGAGATACCGAGGAAAATGTTGTTGTTTTCAGTAAGGTACCACTCACGGTACTTCGGATTACTCCATATACTGTTAAATATCTGTGCCATTTCACGTGGGGCACTGTTGTCGACAACGAATATATCAAAGTAGAGGCCGTCTTCGTCCATGGTAACATCCAACTGCTCCAGAATGATTCTCTCACATTCAACCATGTTGGACAAGGTTGACGGTTTGTCTTCAGTCGTTTGTATGTTGGTGCAAGTCCAAATCACGATAACCTGGCTGATTCTTGGATTCGCTTCCAACACTTCCTTTGCCATGCATGGCCGTGATGGGCTGAGACAGACAACGCCAGCGACAATCTGCTCAGAGAATACCAAGTTTAGAACCTCCGTGATCACAGGCCGAAGGGTCCCTCTTCCGCCTACCACATTGGATGTCCTTTTAGCCACCGGATGTGATACGCATTTTTGTTTTGGCTCCAATAACGCCGACTGCATGGATTCGTTCATTGCACTGACGAAAACTTGGAACGATGACTTCGATTTAGTTCCCAGCTTTTGTACTAGCTTGTCTTCGAGAATAGCCAGTTTGTCGTAAGCACTCCACAGATTCACTCCCACTGCAAGATACCTTTCCGAAGTCCATAATCTAGCAGAAATGTATCCTTCTTCAAGGAGAACCACAGTGCTCACGTTGTCCTTTCCCCCTTCAGAGCCAATGGGGGTCGAAACAGGGTGCAGCCGTGCGCTCCGTGCGACTTTATGAAGCAGATCTTTCAATTCAAAGTCTGATCTTGAGATGTTCTCAATATCGATGACTCTATGGATGCTGTATGGGCTAGTTGCATCCCTAGCATCGGAAGACTTGTTGGCAAGAGACCAGGTGCATTTTCGGGGCGAGTTGTTTTTGTGGTAATCGTGCATATAGTCAAATTGATCCTCCATTTCATCCATTGTTAGTAAAAAATGATGGGCAACTCCATGTTCTTTTTGGACGTGATGAATGAAGTCCACAGTTTTGCTCGCAAATACTATTGTCTGGCTGCAAATCTTTGGTGCATGATAATGTACGTGGGCTGCATATTCAAAAGTGTCACCAAAATGATCCATATGACGTCCATTCTTTACTAGCACTCCATCTGCTTTCAGTAGTAATGCGAGAGTCTCAAATGTGTTTAAACCCCGAGCAACTGACCCCGAACGAATTACTTCCGCTTGGTTGATGACAATGAGATCGAAAGATTCCAAGTCCCCATGAAGCAAGTGGAGCAGACTCTTGGAAATATCTCCGAACCACCATTCCACCAGATCGTTATGAAAGTGTGGCTGACTATGGAAGTGTTTGAAGCTCTTCCGAGTGATTGTTTGGTCCAGCTCCAATACAACTACTTGCTTCAAAGTGTTGTACTTCAAGACTTCATTCAAGAGCATCGAGGTTCCTCCCCCCACAATTAGAACTCGTTTGATGGATTTCAAGAAACGGGCAGGATAGTGTACCATCATGTCATGATGCTGTGGTCGGTAGGATGTACAGATATGCAGGCTGGTATCCAAATTCATGCAAACGTCGCCAGTCTCAGGTTCCCCGAAAAAATTGACCTGATGGTAGGGTGTTCTGACTGATTCAATTTCCTTATACTTTCTGAACTGCATCCATTCCTCCTCACTACATTTGGGAGTGACATAATCCAAATCATCCTCTTCCGCGTTCAAATCGTCGTAATGACTTATCGCTGTCTGGATGCCGTTTTCCGAGGAACAGCTTTCAGTAGTATCAGGACCTGAGTCGGCCAATGGACTAATGCCTGAAGTTACAGCCGAATCAGACACCAGAGAGTTGTGAGCTATTGCCACTGCACTGGTGATCGTATCGTAGTATTTGAGCATTAAATCCCACTCATCGAATGGGATAGTCGGATATTCAAACTCGTATTCAGCGGCATCCTCCTCGTCTTCGCTTCCACTGTCATCGTCGCTGTCTTGCAAGCCCGACTTGGTGGTGTCTGGGTAATACAGGTTGACGGCCCTATTTCTAGAACGGACTAACCTCCGGTGTAATCCAAACAAATACTTGATCACTTCGTTTCGGAGTTCTTGCTCCTCAGGCACGGGGGTGATCCATGAAACTTGAAGATCCTTTCCGTCTACAATTATGTGGCTAGAGCCCTCTTTCTTGGCAGTAATGGCATCTACAACATCAATTTCGAAGGTACAGTCATCCAGTAGCCATATCTGTGGGTAGTCTTCGACAAAACCATAGTCGCGAAACAGTTCTGAAGAAACAAGAAAGGTCAATGTGAGAAGAACATTTGCTCAATAATCAAGCGAAAAAGAACAGGTGCACACGAACCTGCTGTTCCATAGTTTTCATATGTTCGGCGCCCAGCCCTTCCCTTTTCGGTCGCCAAACACCCACTACACAAGTTCAGCGAGTGTTTCAGTATTTCTCCTTCGTTAATATCTCGCGATGCCAACACTTGGTAGTATTCGCCTTCCTTCCACTGTATTTTGGTATTGTTTGCATTGGCGCCATTACCATGGGGATATAGATCCTGTACCAATGGAACTAGGACCCGATTGTCAGAGTTTTGAACTACCCACATTGTGGTGGATACCTCGACGGTGTCTTCTTCCTTGACGACATCTTTTGTCTCTGGAATCATCTCGTCGTAGTCTTCATCATCATCCTCACTATCATCTTCTGCACTGCACTCGTACGCTACAAAAATAGAGTCGACCGGTGGTGCCCTAAAGCGGTCACGTTCTTCTTCTGGTGCCCAGTCCAAGAGGAGATCCACAAATAGGTCTTGTCCAGCTTCAGTAAAGGTACTCGGAACTTTCGATTGTTGCTTGGTCTTGTAAGTGATATAGTCTAAATAGGGCCCTAACAAGGATGAAGTCTTTTCTGTTCCTTTTCGGTTTTGGTGATTGATAAGCTCCTCTTGCAACAGCTTCACCAACTCGCAGTTGACCAACATCTCGTCTTCTTCCTCGTCATATAGGGGTTCGTCATCAGAATCTTCGTCTTCCTCGTCTTCTTCGTCCTCCTCAGAATTACTAGTAGTTTCTTTGGTTAATGATTCTTTCTGATCCTTTGTCGCTATTGACTTTGCTGCTTTTGGTTTGGGGTCGGGCGCACTCAATATCAGATCCCACGGTACCTGAAACAATATTTCGTTCTTTTGTATCGGCCGTTTTGCATGAACGACATATTCTCTTTCACCACCACTTCCACTTATCCGTCGTTCTATTTCTTGTTTCTCATTGAAAATAGCACCTGGGTGTAATAATATCCAATCCAAGACTTGCTGAGGTTGGATGGCCAAAGTCGAAGAGGAGTCGTCGCATGAAGCGGGTGCTGCCAATTGAGAAAACGAAAGCAGAAAAAGCACAACGACCACCCCAAGTCGTGTGCAGGAAGGCATTGATCCTCTGTATAGCAGTTTTCCTATTCTAGATATACATCGTTCCATTAGCTTGACTTTTTGTAACAGAGTTGCTGTTGGCGTTGTCTTTGGCATTGATTTTGATACTATTTGTAGACTGACAAAAGAGATGGAAGATGATGCGTTGAGTACATAGTATGCGAGGATGATTATGGTTTTTGATAGTCAGTCACGCCACGTGACTGAAACACCATAATGATTTCGATCGATCTTTGACTGATCATCGCAGGTATCTTTGGCGTCAACAAATCAAAAGACCTATACTTTTAATCAAATTCCTAAACTAGAACCTTGGTACCCAGTAACGATAACAGCAAACCTGGATTTGCATCCAGAAATGGTACCAGAGATGACTTTGGAAAGACCATGGCTACACAGCCCTGTTTCCCGGCCAGCATTGTTGACGTGTGACAGTGATGGTCATTGTTGGACCCGCCGCTAGCTATACTGCTGGATCTTCCTCCCATTTTGTTGATAGTTGCCAAATCACCGCTGATCATACGAGAAGTGTCGCATAGAAAGCAACCTCGACTGAAAACCAAATTTTCTGTATATGCATGCCGTACGTACAATCTGGCAAGGACCTTGTTTGCAAACTTGTCTCGCTGTTCTTTCTGTGCTGTCGCTGCCTTGATAACCGTTGATCCATCGTCGTTGGTTTTGCTGTCCTCCTCTTCACTATTTTCTCCTTCTTCGTCTACATTGAATTCGTCAGCACGTGACTGCAGACACTCCAGAAGGCGGGAGTATTCACTATTCCGATTGATGTTTTGCAATACCTTGTCTGGTTCCACGTTGGCAAGTGGTTTCAGTACCGAAGCTTGAGCTTGCTCACTGATACTCGTCATCGGCGCCATTCCACCAGTACTACCACGGCGATTCCTTCGAGAGAAACTCTGTGATCGGCGCCTTTCAGCAGTTCCAATGGTAGCACTACCTTCGACAATAATCATGGCATACTCAACAGGATCTCCCGCTTGCCATAATGGGGCATTGATTGCAAAGTATCGGGGACCTTCCGCAAGCGATTCGAGTGTGATTCGTTGGTTAGCATTGAGATTTCGCAAAACCGAATTGCACTGAATCAACTCAAGAACACTGTGATCTCGTGGCACGCTGTTGGCGTTCATACCCATGTGGAATTCAAGGTCTTCATCATTTTTATTTTGAAGCGAAAGGTACTTTCGAAATAGCTTCGAGCCACTATGCAGAATATGTCGGACATCCTTCATTGGCAGAGTAATCACCTGATGGAAAAGCAAAGGGAAGGAGTCATCAGATTGGAGCAACACTTGGCTGGGGGATAGTACTGTCGCCTTACCTTGACTCCTTCTTCTGATATGGCAACAATGTCATCGACAAAACTCCGACGATGATGTACGCTTTTCTCTGCTTGGTGAGAGTGCAGTGGCTGATCCGTTTCAAACGGAGGCGGCCCAGTCCAATCTCCAGCATACCATACGGTATCTCCTACTTTTTCGGAGCACACTCCCTCCCAAAAGACACATAGAGATTCTGATCTCCTATTACCTTCAATCACAACTTCTCCTTGACAGTACATTTCGACATGGGCAATTTCCAAGAATTCCATTGTATGTCCGTAAGAAAGACTTTAAAAAAATGAAACATGAGAACGCTGTCCTTCGAAAAAAAGAAAATGATTGCCAATACGACTTACCTGGACAAGAATGGTACAGCTGATAGCAGATTCAGAATGAACCATGCATCAGATACATCCGTCGGTCGCAGAAACACCAACGGGGCAACTCTGGTTCTTCCACTTTTCAGACCATTCGCCATTTGTACGCTTGGTCTTGCTGAACTCTGTGTAGGCTGGTTTCTTGCTGGGTCGCCAACGGCTGGTGCACTGCCGAGCGCTGAGAGTACCGAACGATTAGGACCATACGTACTGTCCAATCGAAGGGTACCAGCTGTGCCGATTGGGGCGACCTTCAGACCACTATCTGGTGGAATCGCCGCTGTATGCACGACATAAAGTCGATCTCGAATGTGCTCTGGAAGGTTCTGTAAAACTGCAAGGGGTGTATGGATCGGAGGTGCACCTGCTTCATGAAGTAACACATCGCATTTCTGGAGTGGTAACCGAAGAAGATCCTCCGCCCTGGCTTTGGACAGCACGCCCTACGACGAAAGAATCAATGGTGAGTATGTGAACAATATCAGATGATATGATTGAAAAATCGATCATACCTTCTTTTGGAGTCGTTCGATTTCGTCCGGAATGTTCATATGGTCGCCAGTAAACACAATTGATTTTCCTCTCCATTCAGCCCGGAATGAGATGCATGGAATCGTATGAAGGGTGTAGGTGAAGTGGAATATCGCACCCTGAAATCTCAAGGGCTGCCCGATAATGGCCGGGCGTAGCCGATGGCTATGTCGCAAGAGGGATTGTTTCAGCCCCGAAAGGGCGGAGTACTTTCGGATGAAACTATCATATATCGTTGGTGTTGTAATGATGGCTACACGTGAACCTCTCATTACTTTTTGAAAAGCACCAGCGTCATGGTCGGCGTGACAATGCGTAATAATGATCCCCATGATCATTTGTGGTCTGCAATTGGAATCTTAACTGGTGAGTATTGGTATATAAATCGGTACAGGTACGACTTTCCATGGAGGAAAAAAACGAACCTGATTCCCTCTCGCTCCAACGTAGCATTTGAATATGGTGGTGGATCAACCATGATACCCCGTCCATTAACCCATAAGACATAGCCACTTGTTGTTCCATTCTTATCGAAACCATGCGAATTACCCAACACGGTCACTCCAAAAGAAGGTGGATGAAACGTGGATTGCTTGGGCGATGCTGGAATTTTCGGTTCTGACTCTTCATTGTAGTCTGTATAGTCTTCTTCCGTAGCGTTTGCATTTGAAATAAACCCATGCAACTCGATCTCGTCGGGAATTTGCACCGTCCCACTAAACCGAATCTTCCCAATGATGATATTATCCTTGTCAATATCATGAACAATATATTCTGTCCCTCCAGCCATTTTGAAAATCTCTACCCGCGGACATGTTTTCAGTCGCTTTTCCTCGTCTGTCGCATTGGGAGGATAGACAGTTGCCACGTCGCCTAGATTGTGAGGAAGAACAATGTTCGATATTGTGAGAAAACAAAACTCCAGATCACCAGTGAACATCGTCGTTTGAACGTACCGAGCCATTTTGCCTGCGAGTACATCCAATTTGAATCTTGTCGGTCAGGTTCATCATCCATTATAAAATCGTATGAGTCGATGGAAGACAATCCCGAGACTTTGGTGGATGCTCTGGATGAATAGTTTGTGAAGGTACTGTCTCTTCGCTTCGTTCGTATGTTTGAAATTGGAGTGCTGTCGAAAGTTTGTGATGCATTCATGAAGAGTTTGTTTTTGGGTGTCCAACTGACTCGTTTGTTCATCAAACGTGCAGATTGTGGTTTTTCCTCCAACGACCCAATACTGCTCCGCCGCATGGTTGAATTGGTACTGCTCCTTCGCCCGGCCGAATCGATAGACCCTTGAGACAGTCGGGAAATGGACCCATCGGAATTTCTTCTTGGTAATCTTCCGAAGGAGCTGTGCATTGATGAATGTTCTGAAGAATCGATGAGTACGCTGGGTTGTGACACTTGCGAGGGGAGAGAGCCCCTTCTACCAGCATTGTGGTGTGATGACGACTCTGAATGAGAAGACATTGATACGATTGTCTTGAGATCACCCATTCGATCATCTGTAAGAGCAATAGTAGGTTTTGCGGGTGGCGGTGTCAACCCTCCCGTTCGTCTCGAGCGCCCAGAAAAGCCTGGGGACAGCAATGGGGACAGTAGATTTGGGAACCCTGAACCGTTTTCGTCAGAATCACTGCCAATATTTATTGAGCCACCATTTCCAAATTGAACCAACTTCGAGTCAGGGGGCACTCCGAGTATGTTGTCTTGATGCGGGGCGTTTCGCCGACAAGTGTTGAAGTGGATGAAGTCAATTAATGTATCAGTTTCTAATTCATCGTAGTCGGTCGTCTTTTCATTGGCACGAAACTGACCAAGCTCTTTGTAGAAATTTGGTCGTCTTTCTCTTGGAAAGCTTGGGTCGAAATCCTCATCCACATTGGCCAAAGGAAATTTGTGATTGCGAAAATGAGCTGGGCCTAGTAAAGTTTCTCCAAAGACGCTCCTAATTTCCGTTTCTGCCAAAGGCGAGTCAACAACCAATACACATTTGAATTTCCTCACAAAATAGGTGAAGTAAGCTGGGAATTCAAATTCCTGTAATGCAACCGTGAGAAACGACTCTAGTGACAATGCCTGAGTTCATATTCCGACAACTCACTGCAAGATTGACTCCTAACGACGGGCCTTGTTCTCTACAAAATCTTTCTACCGGCACAATATAAACCCTAGGTACATCCATACCCAACTGCATACTGTCCTTGATAGTCTCGGGGGGAATACCAAACTGATTGAACAATTCAACAACAAGGAATCCTTTAGAAACAAAAGATAATGGAATGCAAATGCAGCCAAACCTCAAAATGCAATTCCTACCTGAATTCTACCAACAGCCTTTGTTTCAAAACTTATCCCTCCTCTTGGAAGCAAATCGATCTCGAGTAATGGTACAGAAGCATAACCTTCCTGAATCCCCTTGTCGTCAAATATAGCAACTGACTTTCGCATTTGTATCCGTTTCTTCAAACTCATTTGTGGCGATAGAACCCCCCCAGTAAAACCAGAATCCCTCATTGAGCTTACATTGGAATCCCTCATCGACGCCGTTGTCACTCCTGCACGCATTGGTGGAAGTTCCAACTCGTCCGAATTCAATGAAACATCATCGTCTTCCACCGCCATGATTCCGGAATTCAATTCAGCCTTTCAAGGAAGCAGTCGTTACCAATTTTGGGATCCCTTGTACTCCACAGAAGCCAAGGCTTGTCACTACAGTATTGAAACAAACAGCGCTTCGTTACTCCAACTATATCAGATCAGGCGAAGGTCCGGAAGCCCAAGATATTAATATTATTACTGGACATTCGGAATTTTGCGTCGCCAGGTACTAAAGAAGTCGATATATTTTTGAACCATCATCCATAATAATAAAAGGGAGACGATGACACCTATATACCCTCAATTATTGTATGAAATGTAAGATTCATTCATGTCGTCTGTTCCATTGTTCGTCGAATCATGCCAAAACAAGTGGTGAGAAGATTGATGTTCTGTTAAATGCAGATGAATTTAAAGTATCATTTTTTTAAAAGGATTTGTTGACATTCAGATGCTAACCGAATCGTTGGGTACCGGTAGAGTTTCATGTCAGTGTACCTAGTAACTTCATGAGATTCGCTGTCTCTTTTCTGATCTTTTTTCTTGGCATGGTCGCTTCAGAAGCAGCCATGGATTTCGGCGGACCAAGTCCCATACCTTCTGGAATTAATTGCTCTCGCACGCTATCTCCAGTGGTGTCAGATTCTTGTCTGTCTTGGCTTCGACGTCGGCGCCTCGATCCAGCAAAATTTGAAAAACACTCCAATCATGCTATATGCAATGGTCTTTTGCTTTTCACGAATTACACATCTTCCTCTGCATCCATGCAATTTACATCAGCACCTCCATCCAATAGCAACTTCACAATACGTGTCTCGACGTCCACCTTGGCTCCTCGATCCAAAAACAGCCGAGCCACTTGCAACTGGTTATCATCACAAGTCACATGTAGTGGAGTAATATACTGCTCTTCGTGCTCCGGGTCGTCTGGTTCCAAGACAGCACCAAAATCCAAAAGTAAGCGAGCCACAGTTCCAAACTGCGCAATGCAATGGTGTCAGGCGTACTCTGCGGTCGTAGCTGTATATCTTGTCATGTATTCTGGCTGCCCCATTGTCTAATATTGCTCTTACATGCCCCAGATCAGCACGCTCACCAGCAGCATCGTGAAATCGCATGATGACAGGTTCAGCTTCTTCGTCTTGATCGTCGATTTTCATGAAATGTCAGTCTCAATGGATATCGGATGAAGCACAGACCACAGTCGATGTTGGTTGTAGACGCATGATCAATAGCTTGTTACTCCTACTGGAGACGAAAGTATAGACACAGATACGGAGTAGATCTTTATTGTACATTCTGCCGCAGTTTAAAATCTAAATACAGTCTTCCCACCGACATCATCAGACATGATCTCGTTCGTCCTTCTTTCGAATTCTTCATTGAAAGCTTCTTTCATCATTTTCTTTTGCATTCTAGCCAGCTGTCGTTCCTTCTTGACGTTTTGCTTTCGAAGCTTCTTTTCATCCTTCGATTCACCTTTCCTTCGTGCCTCGCCCTTATTTACACTAATGTAAGTATCATCTTCAAGTTCTGACACAGGATTTGTCAATACTCCTAGGGGAAGTCCAGTCTTTTCAGACAGCATAATCTGTTCCACGGGATCTTCTTCCGGAACCGCAAAGTCATCTCTCTGTTGATTCTTATTCTTATTCTTCCCCCGTTTCCTTCTTCCAGTCGCACCAATAGTAGCTGGATTGTTGTCCATGTTGGAGTATGTTGACAGAATGGACTCGCAATCCCATGGGTTCCTCATCTTTTCAGAGAAATAGGACTTGCCGTCGATGAAGATCTCTTCCGCAGGAGGTGCAGCTCGACCCTTGCCTAGAATTTCATCAGCATCACCAAGGACCGCTTCAATTGGTTGGATTTGATCACGGGGAAGGTTCTCCATCTTTTCCAATTGCTTCACTGGAATCATCTTAGTTCCAACCAGGGCCGAGAATCCACTGCCTCCAGCATTCTCACCTTCCATGTAGTGACGAGGACCTTGCATGAAAACTTCGTCATTCTTCTCTAGTAGATAGTCATCCAATGCCGCCTCTACCAGCGCATCACCCTCCAAAGGAAGCTCTCCCATGGCACCTTCATCGTCGTAACCTTCACCAAGATCATCAGAATCATATTCCAACAGAGTTGCGTTGAATTTGTCCACGAGGGCATTTTCTTCAGCTTCATTAAGCTTGGCAACAACACCAGGAGCTCCTTCAACATCCCAATCGGCGCCATCAAAGTAACCAGACTCCTCGTCGTCATCTCGACCAAGTTGCTTTGCGGATGAAAAGAAGGCTTCATCGTTCCTTCCTTGTTCATGAATTGTGGTAAGATTTTTTGCCATTTCATCCCCAGATTCCTTCTTTGCCTTCTCCATAAGATCTCGTACGTGGGCAGCAAAATCAAAAGGGACTTCTTCCGGAGTCTCTGGTTCCTTGGCGGCATCCAACATAAAGTCGTCATTAATTTCTTCAAAGTCAGCTTCGTCAAAGTCTCCAAACAAGGCTTCGGCAATGTCTTTATCCATGCAGTCCGCTGTCAAGGCGATAGAGTCAAGTTGACGTTCTACTTCATTGGTCAGTCCGTCCTCAATCTCACCAGCTCCACCTTCCCGAATCGAACGCGCATTGGCGTTGGCTCGTTTTCCGTCAGAACCAAAGAAGTCTCCAGTTCCGGTAATGGGTTTCATATGCTTGTCATAATCATAATCATCGACTAGCCCAGCCGATGACAATTGGTTCTTCCAAGAATCAAGAGTGGGGTCTTCCAAGGTCGCGTCAGTTTTGCCACCAAGAAGGACCTTTTGATCGGTTTCCCGATTGTTGTTGGGACTTGGCCACAAGATAACTCCGCTTTCATCACCGCCGTCTTCAACATCACGCTGAGAACGATACAGCAAGTGATAGGTGGAGCTATTCTTTTTGTCAATGAACGATTTCTTCTTTCCCATGGTCCTAGAGTGTGTATGAGATTCAGAAGAATATTGGTATGGAAGGTTTTGTGTCTTCAAGTTTCGTTGGTGTGAGAAACACCATTCGACGTGTGAGCAGACAGACGGTTGGATTGATTTATTCGACTACATCACAAACATCTTTTCGATACTCTATGCAGGAAAGCCGCCATGTTCTGAGCCGCCATGTTCTGGGCCGCCATGTTCTGGGCCGCCTTTTCAAGCAAAGCGGCTCGTCTTGAAACTAAATCACAAATGAGTTTCATAGTCGTTAAATGAACTAGGTCTTCATTTATATATATGAAGATTGAATCTCTTTCCATGCGGTTTTTCAATCGAGGATGCAGTATCTCATTCACATCAGAAAGTTGCTTAGAGGTTGAAAATAGCCTCGCAAAAAAAGGAGAGTCTCATAAAAAGACAAAGGTCCAAACCAACCAAACAAACAACACGATGTCAATCGCATACTTTACACCAGTTACTGGCGCATCGGGAGGTGCCATAGTAGGTAAGCAAGTGGAAGGACGAGTTGGTTTCGATATGTTGCAATGCCGCTTTATTGTGTGGCTCAAACATTTGTTCAATTGATTTTGATTGCCACTATAGGAGTGGCCTGTGGTATCCTTCTTCTCTACTGCGGAGAAGTCTTGGGTGCGAGCGGCATTGTGTCATCCATAGGTCTGAACCCACGTAAAGCCATGACCGACCCGGGTGCGGCGTGGAAGCTCTCTCTTGTTTCCGCATTTATGCTCATTGGAAACATTGTCCTAGCAAGACACATCACAGCTGATTCTAGACTCATCCAGGACCCCAGCATACCAATCGTCAGCACCATTGGATACTTGATCGGTGGTTTCTTGGTCGGGTTTGGTACTCGGTTGAGTAATGGGTGCGCGTCCGGTCATGGGTTCTGTGGGATGGCACGGTTAAGCAAGCGATCCATTGCAGCTGTCGTCGCTTTCATGTCTGCTGGTGTAGCAACGGCCAGCCTACTGGATCCCAAAAATAGTTTTGCAAGTGCCACTTCGCTCTTGAGAACCGAGAAAGCTCCAGCGCTTTTCAACCAATGGGTTGGGCTTGCTGTTACTCTGCCAATGGTTCTGGGAACAGTATACGCACTGCACAATTTGCGAAAGTCATACCAAGGCCTTGATCATGAAGGTGATGGATTGAGTACAACTAGGGGTTCTAATGATCCGAATGAAAGTTATGGTGCCGTGAAAAGTGCGCCTCTTCTTGAAGGGGGCAAGGCTGATCAATCCGAGCAAAGAATCGTGATCTTGGACGGAGTTAGGAAATTGAAGCCTGCGGTCGTGGCAGGCATGATGTTTTCAAGTGGCCTTGCAATTACTGGAATGGTATTGCCATCGAAAATATTTGGATGTCTGAATGTGCTTCTCATTGCCAAGGGTACCTGGGATCCCACGCTCATGGCAGTCATGGTGGCAGGACTGTCCGTCAGTTGGCTTTCTTATCAGTTCGTATCTGGTGTGGGAATCATTGAAAATTCTTTTGCCATGGAACGCCCGAAATGCTCGAGTGATTTTGCACTCCCAAAGAGCCAGAATGTCGATACCCCACTGATCGGTGGCGCTCTTTGTTTCGGTGCTGGGTGGGCATTAACTGGCATGTGTCCAGGTACAGCATTGTTCCTAGCCGCTAGTGGTTGTACTCCAGTCATCTTGTTCTTTTGGCCTTTGTTCTTTGTGGGCGCCTTTGTCGCACAAGCGATTGCTGAAAGGTCATGATGAATTGATGTTTACCGACGTTAATTCAATACCAACTTTAACAATGCTCAGGAAACCATTTTGTACTTTTCATCCCGACGCATCTGTGTACAGAATCGTGGAAGCTATTGGACGAATCCACCTTCCCGATCTTCTTGTTCAAGATCATTTTGCGATGTAGTAGTAGCACAATCATGACAAGGAGGTTCGAACCACACGGTGTGGCATTTTGCCATCATCCTCTTGTTGATTCTAAGGTTATTTCAACGCTCCTATCATCACGCTGCGCACTTGATTCAGCGGACGAGATATTGCCGACTATCGACCCCTTGATAGATCGATTCCTTCGTTGCCTTCTCCATGAGAGTAATGGAAGATTTGGTGTTTTGTTCTTCCAAGTAAGATTTGTCACCATGCTCGATTGATTCATTCGACTACAAATGCCTTCCATGCGACCAATTAAAAAAGCTCAACGGTTCTTCAATCGAGGCAGAATGAATGATATCTTCTTTCCCATGGTTGAGTACCAGGTACCTGGTACGGTGCTCAGAAGAGTAATAATGAAAGATTTTGTGGGGTTTACTCACCATCCGCATCCCAGACAGACGACACTGATTGATTTATTCGACTACATAACCTTTCGTGCAGGAAAGGCGCCATGTTCTGAGCCACTTTCATGAAGGCAAAGCGGCTCCACTTTTAGAGGACAACTGTGAGGAATGCACCAATAATTTTCAAACTCGTTAAGTGAAATATGCCCTCATTTATGGAATAAGATTCAGATGGAAATCTCCATGCTGTTTTTCAATCGAGGATGGCGTTCATTCAGTCACATAGAAAGTTATTGCTTCCAGGAGGAAAGAGAGTCTCATAAAAAAGAACAAAGCAAACGGCACAATGGTAATTGCATATTTTACACCAGTTACTGGAGCATCGGGTGGTGCCATATTAGGTAAGCAAGTGCGAGGAGTTGAACTTCACATGTTGCAATGTCGTTCCATATCGCTCACATTTCCGTTTCAAATTGATTTCGATTGCCACCAAAGGAGTGGCCTGTGGTATCCTCCTTCTCTACTGTGGAGAAGTCTTGGGCGCGAGCAGCATTGTGTCATCTATAGGCCTTCACCCACGCAAAGCAATGACCGAGCCTGGTTCGACATGGAAGCTCTGCCTCGTGTCTGCATTCATGTTAATTGGAAACACTGTCTTGGCAAGATACTTCACAACTGATTATAGACTCATCCAGGACCCCAGCATACCAATCGTCAGCAACATCGGGTATTTGATTGGTGGTTTTTTGGTCGGGTTTGGTACTCGGTTGAGTAATGGATGCACGACCGGTCACGGGTTCTGTGGTATGGCACGGTTAAGCAAGCGATCCATTGTAGCTGTCGTCGCTTTCATGGTTGCTGGTGTAGCAACGGCCAGCCTTCTGGACCCAAAAAACAGTTTTGCAAGCGCCACTTCGTTCTTGAGAACCGACAAGGCACCAGAGCTTTTCAACCAATGGGTTGGGCTTGCTGTGACTCTGCCAATGGTTCTGGGAACAGTATACGCATTGCACAATTTGCGAAAGTCATATCAAGGCCTGGTTCATGAAGACAATGATGCAAGTTCAACTAGGGCTTCTGATGATCCCAATGAAGACAATGGTGCTGCCGTGAAGAATGCACCTGATCTCGAAGGGGGCCAGACAGATCAATCCGAGCAAAGAATCGTGATCTTGGATGGAGTCAAGAAATTGAAACCTGCGGCCGTGGCAGGTATGATATTTTCAAGTGCCCTTGCAATTGGTGGAGTGGTATTGCCATCGAAAATTTCGGGATGTCTGAACGTGCTTCTCATTGCCAAGGGTACCTGGGATCCCACGCTCATGGCACTCATGATGGGAGGACTCTCCGTGAGTTGGATCTCCTATCAGTTTGTATCTGGCATTGGAGTCATTGAAAACTCGTTTGCCATGGAACGTCCAAAATGCTCCAGTGATTTTGAACTACCAAAGAACCAGAAAATCGACATTCTACTGACCGTTGGAGCTCTTTGTTTTGGTGCTGGGTGGGCTTTAGCTGGTGTGTGTCCAGGTACAGGATTGTTCCTAGCTGCCAGTGGTTGCACTCCAGTCATCTTGTTCTTTTGGCCTTTGTTCTTTGTAGGTGCCTTTGTCGCTCAAGCGATTGATGATAGGTCTTGGTGCATCAATTCTTGCAGAAGATGATTCAATACCAACTGCAATCATACATAACTATCAAATCATGTGTATTTTGCAACTGAAGCATAGAACAGTGGAAGATGACGAGTCTCTCAGCTCCAAAAGGACGATGATGTCTCGTCCGAATATGATGAAGTAGTTGTACCCAGATCCGTCGTCTCGCCCAACTCTGATGCATCAAGCAGCTGTCATTACCAGGAAATTATAGGTCAGTTGTCCCATGCTGTTCAAAACCAGAAAAATTGCAGAAAATATGAATCTCGGGGCATATGTCGCCCACACCATGAGGTGCCGCCGCAGAATGGAAACCGATATACAATTCAAAAAGCCCTCAAGGATTTGGTAGAAGCAGTACCACTTCCATAGTGGTTTCCTAGTAAAAAATGTAGTTAGGCAAACTGCCGATATTCCAACAATTTCCCAGCCTGTCGAATCAATGAATCGGTAGACGTCATAATGGTGAGTAACAAGCAAAGGCTTTGGGAGATCACACATTATCAGACATTATCACGTATCTGCGCGTACTTACCAAAAGTATTCATGAACAATTGGGACCCTGCAAAGACAAAGTCAAATTCGATGGTGGCAACAAATGCTGCTGAATATTGCAGCATGTTGAAAGCGCATCCATGATTCGTAGCGAAGAATACGTGTCGAACGACCAGACGCCAAAGCAATGCTTGCACTGGTACCGAAACCTATAATAGCAGAGCACAAAAATCGCATGAGCCTTACTACAACTGATTCCATGGCAGCTAAGTAGTTCATGAACGTACCTGATAAAACCCAGTGGCTCCAGCCAAATTAAATAGCATCCATCCTTGAAGACATGCAATCAAAACAGTGCAGGATGTAGCTGGACCTGTGACCAACATGATTGCAATCAATAGTCTGGAGATCATGGATAAGGCCTTTGCCACCGAAGTACGAGCACAAGAGAGCGAAGTGTTTTCGGATGTCTCGTCGCTTTGTAGATCTCTACTGGAAGTAGAGAAAGCATTTAATATCGAGAGCACAATGGAAAAAATCAGCAGTCCAATCACCCCCCTTGCTGACCAATATCCATTTCTACTTGGGTCCGGGTTTCTCTTTTCGATCCAACTGAATGCCAGGAGGACCAAGCTTAGACAGTCGATTCCAGCATGCAACGTCGAGCTACCAATGATGCTGCCACCGGTATTGACGGGATGGTGTCGATCAATCTTTTCAAAGACTTGGGTCCGAATCGCAAACAACAACGCCAAGGATGGGAGAAAGAGCCATTGGCTGTGTGCCGCGTAAAGTCGAATGGACGGATCTAGACCATGTCCAGATACAAAGATTTCTGATATTCTGGAAAGAATCGGCAGTAGTACTGGAACATACGGTAGGAGTCTCGAATTTCCTCCCGCGACTGTCGAGTTCAATCGGACAAATATCACTCCCCCAAGGATTGTCATCATGAACATGACAATGCGTTGTTCGGCGTCAATATAGCTGTTGCTGAAAGACAGCATTCCGCAATGAAAGACGACGAAAGTCAGAGCAAGGATGTTCTCCAAAACGCCCCGACTGTTGCAAATTTGCTGGTTCTGTTCTTTCAGAAAGGATTTGCCCAGGAACAGCAGCGGCAAGAGGGTAGCTAGAACCACAAAGGCCAATATCAGTCCACCACCAGTCATTCCCAACGTATCGAATCGCGTCCAGACCCGATGTCCAAGTTCCGATGCCTCCACCAAAAATAACTTAAAGAGTCCGCAAGCCGTGTAAAAGGCGTTGGAATCCTGGCCATCTTCATTGTGTTGTAAGGCCTCACGGTAGGTGGAGACTGCATCCTTGAGCTGTTCTTCCAGCTCTGGCAAATTCGGCAATCTGTTTGCCGTCTGCGAGTAAATGGTAAAGTATCTCCATACTTGAGCCGCATTGAGGGCCAAGGCGGCAGCGGTTTCACGAATATCGTGCGCAGCCAGCAATGATGGAACAATCCCACCCAGATTCTGATAGGGAATCGGTAATCCTAAAAGAATGGAAATCGTAGGGACCAGATCGATTTGATTCATAGACTGAAACTTGTCTTGTACATAGGTACTGCCCATAATTTCGGCAGCCTTTTCCAGTGGCATTGTTCTATTCATATCGTCTAGATGACAGCCCTTGGAAAAGTGGACAAAGAGGGCTGCATTGATTTCCTCGTCAGTACCACCACCATGATTTCCATCGTTCGTCATTCCATGATCTCCGAAGACCAGCGCCAAGTGACAGCTCTTGGATCCTATTTCTTCTTCTTGGTCTTCTTCATCAAGCAAATCCAAAGTAGTACTGATAGCTTCATCCATTTGTCGGTATTTTGCATCCATGTGTTCATTGAAGGGTCCGTAGGTATGCCCTACGTGATCCACTCCCAAAAAGTGCGAGACTACCAATTCCAAGTCTTCTAGTGAATGCGAGTTCTTGCGACGGACGTGCTTCATCAAGTTGGGAAGCTCTTTGAGGCAACCATTGTCCACTGTATCCAAGTCGCGAGTATTGAAGGAAGGATATGGATGACTCTCATCAAAGAGAACTGGAAATAAGTCTATCCAAGTATCGTCACCGACAAAGCCTAGTTTGGATGGATATTGCAATCCACGATGTTTGTAATCAGTATTCTTGAGTTGTTGGACCCACGAATCTTCGTCCATGGTCGATCCACCCATATTTCCAGAAATGTCAGCAAAGGTCGGCAAACTTCCCGTAGTCAGACCTTTCAGACGTTGCATGGTAACTGTGGGTGGCTGCAAGAAACAAAATTGGCATGTCGAGTGAGCCAAGAGATGTGTCTCAATGACAGCGCGACAAATGAATGAATCCATGGTGGTGCAAACACTTTTTCATGATGAACTTACATCTGCGACAAACTGCAACAGTTGTGATGAAGGAGTCTGGTGCTTGTCAATGCGGGCACCAACAGACTTGGGCAAACTGTATTGAGAAAAGTCGAATCTCATGGCATCTACGACGAGAATCACCACCGAATCTACTTTGCGAGGCAACCAACATCCATCTCGAAGACTTCCACTTGCAGCAGCATCCTTATTGTCATAATCCTCTCCCAATATTAGTGATACTTCGGAAGGTTCCAGCTTGAGAACCTCAGTCAACAAAGAGTGGGCTTCGTCACAACTGGCGGAATGTGGTAGACTTCGTTTGGCAAGAAAAAACGAGGCAGAGAACCAATACAACCCAATGATTGTCAGGATGGGTATCAGCCAGTCCAGAATGCGCATCTTGTTGTATTGATTGTGACGCCTTCAGTCTTTGTGATCTCGAATCATGTAGCTATAACGCCCAATGATCATTCACTTCAAAGACAAATGATGTATGATGTATGATCACTGTGGAGATGCACCACGAATGATTTTTTGAATGAATGTGATACGATTCGTCCGACCATTCGACTCAAAGAAGTCAAACCGCGCAAAATGAATCGCGCGCCAAAACTCGAGGTCCAACCACCAAACCGAAACAAAAACCAAAATTTGTTCTTTCACAACCGTAAAGACTGCAAACATGGCAACTCTTATGCCTTCATTGTCTTCGGACGAAGAGAAGGATCCACATGAGGAAGAAAGCAGTGATGAGGAGGATAATGACGAAATCAACAACGATTTTGAGTTTGGAGGAGTACTGGTATGTGACAACAGACAAGAGAAAGTGATGAGATGGACTTTCTGTATCTTCAATGGATCCTCTGACAAGTCATCTTTCTATTATTTTCCATTTACATCTTTCAGGGCGAAGATGGCGGAATCCCTTCTAGCCATGTGGAAGCCCAACAAGGATGGTCGTACCAGACAGCTTTGGACAATCTCAACAAGGATAGGAAGGGATCCACTTCCCTACCTCGAATGGATGTTGCCTCATTGATTGCAGCCAAGCGAAAAAGCCTAAAGCAACCCGAGATCAAGAAGAACAACAACAGAGTTTCAGAATCTTCTAGCGACGAGGGAAATGATAGTGACTCGTCAGATGAAAAGGAATCCAACAAAAAGATCGAGGATGAGAATGATGAGGATGATTCAAAGTCGAAAAGTGGCGATGAAAGTGGATCAGACGACGACGAGAGTGACTCGGATGATGAGGATGACGAAGTAGATGATGCCGACAAGGAAATGGAGGAGGATATTTTAAAGACGCGAATGGGCGAAGAGAAACCTGTCAAAAAGGAATCCGAGGAAGAGGAAGAAGAAGAGGACAGTGATGCAAGTGAGGACGAGAGCTCGGAGGAGGACGAGGATGCCGTAGAAGCTGAAAAGGCTGCCAAATTTTTCGAGACACAGTCACCATCAACTTCCGAGGAAGCAGAAGTCTTTGCCCAACTCACACTTTCGAGACCCTTGCTTCGTGGTATTGCGTCTATGGGATATGTCACTCCAACCAAGATTCAATCATCTGTCATTCCAGTGGCTCTGGCGGGTCGGGATATTTGTGCTAGTGCAGTGACGGGGTCAGGAAAAACTGCTGCCTTTTTGCTGCCCATTCTAGAAAAGCTACTGTATCGATCGCCTGGACGAATCCAGGCTTTGGTGCTCGCGCCCACTCGTGAATTGGCCGCCCAGTGCATTGGTATGATGTCGACTCTGTCGCAGTTTACAAAGATTCAAGCCGCGTTAGTCGTCGGTGGTGCCAAGAATGTCGCCTCACAAACGGCAGAACTTAGAGCAAGACCGCAATTGGTGGTTGCCACACCTGGTCGTTTGTTGGATCACATTACCAACTCGGCGGGAGTTTCCTTGGAGGATGTCGAATTCTTGGTGCTGGATGAGGCTGATCGCCTTTTGGATCTGGGTTTCCATGATGAGGTAACAGAAATTATCAAAGCATGTCCAGGGGAACGACAGACCATGCTTTTTAGTGCCACACTCAACACCAAGGTGGACGACTTGATCAAACTCAGTCTCAAACGACCCGTTCGAGTGAAAATCAGCAACAAGGATGCCAAAAACAATAAGGATTTGGAAGTAGCACCCCGCCTGGAACAGGAATTTGTTCGTGTTCGATCAGGAAATGAGGGTCTGAATCGAGAAGCCATGCTATTGGCGCTCTTGACCCGAACGTTCTCTTCCCAAACCATTGTCTTTTTTGACACCAAAGCCAAGGCACACCGCATGATGATCTTATGCGGTCTCTGTGGTATCAAGTGTGCCGAATTACATGGTAACTTGAGTCAAACGCAACGATTGGAGGCCCTTGAACAGTTCCGCAAAGGCGAGGCGGAGGTCCTGTTAGCAACCGATCTGGCAGCTCGTGGTTTGGATATCAACCGCGTCAAGAGCGTGGTCAACTTTGAAATGCCCAATCAAGTGGAAACTTACATTCATCGCATTGGTAGAACCGCTCGTGCTGGAAGAGGTGGAAAGGCGTGTACCCTAATTGGGGAAGGTAGACGCCATCTGATGAAAGAAATCATGAAGGATGCTTCTGACAAGAAGAAGAAGGATGATTCGGAAAAGAACCAGGATCCAAGTCAAAAAAGAAGTGCTACGATTCGGTCACGATCCATCCCCGCGGCAGTGATTGCTCACTTTGCAGCAAAGATCGCCTCGCTCGAAGACCACGTGGAAGAAGTTTTGCAGGCCGAAGCAGTGGCTCGAATGGATCGAGTTGCAGAAATGGAGGCAGCTCGAGCGCAAAATATCATTGAGCATGCTGACGACATTAAGGCCCGTCCTCAAAGGCAATGGTTCGCCTCGGAGAAAGATAAGAAGATGACCAAGGAAGCCGCAGCAGAAAAGGCAAGACTGATAAAAGAGAAGGTTGGAACCGGAACTCACAGAATGTCTCGTAAGAAGCGAAGAGCACGAGAGGCGATGGAGCACTTGAACAGTATGAATGACGACGAGGGCGAGGGCAATCACGCCGAGATTGAAAATCAAAAGTCGGTTGCGAGGGAAGCAAAACGCAAGTTGGAGGATAAACAAAGGGACAAGAGCAACATGAGTGTCTATGATTTTGATAAGGAAACTAAAAAGAAGAAGCGAAAGGGTGCCAAGGCGATGGATGCGGCTGGCGACAGTAGTCTCTTTAGTGACGAAGTGGTCGCCTATGCTCCCAAGAAGAAGAAGACTGGGGAAGAAGAGGAGCGTGTCAAGAGCAACTACAGCTTCCGTGGATACGATCCAACCAAGGATGGAAAGAAAAAGCCAAAGCGAAAGGGACACCACAAGTTCAAGTCGAAGAGCAAGCACAAGAGACGTTAAAATTTAAAGAGTAACAGCGTTATAGTCTTGTTTCATCAAATCAAATCAAATCATATTCGCCATAGCTACTACCAACTGCTACCCATGTGCTGCATATCTTAGACATTCTAGACACTGCTAAGACTTTCCTGGAATGACCACGACCTCATTCCGCCAGGAGCTTTGAAAATTCGCCAATCGAGAATAAAAGCGGTCTTCAATTGCTCGTTGTTTGGCCTTTAGCTCACTCATGAGTCCTGGGGTAGACCCAGCTTTCCTCTTGCCAGCAACAGTAGGATTCACTCCTTTTGCTGGACTGCTTGTGGGTCTACACTTGATTTCTTGTTGCTTTGCCTTGAGCTCGGTCATGAGATCTGGGAGAAAGCCAGTTCCCCTGTTGGCGTTTACAATCGCCGTCTCCTTGGTTGGATGGACGGATCGATACTTGATTTCCTGCTGCTTTGCCTTTAATTCGGACAAGAGCGTATTGGCAGATCCCGAACTTGGCGGTGGTGGTTCGCATGCCACAACGATGCGCTTCTGCTTTGTTTTGTGCACAGGACGGCCACCAATTTCGCGGTGTTTGGCTTGCAATTCTGCAAAGAGGTTCTTGGGCGACCCCTGATGATTCGTCTGGTGCTGACCACCAACATTGGGACATGGAAGTTTTGGCCGACTTGCGTGCTTTGATTGACGCTTTACGCCATACCAGTCCTCCACCATGGGAGCAGTCTGTTCTTCTTGGTTGGTCTTGACCATGATTTCGTTCCGACGAGCCTTGACCTCTGCCAAAAAGGTGTTCAAGTTGGGCAGGGGAGTATCCTTGCGTAGAAAAGACTTTTGTGTAGAGACATCATTGGTCTTGGTCTCATCGCCTTCTTCCTTCTTCTTCCAATACCCTGGATTGTTTGGATCTGGCTGATAGCTCTGGACCAAGATTTGGGCCAATGACAAATTGACAATCTCATGTTGTCGAGCACATTGATGCTTGGTATCTGTTGTTGGCAGACTTTGAAAGGACAATGACAATGATGATTCATCAGTAGTACCATTGTCCGAAATGGAACTGAGGGAAGGACTGTCCGATTCCATTGTCGTGCAAATGGTGAGTTTTGTAGCAAGGTCGTCATCGGAACGCTCTTGCATTGGGTCATTGTCATTGTCATCCAAACCAGTGGCAGGAAAGCCAGTCTCGGTGATATGTTGAAAGCCATCATCTTGTTGGTCAAAAGGCTCAACTGGCAAAGCAGGGTTGTAGTTCACCGGTATTTCGGTAGGAGCCTCGTTCGCGTCGACGCCTTTCACCTCGCGATCAATGCAAGATAATTCTTGCACGAATGGCAAAGTACCTTTTCCCGCCGGATTCATCAAACGACCAACTTTGGTCTCGGCAAAATTGTACTCCTCATTGTCATTTTGCACCTCACGATTGGTGCCAGATTTTGGAATGAATGGCAATGCACCTCCTTTTTCTTCTTTCGTAACAGACGGCGCAAAGGATGATTCGTCCTCGTCATTGGAATCCAAAGAGGAGGTGGCCGCCAATAGTTCCATGTGAAGACGAGACTTGGCCAATTTGGTACAATGACGAGGAGACGCAGCAAGTCCCTGTTCCTCCATGTCAGCATAGTGATTCCATTTGCGCACAATCGACTTTGGGCGCAAGGCAAACTTGCTTCGTGCTGGAGTATTCTCATTGGCAATGCGACGACGACTCTTTGCAAAATAGGATCGATTGTGGGCCAGGACTTTTTGTCGGCCAGCTTCGGGTGATGAGGAAAGCTTGACAGGTGCCGCTTCTGGTGGGGCCTCTCTGTCCAAAAGAGATACTTCCCGAGAGACAAAGGATGATCCTGCAAAGGAGGAGTCTTCTCTTGACTCGGCTATCATCATGCCATGATAGCCTTGGTTGTCATTGGATGACCTTGGCGGCTTCCCGTTACCATTTTCAATCGATTCCCAAGAAGGACGGTTTGGAAATACATTCTCCTTGGAAACAGAGCGTCCCTGCTTCTTGGTGTAGAATGATAATAATGCAGGAACCACGATGTCTTGACGTTCCTTCGTTTCGTCGTGTTTACGTCGTCGTCGTGCATTGGCCATGCTGGAAATGTTTGATTTGGGCAGACTATGAACCTCGTGTGGCACCTTTGTTCTCTTGACCTTGCGTCTCCGGAGTTTCTTCCACATCTTCATCTTGCGCGCAACTCGAACTATGTGTTTGGATACTCAAGGACTTGTTTGCCAGGAGTAGAATGCATGGCTGGAGTTCTGGTTGGAAAGGAATAGTTTGAGGTATCGTTTGGAACCGGTCATGGTTTTCGCGTTATGGGAGTATATTGACCGCTCCGATCTTGGAGTAGTTCAAGCTTGCAAAGAACCTCATGTCTGTTGCTATCGTACAGTATTGTCGGGTAATGTTTGGACATGGTTTATTGAGAACTGTTCACTGACATGTATTGGTCGAGCATCATGGTCGAACTAGTCACAAGATGACTGACTCATTCACTCTCATGACTGAGATTTATTTCCACCCGGTATTTTCGAAAGCGTTCCAACTATCATCACATCGAATCAATCATCATCATCATCGTCAACCTCAACAACAATCATCATTAACAATCATCACTAACAATCATCACATAATCTGCAATAACCAAGAATGATGAGCAAGAAGGAGGTGGACATTACAGTTTACGGAGCCACAAGTTTCGTGGCCAAACATGTGATTCGGTACTTGGTAGAAGCAGCCGCCCAAAAAGATCATCCACCCAAATCCTTTGTCGTGGCCTTGGGGGGTCGTTCCAAGACAAAACTGGAAGCCCTTCAAAAGAAATTTGCAGCAGGAAACGAAGCTGCGACTAAAATGTTTGCTCCCATTGTCTTTGTTGCAGATGGGAATGATTTAGAGGGTCTCAAGAAGATTGCCCAAAAGAGCAAGGTGGTTCTGAACTGTGCTGGACCCTATTCCAAATACTCGAGCAACGTCGTGGCTGCCTGTGCCGAACACGGAGCCGACTATGTCGATTTTACGGGAGAAACTAACTGGGTGGCGGAAATGAGATTGAAATACAGTGCAATGGCAAAAAAGTCGGGAGCTCGCATCGTTTCGCTCTGTGGATACGATTCGATTCCTAGTGATTTGGCGCTCTTTGCCGCCGTCCAAGCCTTGAGAGGAAAAGCTCCAAATGCCAAGATCGAATCGGGGACGATTTATCATCAAGCCATGGGTGGAGCCAATGGAGGTACCATTCACACGGCACTGGACATGCCAGTGGACCTCAAACGAGATGTATTCAAAACGACGACTGCTGGAACCAAACAAACACTCCGCAAGGTTCCCTTCCTCATGGGAGATCCATTGCAATTGACACATCCCCAAACCGTCCGTCACAATCCAGACTTTGAAGCGACGAGAAATCGATATGCGCTCAGCGAATGGCTGAACCAATTGCTCAACTTTCACAGTGAATTCTCCTACGGAGTCTCCATTCCAATGTTCATGTCTCCCATCAACATGAAGGTCCTCCACGCGTCATCGATTGCATTGAAGTATGGGCCCAATTTCAAAGTGCGAGAACGATTCTTGCCCTGTGGCTTTGTTTGGACCCGCGTCTTGGGCATTATGGGCTTTATCCCTGCCATTTGCATGCAACTTGTACTGTTTGCAACGATTGCGCTGCTCAAAATGCCCTATCTCGGCAAGGCGATTGCGGACTTTTTGACGCCACCAGGATCGGGAGTCCCCGACTCGATTAGTGCTCTGGGAACGACGGCCGTCTATGCCACGGTCACGAGTGACGTCAAGGATTTGTCCGGCAAGGTGGATCGAGGATATGCCTACCTGTCCTTCAAGGGGGATGCCGGCAATTGGACGACTGCCCAATGCATTTGCGAATCTGCCTTTTGCCTCATATTTGACAAGGACTCCTTGCCCAAACGATCGGAGGATGGATTCGGAACCCCAGCGGAAATCTTTGGTGACGTCCTCATCAAGCGATTCAAGGAGACCAAGGTCCGTCCAGTGGATGTGCAAATCAATGTGCGAACGGACGTGAACAAGAATGAAATGAAGGTTTACATTAACGACATGTAGGTAGTGAAAAGGAGAAATGTATAGTAATAATCATAAAGAGTATAGATGATACCTAGCAATTTTCAATGAATTGTGATAATACAATATTCGAATGTATTCATGTTAACTCGCCCCTCATGAAAAGAGTGGCACAAAACACAGTCACCATCGCGTAGCGAACCAGGCACAGCTGCATGTACAACGTGTCCAGTTGTTGCATACTTGTTTCGAGGTTCTCTGGAAATGCAGTTGGTGACTTGCACGCGTGCTGAACTCGACGTCTACAGTTGGAAAAGTTCCATTGAACCATTCCGAATATGCAAAGCAACCCAATTCCCAGCATGTGAATCTTGGAAAATGAGACCAAGGCTTCCAAAGAAATATTTGGTCCGCCAAAGAGTAACGCAAGTGAAGCAACATTTACAATCTGGTGGACCAAAAAAGGTGCGGAAAGTATTCTGAGCCCTTGGTGTATGGCTGCGACACACACTGCCGTGCATCCAAATGAGAGAAGGCAATGGCCATAGCATAGACCGGCATCCATGGCCAATATGTAATTCAGTCCAATATAGTCGAAAAGAACGAGTGTTCGAGGGGTCGAAAACAAAGCAGTGGACACTGGTGACGATACAATCCCATCTGTGGATGAGCCGCAATCACAAATCTGAAGAAAGACAAATCGTAGTGGTTTAGAATCAATCAGTGAAATAACAAATCAATCGTGATTTCAAGGGTGGACTTACTGCATAAATGGCCAGTCTACCAAGTTCTTGAAATGACAAATATGATTGAGAGGTGAAGGAATTCATCACTGGTTTCAATATCATTGAGAGATAATGGATCACTAGAACCTCAAAAACGATCCGTGTTGTGGTACTCCAGCACAAGTCACGTTTCTTTTCCAGTTTCTCGGTCCAGTTCGGATCATATTTCGAGGCATGCAGCGATTCCTCATGCTGACGTTGTGATAACTGCCGATCTAGGGTTCGTTGGTGATGGTCCATCATCATTCTTTGGGCCTCCAGTTGCCGCTGTGACTCTGCCGCCGCCTCAGAAGTTGTCATACTAACAGCCAATTGCTGGGCTAAAGACCTATCCAAACCATTTTCCGCGAGGAAGTCTTCTGCAAGCTTTATATCCCTTACTAGCTTGGTCAAGAGTTGGGTTTTGTCGCTACCATCGACATCAGTCTGTAGCACTATCTGACTCGAAGCATCGTTGCTTCTGACCAGATCAGAATTTGATCCAAGAGAATTTGTTCCAAGAGAATTTTCTGGCACGTTTATACCTGTGGCAGTCGAGTTGTCTCCCATAGTAAGTGTATCCGTTTGTGATGTTTGTAAAGCTTCTGCCCGTAGAGGTGGCACTTCACCCTCCCCAACACAATGTCGGTCCCTTGGTTCGAAGGAACTGTCTTGTTGGCCTGTGCTTTCCCTGAATGAAACAGCTTTGTGAAGCCTTGGTTCTTGGGCATGTGAACTGATAGTATCCGAGACTTTCTTTTCTTCTGTTTCTCTACTTGGTGATTTCGTTTTCGCTTTAGCTGTGTGTTGATGTTTCCCAGTATGCTTCCAAAGATAAAACAGGATGCACGATGCCAAAAGCAAGGCAAGGGTAAAGCCGTTTCCCTCTATTACTCGCTGAGTGAAAGTGGTGGTGACTCTTGAAGATTCAATAGTCTTTCGTATTCGCGATGGTTTTGAGACGTCAATAATCTCATCTGGGGACGAAAGTAAAAGGTCCAATCGTTGTTGTGTAGTGGAAACAACCCTGTAGTCCGATTCATCATCCTCGTCCAGCATGTTCTGAAATCGCCGAATGGCATCCAAAGAAGCCTCTTCTATATATCTACTGCCCCCTGATGACATGGCTTTAATGCATATACGCTAGCTATCTGAGGAAAAGGAATGCATTGAGATTGGTCTCTGAAACGTGTTGTCGTTGTAATTTGCAGACGGAAGACGATTTCAAAAAACGGTCCCTGCGTCGTACGTCCGAGATAGGAACTAAGGACTTTGATTTTACTCTTGCTTCGATCAAAGGGAAGGATTCCGTAACTCGTAACTACGGATAGACACTTTTTGGAATATCAGCCTATTCTACAATGATAGATAAATTATTCATACTATCTTTCCTCCATGACAAGTTTCAGGGCTTCCTCAACGTCACCCTTTGGAATCAAGTTGAACCAGTCTTGGCATGATGATTGTGCTTGTCGAAGGCATGTCAAGACTTCGTCCACATTGAAATCGGATGACTTGAGTTGGTATTCAATTTCAGCACGGGCGTCGTCCATATTCTGCAAGACTTGATTTCTGTAGAGATCCCGTAGATCCAAGTCACTCACAACTACTGCATTGACGTTTGGAAGGGCGTCGTTACGTACCAGTGCCTTCTTTTCTTCGCCCTGAACATTCAATTGATAGGCATCTCCAAATACAAGATTGTTGGTATATGCGTTCAGTGCCGTTCGAATGGTACTAGATTTCTCCAGTTTTCGTTGACGAGAGCGCAATATTCGGAATTGTGTATTGTCTCCCCATTGTTGAATGGCCGTGTTAACTTGATCATAAGGAGTAGTATAGTCAATGCCCATTTCGGCACCACGAGCTTCCCGCTCCTTTCGTCGTGCATCTTGCCAGGCAGCAGTTGTCTTAATTTCAAGATATCGTTTGGAAAGCTTTTGTTCTTTCTCCGTCATAAAGGCCGGTTCATTCTCAAGAAGATCTTTCAGTGGGATAAGACTTGATGCTTCTGAAGCGCTCTCGTTCGCTTTCAGAGACTTGCAAAGCTCTACAGCTTGGTCGATATACAGTTTGACCCGAGTGGCTGGCAACAAAAGCTCTATAAACGGTGCCCTAACATCTGCTGCAGCAACTGCCGTGGAAGCCGAGGATGAAAGAGTGGCACAAAGAGTGGCACACGAGAGAAGAAACGATCTTCTTTTCAATGAATCATCTCCTTTCGAATAGTCATTTGAAACTGATAGACGCGTGGGGACTCTACAATGCTCCTCCAGGTGCCTGTCAACTATGGGTGTCATCATGAACGAACTTGTGGTGGTGGGTATTATCAGGAGGATACCCAACGCCAGCAGGATTATTGATTGTGACCTTGTTATTCTCTTCATGTTTGCCTGTTTCATTCATAAAAATAGAGTGTAATTTGTTGTTTTCAACGCGAGATCATGTTTGTTGGCATGGCTGAAGATGCGATGATGCTGAGTTGTCGTTTTAGCATCATTTTCAAGATTTGATTTCTTTCTCTGACGTATGTTAACGGACAGCACTAACGGACGCCAACCAAAACCACAAATGCAATAATAGCTCTCGGTTTCGCACACTTTATTGTGTTGTGCCACAGGAGTTTTGGTTTCATCACTCAGAAGTGGTACCTATACTCCGCTTCACAGCAAATACAAATTGAGACGCGTGGCATATCCTAGAAACGAAAACAATGGAGGACAACGAACAAGACTGGGTTGAGAAACTCGTAAAAAAGTCCCTTGTCTACTTCAAACAACGAAACTTTCAAAAGGCCAAGGGGATTTTGGCGAAAGTGCTGAAGATACGAACAAAGGAGTTCGGGGAGGATAATGTCTCTGTGGCCGACACACTCTTTTATATCGGAATGGTTCTGAAGGAGGAAGGAAATTTCAATGAAGCCTTGGCGAAACTAAAAAGTGCTCTTGAGATCCAGCTGAAGAAATTGGGGGAAAGTCACATTGACACAATAAATACCTACGAAGTCATTGGTAGAGTCTTTCTGCGAAGTGGTAACAGCGACAAAGCTCAAGAAATGTTCCGGAAAGTTCTGGATAACAGGCTCGAGTCTCTGCCACACTCATTGTTTCATTTGATGGATCTGAGCCAAGACCTGGTGTTGGCATTTCGAAATGAAGACAATCTTTCAGAAGCAATCAAGATACAGAGACTCGTACTTGCGAAGCTACTACAATTTTATGGGGAAGACAGCTCCGAAGTCACTCGTGTATATATTTCCATTGCGATGCTGTTGAAAGACCAAAGTAGGTTGGACGATGCTCTTCAGATGCTTGATAAAAGCATCGAGATTTGTTCTCGCCTACAACACCAAGGGGGTTTCGACACGATGATATTGGCCGGAGCGCTCCTAAACAAAGCAGGATGCCTGGAAAAACAAAGGAATTTTGAAGGTGCCATGGAGGTGTACAACAGAGTTCTATTGATACAAAAGGAAGCGCTAGGCGAAATGCACCCCTCAACAGCAGAGACTTATGCATATCTTGCAGATGCATATGCCAACCAAAACATGTCAGAAGATGCCATCAAGGCGTATGCGAAAGCCATCAATAATCGCAAAGCGAATTTTGGCGATGGTCATCCTAGCACAAAGAAGGTCAGCAGTAGCCTTAGATTGTTAAAGCGCGAGAAAAAAGCGAGATCACTGTATGAGCAGGGACTGGTAATGAAGGCACAAGAAGACTTGGAAAAGGCAATACAGTTCTTCCATGAGGCGCTGGACATTTTCAAGGGAGTCTATGATGTTCATCCTAACATGGCAGTAATCTACGAGAATATTTCGGCCGTCAAAGTTGAACAGAGTTTGCTGGAAGATGGGATCGCTGCGAGTGCACAAGCCCTCAAGATTCGTCGAAGAACGCTTGGGGACGACAATGCTTACACGAAGGGCCGTATGGAAGTGCATAGATCTTTGCTGAGACGTCTCTTGGAGAATCGTAACCATAAGCAAGGGAACTAACTGAATATGGAACAAGTCTACGTGCAAACCAAGTCTGAATGAGGAGATGATGACATGAAGTGAATGGCCGCTACCTTTCGGATAGGATAATGGAAATAGGGATCTCAGTTTTCGCCAACGGCAACACTGAGAAGCATAGTAAACGCATAATAGAAAACAATTGCAATAGTCGCTCTGGCTCAGCTGCTTTATTTGAAATGCTACTAAACAATACCTGATTTAAAATTCAAAAAATAACACAAGTGATCATCAACAGTGTGCTCGCAACAGTATAGAGTGTCTGGGAGACTGAGCCGCTTGTGGGGGGCACTTGTTTCTGGCGTGGGAATAAAGGCTCAGATGGAAGTGACAGAGTGCTGGACGGCATGGAAGATGGTCGATCGGTTGGAACTGGCGTAATGATTTTCTCATGACCATACACTTTGAGTTCCCATCCCAACAACTGATCCTGGTAGTCCGCGGGGTTAGTATATTTGGTTCCACCACCGAGAACGCAGCATGCATCTTTTGGACGACGACCTTGCTCATCTTCGAGCATGAACAAAGAAGGAAAGGTTCCATCTGTGAGACCTCCATCGGCGCACCATTGTCGTCTTTCTGCATCCTCACAAAGGCTTGAGGCGGAATAAAAATCCGAGCAGATACTACCTGCTAAACTTCCACCACCACAAGAACAGCAACCCGCCGTAATGCGATCCAGAATGTGGCTCATGGCACTGACGTATGATTCATCGTGCATCCCTTCGAAGTATTCCAGCATTCCGCAATCGATAGGACCCACATCTTTTACATCCACTTGCCAATCCATCAAGTCAGCGCATTTGCTGACATCTCCTTGGGTCACATCTGAAATCGTTAGCGTCCAAGTACCGCTAGCGATCTCACCCCAGGATCGAATTGTACGGAGTGTCCAAGGTCCACTCTCCTGGCCATTTTCGGGGACGGCACCGGGTGTCAGCTCGGATACAGTTCCGTCTGGAGACGTTAGAGTCACCTTCAAATGACCTCGAGACAGGTGCTGGATGTAAAGATTGACTTCCACATTCTCGACCTGAATAAGAGGTTCCATGGATTCAATCGAGAGTTCTGCCACCAATGGAGCATTGGGATTGTCTCCAATACTAATATTCATATTGGAATCAATTGCAGTAAGGATCTGTTCTTCACCATACAATAACCAATTCTGGGCCGCTGTCACTGCCCCAAAGGCATCAACAATACCAAATCCGTAGAGATTGGAGTGGGTTAACCCTGCACCGTTGGTAGTCTGTGTATCGTCTTCAAAATTTGCATGAGTGACTGGACGAGAAGTGATAGCTAGGATTCCTTGGACATCCCGCCAAGTAAGATTCGGATTCGCTTCTAGCATCAATGCAACCACACCCGATACTATCGGACTCGAGAAACTAGTTCCGACGTTTGCCAGTTGACACCCTCCACCCGCATAAGCAGCAGCTTGATGAGTCAAGTCAGAGATATCTCCACCTGGGGCTGTCAGCAAAAGTGAAGCTCCAGGGGCGGAATAAGATGTCGACATGGCGTCCTTGCCGACTGCTCCCACAAAGATTGGAAATCGGCTTGGTTGCTGAAAGTTCGTGTTCCCAGCTAATCCAAGATCATTCCCCGATGAATGCACATAGATGATACCTTTGCCGTCGCGTCCTTTCATAGCTCCTTGTTCGATTGCAGCAGTCGTTACTGGATTCATGGGTCGAAAACCACATTGTCCACCAAGGACGAGTTTGTCCAATAGTTCCATACAAATTTCATGATCAAACTCGGCAAAAAGAAGACAGTGTTGGTCGACTACATTTGCACAGAACACGTCGGGTTGTGTCGAAGGAAATTCGCAGGCTTTGCAAGGATGGGTAATGTTTTTTGCTTGCCCAAAGAAGGGAACTGTGTCTCCGTATTTGTAGGTGAATGGACATGTATTGATATTTGGAAAGGTTCCTTCAAACGTAGAATTTTCAAGTGCTCGACACGTCTGTACCCCGAATGAATTCTGCGAAATGTCAATTTGATCTAATTTGTATGCTGGATAGGTTCCATCATGTGACGTCTCGTCTACATCCGGTGCGGAAAGTATCACACAAGACGAAAATACAACTTCAGGAGCAACTCCCACGGCACACTGGCCATTGTTTCCAGCCGCACCAATGATTGAAGCTACAATCGTCCCATGCTGACCAAACTCCTTTTTCTTTTTATCGTACGAAATATCGTAGACTTGGCAGGATGCATCTGCATCAAACCGACCCTCAAATTCTTCATGTTGACTGTCCACACCTTCATCGTTGATTCGGACTCGAACACCCGTGCCAAAGATTCCTTGCTCCCAAACAGGCCAGACATTGATCATGTCAAAGACCCACCGTTGTACTCCTATTTCAGGGTCGTTGAAAACATCGTTCTTCAAAGCAAATGGAGCTCCTGCACCATTGACTTGGAGAGGAATCATTCCACAAAACAATCCGATGAGGACTGGCACAACTAAATTCATCTTGATGTTGTTATTGTCCTGGCCTTTTCCCTAGACAATACTTGATTTATGGGTGCAAGATCAATTTTCTTGCTACATCTGTGTCAAAGAAGGCTTGCTTGAATGTTGGTGTCGATGTTATTGTATTGTTTTTATATTGAGGTTTCAAATCAGTTTGGCGATAATTTGAAAACTGGATCGGTTTTAGTCCGATTGATCGAATCATTTGAATCGAATGTTTGCTTTGCTTTGCTTGCTTATTTGCTTTGCGCTATTATACTGTAGCAGTACGTACTGTAATACCGCTTTGCTTACACTTATTTGAGCTATGGCACAAATGATGCTAGGAAATACTCGGAAATACGTAGATTTTGAATTCTCAGCATACCTGATATACAGACTCGAGGAGGCATAGCCAAAAGGAGTGACGTAGTAGTAGTCACGTCAGTTTTACATTCAAACTAATTTTCCAGCGCTGGCAAAGTAGAATGACTCCATGGATGCTAGCTTCAGCCGTCTATCATAGTCTTGGTCGGGACCACAGCTTGTATTTTCTGATCGAAGCAGATTTTTTCTCAAGGTGAACTTGCAGTGGATCATGGCAACCAGTCTTTCTTCACATAAACGGACGGTTTGATTCGGAAGGAATGGTTTCGGAAAGGCCATTGAATGCATCATTTCCATTGCGACTTTTTGTAACGCCACCTCTCCGTGAAACTTTCTAAAGACATCGCCGGCCTTAACTTCGGAAAAATGAATCAGATGCTCAGATTCTCTAAAGATTGTGTCGGCGATTCCGGCAAGGATTCCAAACGTCTGATTCACATGCTGGGATGCTTGCATGGACTTAATGTCGTAGCCACGCTGTTCATGTTTGGAATGGCATGAAAAATCTGCCAATTTCTTTCGAAATCTGAAAAATCCAAGCTACAAACATTTACCCCGTGAGAGGATCATATTCCTCTGCAATCTTGACCGTAGCCTGAATCTCGTCCATTACAACTTGGCTCTTATTTCGAACTTCCAGATAGTCACTTTGCGAGGCGCTTTCTTGTAATTGCTTTGCAGCCTTCATGAGCCGGTCAAAGCCGCACATTCCTGCCAAGCCTTTGATGTTGTGAGCAATTTCCGCTGCGCGAGCACTGTCCTTGCGGCTCACCGATGTGCGAAGCTCATCCGCGCGCACCTTGAGGTCTCTGCCAATGTCACCCAATAGCGTCTTGAGCAAAGCCTTGTCACCTGAACAATTGTCCAAAGCTCGTTCTTTGTCAAAAGTCTCAGGGCTTTCGTTCTCGTTTTTCTCCCTCGGTGACGACCCGACAGTCCCTGTATAGTCGGCGAGGAACCTTGCTATGGCCGCCCTCCCTACAGGTTTGGAAACCAAAGATACCATTCCGACCCCTTGCGCCCTTTCAGCAGCTCCTCTGTCTACGTCGTCGGCTGTCATCCCAATGATGGGCAAATCCTCCGTACCAGGAATCTCCTTGATGCGCCGCGCTGTCTCGATACCATTTATACCTGGTGGCATCCTCATGTCACAGATTACCATCTCAATTCGTTCTGATTTGTCGGCAAGTGAAGTTCTAACGAGTTCCACCGCGCTCTCTCCAGACGATGCTTCTGAGACGATGCAGCCCATTCCGACCAGAAAAGTGCGCAAGAGAAGTCGCATGGTCGGCGCGTCGTCTACCACCAGGACATGTGAGGCCCCAGCAGGTGGTGATGGGCTTCTAGGAGTAGGCCCCCCACTGGCAGCGGATCGTAGAGGTTTCTGTACTTCTGTGCTCAAGCGGTCCTCTCCGCAAACCTTCACAACCATGTCTCTCAAAGCATTTTTCCTCAGCGGTTTGGGAAGAAATTCGTCAAAGCCTCCCGAAAGGCAGGCTTCCTCAGTGTCTTTGTCCGCGTCAGCAGTAACTGCGACAATCTTCAAGGCATCCTGGTTATTCTCCTCCTCCCACTCTCTGATCATCTTGACACACTGGGAGCCGTCGCAAAGAGGCATGTGTAGATCCATCAGGCAGAGATCGAATGCCCTTTTGCCACGATGAGAAATTCTTTCTTCAAATCCGGAAAGTCCATTAAGCGCTGTGGTCACTTGACATTTCCAGCGAGTCAGAATTGATACAATCACCTTTTGATTGATTAGATTATCCTCGACCAACAAGATTGACAAAGGATTAGGTCGTTGGCCATTGTTACTGAAGCCCACGCTAGCCCTCCGCTCCAAACTTTGCACCGGACCTGGTATTTCATCTTCAGACTCGTCGTTATGGCCATCCTCCTTTGCCAAATCTAGCCTGGCGGTATTTGTCAGTGACAACATACCACGCTTAATCTTCAGCTGCTCCACAATCATTTTGATGAGAGGAAAGCGACGGATCGGTTTTGTGGTGAATCCATGGACATGAGGACAGGCTGCAATGGAGCGATGCACGTCAATTGACCCGAGCATGATGATGCGCACGTTGGTGTTGGCAATTGACTGGGATGAGGCGATAAACTCGGCAACTTCCAAACCAGACATGTGCGGCATTGCAAAGTCCAGCAGCACAATCTCATACGGGTCTTCTCGAAGGGCTGCAAGTTTCAACAATTCGATTCCATTGGTACCAGACCTCGCACCTTTGACATCGCATCCAATTATCTTGAGAAGGTTGACAAGGTAGGCCGTGTTCACTGCATTGTCGTCAATCGACAGAATGTGAACGTTCTTGAGCAGCTTCAAGTCTTCTTCAGAGACATTGTCATGCAGGTCAGAGCTAGAAGAACCGTCGGGGTCCTTCTCAAGCACACTGGTGAAAGAAAAGGTAGAACCTCGACCTGGGCGCGATTCGACCTTGATGTCCCCGTCCATCAGAGACACTAGCTTTTGGGCGATCGACAGACCAAGCCCAGTGCCACCGTACTGTCGTGTGGTACTGTCATCGGCCTGCGTAAACGGCTGGAACAGCTTCTTGATATGCTTCTTGGATATACCAATACCAGTATCCGAGACTTCAAACTTCAAGACAACTTTATTGTCGTCCACTGTTTTTTTACTCTTGTCTAGGAAATCCTCGTCGTCCGTTTCCGAATCATCATCAGAGTCGTCCTCGACGCCCTCGACACTGACTTCCAAGGCGACATGCCCCACTTGGGTAAACTTGAGAGCATTGCTGAGCAAGATTAGGAAAATTTGTCGAAGCCTTGTGGGATCGCCAATGACAAAATCTGGAACCGACCGCGCCACAGTATAGACCAGATCTATGGCATTGTCGTTTGTTTTGGGTGCCATTACGGTGACCGCATCTTCAATTGTGTCGCGAATGTTAAAGGAGAGGCGTTCCAGACTAATGCCACCACCATCTGCCCTGCTAAACAGCAAAATATCATCCAAAATGGTCGTCAAGGACTGTGCGGATCGGGAGCATGTGGCCAGCCATTCCGTCTGGACCGAATCCAATTGAGTGGATTGCAAGAGTTCCAGCATGCCAAAAATACCATTGAGGGGGGTTCGAATTTCGTGACTCATGGAAGCCAAAAACAATGCCTTTTGTTTTCGCATGCGATCGGCCAGTTCGGCACGGGCATCTGCTTCCCGCACGGCAAGTTCCAACGTCAGATCGTGCAAGAGACCCACAAAGGTGGTACCTCCTTGCTCGCTTGCTCCACTTGTGCCGGCGGTTTCAATCTTGGAGAGACCCAATCGACACTTGAACTCGGTCCCATCCTTTCGTTGGGCCGTGACGGTGCGATCGGTACCAATCATTTTCTGAATGCCCGTTTTGAAATGGGCTTCCAAATACTGATCGTGCATGGCTCGATGCGGTTGTGGCATGAGCATGCTAATGTTGTTTCCGATGAGTTCGTGTTCTTTGTAATGAAACATTTTCTGAGCACTCTTGTTGACGAGAGTAATGATTCCCTTTTCATTGATGGTAAAGATCGCATCGACTGCCTCATCAATGACATTTCGGAAGAGTTCTTCTCGCTCCATGGTCTCTGTGACATCTCGGAGTGTTCCCACAAAGAAGATGTCGCCGCCGAGAGTGACTTCGGAAATGGACAAGGACGCATAAAAGGTGGTGTTGTCGGATCGTTTGGCGAGAACCCTTCGATTCCGTCCAATCATTTTCTTCATACCAGTTTCTTTGTAATTTAGCATGAATTGATCGTGCTGATGTGCCTCTGATTCGTTGGCCATCAAGGATGACACGTTCAGTTTGTTTTCAACAACACTGTCGGCGTCCATTTGAAAGGCTTGACATGCCGCAGGGTTGAAGTAAACTATGATTCCATCTTCTCCAATCACAATCGTGGGGTCAATGACGGCTGCTAAGATGGCAGTCGACAGTTCCGCGTCCATGATTGGTCGTAGTGGTGAAGACGATGACGATGTGGAGGACGTTGAGGATGATGTTGATGAGGATGTACTGTATTGCTTCATCGCATTGCCTTGGCCTTATTGTAATCAAAGTCTTCGAATTCGGATTGATGAAGGATGTCTTTTCATTCTTCGCCTTCTCATCGGTACTACCGTACTGCTTGTTACCAGGAGGTCTGAATACCGGATGGATCATCTGCTCTGGAGTCTTTGTGCTTTTTTCTCTGTCGCTTTGCGCGATGTACTTATAGTTCTCCAATGATACAGAATAGAAAGCTATTTTTTTGTTATTGACTTCAAAATTAAATGAAGGCTATTCTATCACACCGAATAAGGTGGTACACGTGTACACGTGTTCGGGCGTGGCCGTTGCGATCTTATGTCGTTTGTTCTCCACAAATGCAGTCGTGTTAGTCGAAATGAACGGGTACAATTACTGCACTGGTAGGTACAGTCCGTGTACAGTAAGTCCAAAATATAGAACATGATTCCTCCTTCGACTTTCCCATACAAGGTACTGTACTGTAGTGCTGTACTTTGTTTATTACTATTTGTTATTATATTTGCCATTATAACCCTAGCTACTCTCGTCTGTATCCTTTTGAAATTGCATGACACCAGCTCTTGCCATGGCCTTTTGTTTGGCTTCTTGTTCTTCGATCCGGTGCCTCAAATCATCAATGTAGTCGGCAAAATCATTCTTGGCCGCTTGATCAATCACCTTCCAAAATTCTTCAATCCCATCCCCCGTCATGGCTGATACACCGCAAGCATTCTGTTGGAACTGGTTGTAGAATTCATCTAGTACCAATGACAGACTCCTCGTTAAGGAATCGTAAAATCCACCTCCTTCCCCTTCATTGCTGCGTGCATTGTCCAGAGCCTCTTGAAAGGCCTCGTAATCCCGCATCCATTCCATGCAAAATTCATGGGATACCACGTCGGTCTTGTTGAAACAAATCACCAAGGGTAATCTTGTTCGATAATACATACTGCAAGCATACAGCATATTGCTCATAAAGGTATTGGGCGAACTCGCACATCGGACCGTGTCCACCACAAAGACCAGGACGGTGGGAAAGGTGGACGCCAGCGATTCACTTAAAATGGTTCCGGAAGCACTCCAAGTAAAGGCTTCAATTTGACCAGGAGTATCCACCAGCAAGTATTTGGAAAGATTGTGATTGTCGGCGCGATTCTCGAGAATTCGAATGACTTGATCGAATTTGGTGGCATATAGATTCAGGGATGTCATAATGGCGCCATTGGGGCCCAATTTATGCTGGGACATGACTTCCTTGTATTTTACTGTATCACGAATATCAATGGAGGCATTATACGGGACTTCCAGAGTGGCAGGATCCAAGTTTATGCAATAGGCCGGCATGGTATTGGGATCTGATGACGATGGTTCTTTTGCGGCTGGCTTTTTGTCTCCTCCTCCTCCTTCCTCTTCCTGTGCTTGTTCTTGTTCTCCCTCTCCTTGTTCTTCTTCCTCATCCTCATATGGATAGGTAGATTCTTGCAGAGCAGACATTAACGTTGTTTTGCCACTGCCCGCCATTCCAACCACCAGCACGCAAATGGGAGTGGGGTTGTCTTCGGTCTGCTTTGCGATGCGTTCCACCACGGGAGGCAGGGATCGGCCAAAGGGTATGTCGCTTCCTTGTTCAAACATTGTAGATTGACGTGTGCGTGTGTGTGTGTGTGTGTGTGTTGCGAACGAGGAGATATTAAACTATATATGTATGGGCCAAGAGAGTGAATGAATGAATGATATAAAAGCAGAGTTGAAAAATAATCTTTGGTTGGTTGGCAAAACACTAAAAAAGTCCGGGAGACGACGGACAGAGTAGTTTGACTTCTTCGATCCCTGACGCAGATCTTCACGCTTCTCTTATTCACATCATCATCATTCTCCTTCAAACAGCTTTTACTCTACAGTCATCCAGTACCTGGTACCACCACACAATGATGAGAATAGTTGCCACATCACTGGTTTTTCTATCATTCAACTGTGTACAAGCTCTCATCCTTGATCGACGCAGTTACATGGCACAGCTTCTCCTACCCTCACTATTGCAAACACTCGATCCAATGCCATCCTCCACCCTAGTATCATCATCCAGCACAGCAACATCGTCGTCGTCATCATCATCGTTATCACCAAGCTCTACTGATATTGTTGCCGAAGTGACAAACAAGGTTTTCTTTGACATTCGAATTGCACGACAAGATGGGAGTACCTACGTCAGAGATGATTTGCCTGATACCTTTGAAAATCGAGTGATATCGGCCCGGATTACCATGGGATTGTTTGGCAAACAAGCACCCAAGTAAGTGAACATAGAGAAATGCTTTGCTATACTATTATTCTAGTCATTGGAAAGTGAAAGAAAACATAATCTCACCAATCCCATTCCCGACACTTACTCAGTCACGTCGAAAAGTTCTTATCCTACGTCCTTCCTCCCAAGGATACTGACGTGGATAACCCATATCCAGCGTTCAGTCGGTCGTCCTTTACTTCGCTGAACCAAGAAACGGGTCTTCTTGCTGGTGGTTACATTCCGTCTTTGCGAGTGTCCGATATTGGTGGATCGGTGCGTTATAGTCTAGTGTTGTTGTATCTGTCATGATGCTGTTCATGATGTCATCATCTTATCAACAAGACCCTCATGTCTTCATTCCCACTGTCCTCTTTGCAATATATACAGACCGCATTGACCTATGGTTCCCGTGTACTTCCAGCACCCCTTTGGATTGAAAAGTCGTCGCCATCCATTACCACCACCAAACTATCCCACAATGCCAAAGGATTGCTGACGCACAAAACCTTGGACGTGACACCCACCTTTGGGATTACCACTCGACCGGAACCTTCCTTGGACGCAACGCACACGATATTCGGACAAGTCCTATGGGATGATAGTACTGTAAGCTTGTTTCGGGATTTTGAAGATATTCCCACCTATGCTCTGGAACGACCAGCAGGATACGATGATTTCAATACTGGTGGATTGGCCACATCGGTGTACAATGCTCAAAAGGACTTCTTTCGAGGGGCTGCCAAAAGCTTTGGTGATACACGAGTCTCTAAGCTGTATGAAGGAAAGTTATTGCGAAGAGTTGAAGTGCTACAAGCAGGAATAATACAGTGAAATAAAAGCAATAGTGCTTGATCAAAATGCTACTTTAGTCCTGTTCTACTTGTCAACTGAATGAATGAATGAATGCTACATGATATATTTTAAAATTTCTACTCCTTCTTGCCTCCAAACATATTTTTCAGGTTGGCGAAAACATCAGCACTCTCGTCTACATATCCTTGGTCAATGTAAGGCAACTTGTCATCGGTTCGGATATCTTGCAATCCTGCACTGCCGAGTCGACTTGAGGTTGGATCTCTGGCAATATCATCCCCAGCCTTGATTTTCCCAGAGCTTCGCAATTCCCTCCATGTTTGCAATGGATCAGCTCCACTGGAATCCTTTTGGAAGCTCCAAACATCTCGCTCAGCATCCAATTTGTTCCTTCGCTCGTCAACTTTCTGTAGATATTCCTTCTTTTTGTTTGGATTGCGGCGTGCCTCCAAAATTGCTCGCTGAGCCTCTTCTTGTTCTTGTCGTTGTCTATCCTCATATGCCTTGCGATTCTTCTTGCCCTTGTCACTGAAAATGAGACTCAAGTCGTCTATCATTCCCATCTTTCGAACCGTCGTTGTTGTCGTCACACCAGAAGAATCACGATCGCCCAATGTGGTCGTCGTAACCACGGCAACAAAGGCATGGACGTGGCCGCCAATGGAAACCATCAGAGTTGCCAGAAGAGCAAAGAGTTGGATAGAAATCATCTGATCACAGGTATAATGAGGTTGAAAGGATTTGCCGCGTTTTGTTTGTTCTGACTTTGCGGCATCCTGACGGTGCAACGAGATTCGATGATGACTTTTTGTACCGGGTAATGATGCGACAGAAAAATGAATCATCAGAAGGGACTTTACAAGTCTTTCAACTGACGCACTTTCAACTTTGGGGCGACATTCCAAAAATCGATCCCTCTCCCCTCATATTCAAATCTCCCCAATTATCTTCCCCCTTTACTATCGAAAAATCTCAAAACTTCATGATCAAACTACGAACATTCACATGCAACGTGTTAATCTTGAATAACTGCTACTGTACTATATTGTTTCCAAGTGTTCTGGAAAAGGACATGATATTCATGGAATAGACCAACTGTGAGGATATTCGAACAGCGTTGACATTGAATCTGTTGTCTGTTTGAGGTGTCACTGAAGCACTCCAGGAAAAGCGGTCTGATTGGATTACTTTGTTTCCCTGCACCAATTTTTTTGAATCATCATCAAACACAACATGAAGTCGTCACCAATTCGTATCACTGTGGCGATCCTCCTTTGTGGACCTATTATTTCTACGGTAGCCACAAGAGGCGGTTCTTTGTCAGAGCGTCGAATTGTGAGCATACTACCAAAGGAGGAACCCAAAGTTCATGGAATATTCCAGAAACATGGTGGTTCGGCCGAACTCTTTTCACTTCCCAAGGGGAGCTCTCCATTGTCAGTTCCCTCGGATACAACCTCCACCACTGATACCCAACTTCCGCTTCATTTATCTTCAAGGACACGGCATATATCACACATTGTGGCATCCATTTTTACTGTATTTTTGTTTGGATCCCTTGTTTATTGTTGGAAGTGTATGGGGTCCGACCATGACAGGAGCAATGTTGGACTAATCTTATCATTTATGAGTGTGGTGGCATACTTTATGGAAGCAGCCACCAGTAGCACTGCGCGGTACCTTCGTAATCCATTGACTCCAGATGACGTCGACGAGTATTTGGACTCTATAAAAGCTGTCATTCCTAGAGTGATTTGGGATATCGAATGCTTTCACTACGAGACGGTTCAGCGGGTCGAATATCCTTCTAGCAGCAATGACGATAAGGACAATAATGACCAGAATGTGCCAGAAGTACGCACGGAAACGGAAACGATTGTGACGCATCGAGCCTCTGCCGAATACTCCTTTGCTAGGTAAGAATGTATTGTTGTCACTGCCATTTTGGCAGGGTTGGACTATTCTCGTTCTCACAATCATTTCAAAATTGCTTAACAAAACCTAGGTGTAAGGATGAAACAGATACACGTAGCTTGTCACGAATGCTAACGGGTGGTGGCACTGATAATATCAAAGGTGACGATTCCTCCACACAAGCACAACTATCTTCCATACCAAAGCAATTCACCAAGATCACTTTGGACAAGCTACTCTTTTTTGCCAACGATGCAACCTATTGCGACTATATGGAGCAAGAATCAAGATTTCGACAATTACATCAGCATCGAGACCTCCATCACTCCTTTTCTTCTCGACTCGTAATGGATGGATACTTGCCCAAGATTCTGGTGGTCAATCACAGCTTGGGTGGAGCAGGAACGGGATTGATCAAGAATCTATGGTACTGGATTTTTACGTGCCTTGGTCTGACAGTACCCTATCGAATATGGTTCTCCCAGCATTGTTCCAATACCGAAGTTACCATCACCAAGGAGGTATCATCACGATGAAAGTGACGAGGACGAACTTGCGTTTGGTATTGCGATACTTTGGAAACTTCTACAATATCGTTTGCCCCTCTTTGTAACAACTTCCCCGTCGCTTTCCCCCTATATGAAGTGAAAAATCGAAAACCCACACAAAACGGCAGTTGACAGAAAACTGCAACGTGTCACCCCTTATCGTTGCCAACAAGCGCGCTGGAAAAGGGCATGACTGTCACGAAACCCAAGCAGCATTGACATTCAATCTATTGCCGGCTGAGGTGTCATTGAAGCACTCTTCCAGGAAAAGCGGTCTGATTGGCTTTCGAACAACTTGCTTCTTCACGCGCTTTTGGAATCATCATCATCAGACACAAGATGAAGTCATCATCAATTGGTGTTACTGTGGCAATCCTCCTTTGCGGACATACCAATTCTACAGTAGCCGCCAGGGAAAGCTCTTCGTCGTCAGAGCGTCGAATGGTGACCATCCTACCAAAGGAAGAACCCAAAGTGCATGGCATATTCCAGAAACACGGTCGTTCGGCCGAACTCTTTTCCGTTCCCAAGGGGAGCTCTCTATTGTCGGATTCCCTTTCGGATGCAACCGCTGCCACTGCTACGCAACTTCCTATTCAATTGTCTTCTAGGACACGGCATGTGTCGCACATTCTGGCGTCCCTTCTGACCGCATGTTTGTTTGGATCCATTCTTTTTTGTTGGAAGGTTGATGGTGTGGCTGGTATTGGATTTTTCATTTGCAGTATTGTGGCATACTTTGTGGAATCAGCGTTTAGTAGTACCGCTCGATACCTTCGCAACTCGCTGACCCGAGATGGCGTCGATGAGTATTTGGATTCCATAAAAGCCGCCATTCCCAGAGTCATTTGGGATATTCAATGCTTTCACTACCGCCGGCGTCGTGTCAAGTATTCTTCTGGCAGCAGCAAACGAGTACGCACGGAAACTGAAAAGATTGTGACCCATCGAGCCTCTGGCGAGTACTCCTTTGATAGGTACGAACGTCTTCTTGTCATTGTCATTGTTATTTTGGTATTGGTATTGGGATTGTAATGTTCTCACAATTGTTCGAAAAAACTTCAAACTACGGCTAGGTGGAAGGATGAAACGGATACTCGGAGCTTGTCAAGAATGCTAACGGGTGGCGGCAACACCGATACCAAAGACGATGATTCCACACAAGCACAACGATCGTCCATGCCAAAGCAATTTACCAAGATCACTTTGGACAAACTACTCTTGTTTGCCAACGATGAAATGTATCACGATTTTATGGATCAAGAATCAAGGTTTAGACAATTACATCAGCATCGAGACCTCCATCACTCCTTTTCTTCTCGACTAGAAGTGGATGGATACTTGCCAAAGATTCTGGTGGTCAATCACAGTCTGGGTGGAGCAGGAACGGGATTGATCAAGAATCAATGGTACTGGATTTTTACTTGCTTTGGTCTGACAGTACCTTATCGAATATGGTTCTCCCAGCATTGCTCTAATACCGAAGTTACCATTACCAAAGAGGTGACGAAATGAAGTATTATAGCTATGCTTCTTCTTCCAGCATCGTCATCAGCGTGAAAGACACTACCTGCTAGTATGGAAGCAGTCCAGCTTTTTATCATTCCGTGATGTTGCTCATGTGCATAGCCCTTGATAATGTACCATCACAGAAGATGTGTAAACTACTGTACTTACATCAAATCATCATCATCTTTGCAATTTCGGGTACTGATACCAGTACCGGTACCGTGTTGACAATATGACAAAAAAGATTGGTTTCTGTTCTTTCTTCGTCTCATAGTTTCAAATTTCGGACAAGGAGACGTCTTATCGTATCGGAGAAATTTCAAAAATATCTTTCGTAGAAATTGTAGTAGGTCATTCGTACGAACTCCGGCCGCACATTTGTCCGGATCTGTGAAATTCGGGAGATCGCGGCACCCGCAACAATGCAATGCCACTGCCAATCAATACTGTATCTTGTTGTTGCCCATTATTGCAGCTGCCTTTTGTTTGGTTTCAGTTCCAATTTTAATACACACATACTGTGCTTTATACCGGTAGAAAGCAATACAAATACAAGCCACCATGAGCGCCTTGTTTGATCGGCTGCTCCAAGAAGTCAATGAAACGCTTGGCAATGAAACGCAGACCAATGTTACCATTGAAATCAACTCGACAGCTCCCAGTGGATTCCCTACGATTGATTTCAGCGATAGTCCAAGCAGTGTACCTACTCTTTCTCAAGCTCCATCCTTGGTTCCCAGTGCCAATCCGTCCTTCCTTCCCACTGGAATGCCATCGGAATCTCCGAGTATTTTTCCAACCACTGAGGAACAAGGTCTTGTCGGCGGGCATCAAGACGAAGCACTGGAGAACTCTTTAAGAATTTATGGCAGTCTCTTTGTTGTTGTGATGCTTGTTTTTTGCTGGCTGCGTAAAAAGTATCCTCGCTGCTACAATATTCGTGGCTGGGTGGAAGGTCTAAGGACACCCTTGGCCGATGAGCAATACGGATTCTACGATTGGATTTGGAAACTGAATTCGATTGAAGAAAAGGTAATGATGGACGAATGTGGAATGGACGCTCTTTGCTTTGTCCGTGTCTTGGATTTTGGATTCCGAGTGGCATCCGTCGGTGTCTTGAACTCGATATGGCTCATGTTGGTCTACCGAACGGCCGACAAAACCGAGGCTACCGAATTCATTACTTCGGCGGTCGTCTCGTTGTCGACAGCCAATCTTCCACCAGGGTCCCCCCGATTGATTGCTACGGTAGCTGCCTCTTACGTGATTTTTGGATTCACCATGTGGAGTATCCTCAGGGAATTTGAATGGTTCATCAAGTTTCGTCATGCATTTTTGACCAAGCGATTGGCCAGAAACTATGCAGTAAGTCGTCATGGGCAAACACTCCATTCTTCTCGCGTACAGTGCCTGGTACTGTATCTAACTCTTCCATCATTTTCCCCCACAAGGTCTATGTCCAAAACATTCCCATTGAATACCAAACCAATGCTGCCCTTACCGAATTCTTTAGTAGTGCCTACCCTGGAACTGTCCTTGACGCGCATCTTGCCATGCAAGCAGCCCACCTGAAGAAAAAGGTGGACGAGCGGGATAGTGTCATTGCCAACTTGGAGCATGCCATTAATATTCGGGAAGTTACCGGCGTGGTTCCACAGGCCAAGAACTTGATTACTCGACAAACCTCCGGTAGTGCCATTCAGGGGTATGGTGACAAATTGGTGGCACTTAACAAGGAAATTTCTTATTCCATTGAGACTTTGATTGAAAATGCCAACCATATTGAGGCTCACAGCGTAGATGACGATTCCTTTATGGGTTCTACGGATGATTCCTTCGAAGGACCCAAGTCTCCTCTGGCCGGTGGTGTCATGGGATTTGCCAAGAATTCCGTCAAAGGAGTTACCAATATTTCCAAGAATGCCATTAAGGATGTTGGAGGTGCTGTCAAGGGTGTTGGGGGTGCTGGCATGCATGTTTTGGGAAGTGGTGCCAACCTGGCAAAGTCTTTTATCATTCATGAGGAAGATGGCGCTGCCCTGTCTGCTGGTTTTGTTACCTTCAATTCCTTGCGTGCCGCTCATGCTGCTTTGCAAATGATGTACGTATTCATACCGGTAGTCATACTCATATATACAGTAGTATATGTGTATTGGAAATTGTTCAATCTCACACACATTCCGCTCCTTGTTCGTTTTTCAGTCAATACAACCAACCCCACAAGATGGAAGTACTCGAGGCGCCACAACCAGAAGATGTGCTATGGAAGAACATTGGAAAGGCCAACAGGGAAGTACAGATTGGAAAATTGATCAGTTTTGCTGCAACTGCCGCCTTGTGTCTCTTTTGGACCATTCCAATGTCCTTCATCTCGACTCTATCATCCATCGAGGGTCTTAGAGATCAGTTTGATTGGGTTGGTAGCATGATCGATAGTTCACCATGGGTAGAGCCATTCTTTGCCCAGCTTGCTCCTCTATTGGTTGTCGGAGCGAAGGAACTCCTCAAGGTCATTTTGGAAATATTTTCCAAGCAAGAAGGGCCCATCTCGGGAGCTGTCGTCGAAGCATCGCTATTCTCCAAGTTGGCCTATTTTTTGATTATTCAAACCTTCTTTGTCCAAGCAATCTCTGGTAGTATTGTCTCCCAGGTATCGAACATGGTACGCCGACCAGAACTTATCATTGATCTTTTGGCAGGATCCTTGCCCCGCAGAGGTATCTACTTCATTCAGGTCCTATTGGTCGATACTGCTGTCTCGTTGGCCACGGAGCTTCTTCGAGTTTCGGCTGTCGCACAAGCCACTATCCGCAGCAGGGTTGGACCAAAGCTTACCGAGAAGGAAAGAAATACGCCGTTTTTGGGAATCCGTCCCTTTGCAACTCCACAGAAATTCTACCACGCTCAAAATCTGTCCAATTGCGTCTTGGATTTTGTGGTGTTCTTTGTCTATGCTACGATTGCCCCGATTACGTCTTTTTTTGTCGGGATTTGCTTCTTTTTCAAGGCCGCCGCATACCGACACCAATTTGTCTACATTTACCCAACATTTCCTGATTCGGGAGGTCATTTGTGGGCGAATTTCTTCAAGCTTCTGCCGGTAAGTTCGATTGTCTGTTCGTGCTATTGATCCTCTAGTATTCTTCAATGGCTCACCAAAATGCACATGCTTGCTTGCACGCAATTCGTAGAACTTGATGACCATTGGTCAAATCGTTCTTCAAGGAATGCTGGGTCTAAAGAAGCAACCAATTGCCAACGCGTTGATGCTTCCCCTTACCATTGCGACGATTCTATTCCAAATCTATGTCAAGCAACAGCACTTCCTCATGACTCAATATCTACCAACCCGGCAGGCCATTAGGGCGGATGAACGAAACTCCGGGAGTGAAGACTATTCGTTTGTTCAGGGCAAGTTTGTGCAACCAGAACTTCGGGTACGGGAAAAGTACCCAGAGAATGGAAACGAAGAAGACTACCGAAACCTCACAGGGAAGGATGAGGAGAATATGGATTTGGACGACACCGTCAAGAAAGGCAACTAGTGGTCATAGATTTTGTGCTAGCAATATCTTGATATTGAGATTTTCACTGACTATACAAGGATTAAGGCGGAGTCTACATGTCATATTTGCAGTAAAATGTTTAACAATGTCATCAAAAGCCATAGGCCATAGAAGTTCCAAACGAAAGCGAGGATGGATACGACGCCGTTGGCATCATTTGCAGGCCAAAACTTGTCTGGGCTTTCAAAATAATGTCTTGCCGAAAAGCCAAGGACTTTTCCTTGATGGCCCTCGCTATCTCTCTGATATTGGGAACAATTAGCACAGCATCGTTGGGTAAAATGTGTATTCCCACCAGAGTATGATAGGTCGTGTCAATCTTCCCAATCATGTCGCCTAGATTGATCACAATTTCGTCGGCAATCAGTTTGGCCTTGGCCGCTGGGAACCCGATACCACCAAGTACCACGGGCTTAGAAAAACTGCGTGTCAGTAGTTTCGAAAGCCACACCATGCCGCGGCCTTCGGCTTCTTCTAATACGACTCTGGTTGCCGAATCCATATGGACACCCTGGTAAAATTCTCGCACCAGTCGTGCGGAGGCAATCACGGAAGGAACATCCACAGCTCGTTGCATTAGCTGGATTGCTCGTTCCCGTTTCTGTAACATTTTCAAGGTCTGCGTATCTTCCAGTATTTGACGATGATTCCAAGCCATGAAACTCTGAATTTCGCTGTCGCAGGTTGAAAGTCCGACGGGTGGTGATGCAATGTATGCAGCTTGGTTGCGTATTGGTATGGTGTTTGGTGCTACACCACGACCATCAGTATGTTGATTTTTTGGTATGGTGGTTGGCTGTTCGACGGGCGAGGCAATGGCTGCAGCAGTTGGATTTTGTATTGGTTCCTTTGGTGCAGCAGTGCAATGGTGAGGTGCTGTGCTAGCAGGATTGCTGGTTCTTGCTGCAGCTGGACTTTGTATTGTTGGCACCTTTGGTGTAGCAGTTCTCTTGGGAGGCGATTTTCTAGGTTTGGTTCTTGTAGCCACGGTTACAGAAGGTGGAGGCGGGGGAGGAGGCGGGGGAAGAGGTGGAGTAGGTGCCCGATGATACTTTGGAGGACCCTCAACTGGATGTGATACTGTTGTCTTTGCGGAACGATTACGCGAATGACTATTGGTTTTGAAGGTTGTTGCAGAATGATTGGAAGGCGCAGGTTGTTGACTGAGAATATTGTCTGGTGTAGCAGCGATTTTCGATTCACTTGCTACTGAAACGCTCTCGCTGTTGCCGAGACCATGAGGCCCAAGCTTCCGTCTGAGCTCATCTTTCCGAGTCATACGTTCGGTCCTCTTGTCCAGCGTTGACTTCCCATCAGAACTATCATGATCATGATCATTATCTTGCTCTCTACGTCGTTTCCTTGCTTTTCTTCGCGCTAGCGTTGGTTCCAAGAGCAATCGGTGCCGAATCACATCTGGTGCTTTGAAGACTGGCACCCTTTTCCTTTGTGACCGCCTAGAGCCTTCCCTTGGCTCATTTGGGTTCTTCCAAGTTTTCTTTAGCACAGTTCTCCTAGATGTCCTAGTCCTAGCCATAGTGGTAGATAGATTGGTTGCTGCTCTTATTGCGATGGTTGTTGGTTGCTTCTTCCGCTTGTAGATGGAAGCAAGCTTTGGTGGAAGAGTTTCAAAAGCGAAATGAACACACTTTACCGCAAGGTGATCAATGAAAAGAGGACAGCTGTCGTGCGTGGCGGTATAATTTTTATTTATCCCAAAAGCCTTTCTCGGTGTCATCTACGATCTTCCTTATGTGAGGGGTACCATTTGGTCATTAATTAATCTCACTCACGAATCCGAACCCAGTCCAAATCTAGATTTTAAAACGACTGCCTACCACGTGGCCCTATATGCTGGCGGGACCTACAATCTAGTAGGATACTCGTAGTGTACCGGTATGTACCGTGCTCCCTGGTACTTTTGAGACAAGCACTTTTCGCCGAGGTCATAGGTCTTAAAAAATACCAGTAACAAGATACCATCAATCATATATTACACTATCTTGTTATTATGCCATATACCAATGACCCTTTTCGTGTTTGGCATACCGTATGTATCCTTCTCCACTCATCATTTCCCCAAATCCACCAGTGCAGAAGAACCCTCTCATTGTCGTCAGCCACGAAGAGACGGTGCATGGGCCACGAGCCGATGCAGTAACAAGGTACCATCAATCATGTAGGTCCTATATATTGCACTCTCTTGTTATTGTTAATATGCGTTGGCTACACCAATGACCCTTTTAGAATCTTCCCACCATGTTTGGCATACCATATCCATCTCCACTCATCATATCTCCAAGTCCACCAGTCAGTGCGGAACCCTCTCCTTGTCGTTTGCCACCAAGAGATGGTGCATGAGCCACAATGCGGTCCGCCATTCTCGAAAAAGGAAGAGACTGCAACCAAACCGTTCCAGTCCCCTGTAATGTCGCCAAGAATAGACCTTCTCCTCCAAAGAACATGGTCTTGAGTCCGGGAGCCATTTCCACACTAAAATTGATCCCTTCCGTAAACGCCACCAAGCAACCAGTATCCAATCGAATCTTTTCTCCTCGAAGTTCCCTCTTGATAATGGTTCCTCCTGCATGAATAAATGCCATGCCATCTCCTTTGAGCTTTTGCAGAATAAATCCTTCTCCTCCCACAAATCCACTTCCCAGTTTCTTGTTGAAATGAAGTTTGAGAGAAGTACCATGGGCAGCGCATAGAAAGGCATCCTTTTGGCAAATGATTGAGTTGCCAGTGGTTGCCAAGTTGATCGGTACGATGCATCCCGGATAGGGCGCCGCAAAGGCCACTCTAGACTTTCTTTGTCCAATGTTAGTAAAATGCGTAATGAACAAGGACTCTCCCGTCAGTAGTCGTCCACCCGCGGACATGATCTTTTTCCAAAAGGTCTGTTTGGGTTCACTTCCATCTCCAAACTTGGTCTTGAATTCAATTCCTTCGTCCAAAAACATCATGGCGCCCGCTTCGGCGATGACAGTCTCCTGAGGATCCAATTCAATTTCGACCAATTGCATTTCATGGCCCTTGATTTCATAATCCACCTTGTGACATTGTGTGGGATTGCCCTGATGAAATAATATTATTGTTTGTGGTAGAGATATCATAATAATAATAATAATAATAATAATAAATAGGTTAGATATTTTGAATCATCACTTGTACTGGAACAACAAACACAACAACAAATTTTAAAAAAAGAAAGAATGCTTACCTCACTGACGAGACCGTTGGTGGGACCTGGTGAAAAGACGGAACTGTTACCAGCATGTGCATAATCATTGGGAGCCCGAGAGGTTGGCTGACTTCCGAATGACGACGCTGCCACTGGTTGTCCACCACCATACGAAGTTGTATTGGATTGACCATACGATAGAGTGCTCGCACCATACGCAGCAGGAGGTGCAGAAGGAGTCGTCGCGGCATAACCACCGCCACCGCCATAGGATGGTTGCGACTGTCCATAGGCTGGTGTTGTTTGTGCTGGGGGAGGAGCACTTAGGGCTTGTGAAAAGTCTGGCTTTCGATCGTAGGAAGTGGCAGGAGGTGGGTTGGTCGAGTATCCACCACCACCACCACCACCAGAAGCCCCATAGCCACCCCCACTGGATTGACCATAGGCAGCAGGAGCCGGAGCATTAGAGTAACCAGGAGTTGCGTATCCACCACCACCACCACTTCCTGATGGATTGGAGGAGTACGCGCTGACGACGGGAGCTGGAGCCGGAGACGACCCGTATCCATACGCAGGAGCAGGGGTCGCACTATAAGAGGAAGTATTGTTGTTGTTGCTGCCACCGTAGGGGGCTGGTGCCGGAGCAGCGGATCCTGGTGGGTTGTAAGGCATGTTTGGATTTGTTGTTTGTTAAGTTCGTTGAGTGTGTGCTGTTGTCTGTACTTGTAGTATGAAAAGACTGAGCGATGATGATTCAATCCGCGACAATGTTGGGTCTGTTGTTGATCACTTGTACAACGCTGAGGATCTTCGCTTCACATATTGATGGGATTCAATTTGAATCTTGCAACGGTTGAGACTAAATCAGTACAGTAAATCTCTGCATTATGATCGTTATGTGACACGAACGATGACAACATCATCGCCAGCCGGTTTGCTTTCGAAAATGACGAAATGAAAAAAAAGCAATCTCTGAACCAAGCACGACAGATCCAAACAAAAGTTGTTGAACCCGTTTGTCACCCAAAAGAAGACAACCGTCACGGGTTGAAGCAACACCCACCTAGTCTTTATATTTCCGTCATGTTCTCATTGGGAAGAAGACGAGACGAACAGGCGCTCATGCCCTCATCCAGTGGGAGTTCCCAGAAACAAAAGAAACCCACCATGAGAGAACGATTGAGTAATTTCAAAGACGGCTCGTCTGGCAAGAAGTTACTTCCGTCGTCTTCTTCTTCTTCTATTACTTCAGTCTCGTCTCAAAAACAGCAAGTTGCTTTTTCAGGAGACGACGGCATTGAAGTCTCCTTGGAAGGACCAGGAGGAGAATCGCGTGATCCACAAGCCTTGGAGCGTAGTAGTCGAGAACCAGTGATTGACATTCCCGAACTGATTCGACTGCGACGCAAACTCTACCAAAAACAATTCTCTATTCAAGTTCCAGCCTTGAAACAACCAAATGCTATTATTGCTGCTACCAATGCTACTTCAGAGCTGCGGCAACATCGAATTCCATTGTCAGGAACCAAGGAAACGAAAACTTCCTTTTTGGATGCCCTTCACTTATTGCAAATATCAGGTCCCAAGGATGAACAGGCGGCGGTATCCCAAGAACTCAGACACTTGTCCATGGAACTAAATGCATTGGAAGCGGACAAGATAGCCTTGGAACAAAAACAACACTCCGCTAGCAGCACGACTCGTCAAACATCTTCCTCGTCTGCGGATTGGGACATTAATCGCATGCTGACCCAAACCAACACCAAAACAAAAACACCATCAAAGAAGGATGGTAGTAGTACTACTAGTATATCTGCTCAAGAGCGACAAGAACTCCAAACGAAACGGGGCACCAATCTTACCTTTCACTTGTCCAGCAACAAGGCCAAGCAAGTATTTTTGTCGAAATGTGGAGCCAAATTTGTTCCCGGCCAAGTGGTGACCATTGGACCCCACAATTGCAAGACGTCCATGATTAGTCAGTTACAATATTTGGCGTTACTCAGTGCTCCTCCGCAAACTCATAATTCCAAACCAGGAGTCGTTCATACCAGCCTATTCCTGTCCAGCGACAATACCATTACCCAAACATGGGGACAGCTTCCACACAATCTGTTGCCACGCATCAAGGATCATGACAAATTCAAGACGAAGGACATCACCTATTTGAGTTCCGGACCAATGGGGTCGTATTATGCCGAATTTGCATCGGGTGAATCTTGGTGGGGAAGTCCTATTGACGATGATGACCTCTTTCAGCTATTGCAAGAATGGGCCGTCCATCGAGTAGTTTTTGGACATGCAGAAACACTGGAGGATTCGAGAGGAGGTGGTGTGACGTTGACTCATTCGTGGATCATCATTGCCAAGGATGGAAAACTGGCGTGGAAGAATTTGCCATCCAAACTGCATAGTTTACTAAAGAAACGACCAAAAGGAATGGCTGGATTGGCGGAAGCGTCATTAGGACCTGGGAACTCGTACTTTTGCAAGTTCTTGGATGATACGGTGGAGTACTGTTTACCAGCACATATTGCATCGGCTTGCGAAAAGATTCAACAGCAAGGTGGAAGAATCACCAATGTGTTTTTGCATCCTGAAATATCCAAGGATTTTGTCATTCGACACACGGAACTCAATGGTGGAAAATTATGATAGGTGTGAAGAACAGAACGAATGCATTCACTGCACTGTACAGTATTAGGTACGACAGTAGTAGTGCCTCGACTTGGTGTTGTTGATTGAAAAACACACAAACGCACACACACACACAAATGCACTGGCTAGAATAGAATTGAATTTTAAAGTTATTCGTTATTATTCATATTATGTTTTTAGGATTGATTCTTGCTGTGCGGAGGATGCGGCGGCAGCACCCCTTGTGACGTTACCCTTTTGAATGGCCACGCTGGAATGCAAAAACTGGGCCGCCTCTGCGGATGCCTGGACCTTGACGGCAGTTCGCTCGACCATTTCGGCATGATATTCGTCCAGAGCCATTGGAATGTCCGTCTTGGCGTCTCCTCTCTTGTGCGTGGCCCGAACAATGGACCGCGCCAAGGAAATAGCATCCAACAGTGCTTGGTTGGCACCTTGTCCCTTGAAGGGTGACATGGGATGGGCAGCATCTCCAATCAATGTCATGGCAGATTTTTTCTTGGAATCATTGTTACCATTATGACGGAGCAGGTCCAAGGTAATCAAGTCTCGGTCGTAGACGGGGTAACCGGAAACGAGATCGACCGGTGTCTTTTCCAAAATTTCAGGAATTGGAGAATGCCATTTCCTACATCTCTCCAATGCTTCTTGTTTCAAAGCGGTAGGTCCATTATTTGATATTTCCTTGGCCAGTGCTTCATCCTTCATGGGGAAACTCAATTGCCACATGTACGCAGTGGAAGAATATGGCATTAAGTATATTCGTGTACTTCCATCAGCCGTTTGAAAGACAGTTTGGCCATCCAAGAGTTCCGATTCCGTAGTCGTCTTCTTATCCAACAAGTTCAGCGAACAAATCCCCAGTACGACCAAACAATCGAGATAGCGCAGTGGTGTAGCTGTAGTTTCAGTTTCAGTAGTAGTGACAATGTCTCCTTCTTCTTCTGTTGTTGATGTTGTTGTTGATTCAAGCAAATGCTTTCGAACCGTACTTCGAATACCATCGGCTCCCACCACCATGTCAGCCTCATGTTGAACAATGGATCCATCATTTTTCTGAAAGGACAGTGTGTATTTTTCATCTTCTTTTACCACCATGTCCATTAGCTTGTGACCCCAGGATACCCTTTCCTCGCCGCCCAATGCATCCAACAACTCTCTCCGTAACTGTTTGGTTGTTGTGATCAGGATCATATGTATAGATGGTGGTATATGACATCGTCAAAGGCAACGTGAGCATCCTATCATGTCATTGTTTTTCCAAATATCCACATGTGCAATAGGTACTACTACCAAGGATGATACTGCTACCGGCTGGTGTTTTTTTAACATAAAAAATACGTACCGCTTGTCGCGCAATGTGGACATTTTGCCGTTTGGGTGGCTTTTTGTCTTGATCCCGACCCCATTTGCGCAATCCCCATTCCCCAATGGGAGTCCCATCCGTCGTGTGGACGATGTGTTTGGTCGAGGTGAGTCCATCTTGGAGGGATTCAATTCCAAAGGCCGCCAAGGCACGACTCGCCTGTTGCAAGGTCAAACCATATCCTTGTTTTCTGTAATATTGTGTGATAGGATGTATATAATGAGATGAGATAGAAATGGAACATACCGGTACTGCAACATGCAAGAGCATGACAACAGCCCCATACAATCGAGACACACATGAGCTATCATGTTGTAAACGTACCGCATCAAAAAGGAGGTATCCCGTTCAAAGACTTGAAAGGGAATCCCTCGATGAGAACAGGCAATCCCCAACGCCAATCCACCCAATCCACCACCCACAATTGCAATCGAAGGATAGCAATCATTCCTAACATTAGGAAGCTCTAGGGAGTCAATGATTCCAGTTTGGTTGCAAGTTTTGCATGGTTCCAAGCGAGGTGGAAGAGGAGGAGTCGTCAGCTTGACTCGTTTGCTGTCGTTTGGTGTATCGTCATTATCGTCTCCTCCTTTATTCTTTTGTTCCTGTTCCTGTTGCATTTGACGTTGATGCTTTAGCCTTGCCTTTTTGGACGGTGGTCGACGGATTTTTCCTTCGCCTCGACACTTGGGGCAGGTTGTTTTTGTCATTTCGCTGTTTCTCGTATTCGTTTGGTAATCTTCGTCACTCCAGCAACTGGAGAACAATCTTCTCTGTATTGTGTGCAATGGTTTGGATCCTCTTCCTCTAAGTATATCTGATTGCTTTCTCTCACTGTAATAGTTTATTGAATGATGTGCTGATTGTAACTGCTGATGGAAAGAAGAAGAAGACGACGAAGAAAAGCCAATATGTGGTGGAAGAATCAATCGTCGTGATGTACTGAAGCTGGAGATGGATGACCAAGAATGAGCTGTTTGTAGCACTGTCGTCGTCGTTGCAAGAACGAGAGGAAACCGTGTTGTTTTCATTCAACAGTTCATGGAACGTGGAATATTATGGCAATGATAGATCTGTCTGGCCACACAATCTCTTTCAATAATACAACATACAATGGTCTGTTGATGTGATGTGTCTTCAAAACGGCCGAAGGTCAGGTGTTCGCTCAAGAAACGTATCAATTCCTTTGAACTATAGAAAAGGCTTACATTTTTATAATCCAAAATTTTTCTATTTAGAGCGTTTTTTCTGGAATTTGGCTCATTTTTGTCCTGGATGCACACGTGGTTTGTTCGATGACGTATTTAGTGGGAAGTGCCTCCATCATCATCCTCCCTTGATTCTTTCTCTGTTCATCTACCGGTATATAAACACTGAATGCTTACAGTACCGTACTTGTACCTGGTAAAATCCATCAACAATGATGCCTTCTACTACCACCCGTGCCTTGCGGCAAGGTCTCGTTCGACCCTTGCCGTCGCTTTCCTCACAAGCACAAGCACATGCACCACGAAGAGCAGTTTCCTTTCGACGAAATGACGACAGCAGCAAACGATCGGTTTCCACTTTGATTGTCTTGCGACACGGCCAATCGCAGTGGAACGGACCTCAAGCTAGATTTACGGGATGGTGTGATATTCCTCTTACGGTGAGAGGACGAGTGGAAGCCGTGGCAGCCGGACAACTGATGCGGAGTCGAGGATTCGAAGCCAAGCGGGTCTGCGTCGCCTTTGCCTCGGAACTTCAACGATCCCACGAAACCTGTGAACTCGCCTTGGCGTCCATGGCCGGTCACGAACAGGAGACATGGAATCCCTATAGAATTCGAAAGGACTGGCGTCTCAACGAACGGCATTACGGTGCAGTCCAAGGATTTTACAAGAATGATCCCGATCTCAAGGAGGATTATGGCGAAGAGACCATTCGACACTGGCGTCGATCCATGCATGGCAAGCCTCCCAAGATGGGCAAAATGCACAAGCACTACATGCCTCCTCCTGCTCCTCAGACCGAAAGTCTGTACGACTGCCAAACACGCGTGGTCGAATGCTGGGAGGAACGCATCGCCCCCGCCCTCTTTGAAGAGCAAAATCTGCCGTATCCACCCGACCAACGCACGGTCTTGTTGGTGGCACATGCCAACACAATCCGCTCCCTCATGGCCTACTTTGACAATGTCCCAGAAGATCAGGTCCAGAACATGTACATTCCCAACTCGGTTCCCATCTTGTACCGATTCAATACCGAGACTCGTCAACCCATTTCGGTCAAATTGGAATCCAACCACGGAGGCTCCCACGCCCGATGGATGCTGGGTCCCGAAAATCATTCCGCCATTCGGACGGCACTGACGCAAGGGGGGACTTTGACCAGAGCCATTTTTGATGCCCTGGGGGCCGGCCGGGATCTCACCATTACCGGCCGGGACATTGAGGTGGGCGTCCGCGAACTCATGCGGGACGACGCTCCGATGGATTGCGTCGTCATGGGAGTGGCCAAGGAAATTTGCCGCAACATCAAGCCAGACGAAAAGATTCATTATTCGGAATTTGAACGTTTGACTCAAGAGACCTTGCAAAAATTGACCCTCAAGAATCTAGGCCCATCTGATATTGTCGCCAAGGATTCTGCATCTCATGGTAGCTATTAACCAAAAAAAAAGAGAAAGCAAAATCAATAACCATTCACCATCAATGGCAGTGGTAGTGGCATGAAGATTTGGTCGGGAATAGAGCCATGCTGCAAGTCACTTTTTGCGTGGTGACACCAGATGTTTCGACCAATTTTGACAACGCAACCAACACACACTGCCACATCCGAGTCAGTCGTCGTTCCATTTTGAATTGACTGGTTTTTGGCACTATTCATCATCTCGTATAACATACCACCACCCCAACTTTGATATTGATACAGCCCTTCACACCCAACAACGACGTTTGGTAGGCCTAATCTGATATGAACTGATACTTGTATAATATATTTATATATAGTCTTGCAACAAATCAATGATACAAAACAAAACAATATTCTATTTCATGACCCCATGATTGATTCCTTTTCAATTTTCAAATCAATGACACTGACCGGTGGTCGCTGGTACAATGCAAATGGATACAGGTTGGACAATAATTCGTCATCCTTGTAATCTGCGGCTACGGCTCCAGCCAGTCGTTTGGCATACCCCTGATGTACTTGGAAATTAATATACTCTATCCTTTTTGAAGAAGAAGAAGAAGAAGCAACGGCTCGCAAAAGACCTCGAAAGTGGTGGTCTAACATTATTTGTAACACATGAACGATGACTTTTTGTGAGACCTTGGGAGATGTTTCATTGCTGCAAAAAATATCATTGAACTTACATTGCCATATTCCACAACGACTCTGTTCCTCCAAGCAGAAATACATGAAATTGTTCATTGTATTCCTACAGGAAACAAATTGACCCAAGGCGCAAATCTTGCCGTCCTTATCGTAGTAGCGATCCAGATAGGCATGACTCACCAAAAACAAGACCAAGAACCGCTTGATGAATTCTTCCAAAACTGATTTGTCGGTTCCTTGGACGGCTCTTTGTTCATGAGCCCAAAGAATTGGAACATCATGCTGTAGCGACAAGAAATCGCTGTGGACTGTTCGGGTGGTAATGTCATTCTCAAAAAAGTGCTTCAACTTTTTTCTCAAATCTTTGCGACAGGATGGTTTCAGACGACTCAGGAGGACAGTGGGATCTCGAGTTTGTGGGAGATCAGAACACTTGTTGTACCAAGTGACTTCCTTTTCACGAATGCCTTCACTTTTGGATACTTCATTGACCAGTGGCATGAGAACAATCCGTATAGGATGACATACTTTTCGATGCAAATATAAGTACGGAAATGGAAGGAAGACCAATAGGAGAACGTGGATCACTTGGATACCAATTCTATAGCCAACCACTACCCAAGTATTGCCTTTTGGGGTTGGTAAGAATGATCCAAACATTAGAGGCCAAAAGAATATCAAAAGAACGACCGCCAACCCAATCAACACGAGGCCTAACATTGCTCCAACTCTCAGCAATTCTTCTTTCATCCTGCTTTTTGGCTCTTCGTCTTCACGTACAGCATCCCCGTTCTCTCTTTCAGTAGCCCCTTCTGAAGCGAGAAACGGGGTTGTGATATCACTGTCGTTGCCAATTGACACCATGACAAAGAAGCCAGAACAACAGTAATAATGACAAAGATTTCTTTATCGAAAGTTCTGAAGGAGTTGTATTTTAGGGGACAACCAAAATATGCCCTCTATTTGATAGAAAAATACGTAGTGTACGTACGACTGGTTCAAAACTCTTGACACCAGCTTTCACCTCAACCATCCTTCATCTTTCAATGAAAACCATTCAATAGATATCAATGGCAAGTGAAATAACTTGCAAGCAAACAACAACTTGCATACAAAATCGTAGAACAAGATGAGGAAGAGAGGGTTGTTCCGTCATGTTCTATGAAGGTTCGCGTTGACACCTTTTTTCTGCACGTTCTATCGTGGAAAATGATTTCTTTCTGGGCGTAATTTGCAGGGTTTTTATCCGGGAAACTGAATCTTCTTCTATTTCACACGAAGAATGTCAAAAATGCGAGCTGCAAAAACGTCATACGCACACTTGTACCACCACTACGGTCCAACCGTTGTGGAATTCATTCTCTCAGTTCAACGCGAACCGTATTCTATGACTAGAAACCCCACCATACTGTAGTCTACCTTGAATTCTACGCAATATGTCGGAGAGGTCCCTCGACCACGGATCCAAAATCCTGGGTTCGCATTAGATCCTACTTTTGTCACCAACCCATCATCCATCGGCATTGTGCATAAAATCTGAATCCCAACACCTAAACGAGAAATAGAAAAACAACAACAAAACCGAATCAGCACTTACCATGTTCCGTCCAACATCTGTCGCCACACACAAGATGAGACTCTCTTACTCCGAAGAGAGCCGCAACCTTAAGCCCACACCACGAAACAATCACGGGTCTCTCCCATCCTTCAAACATTCCTTTGATGATTTGGCAGCCGCCATGGTTGGAGACGCTGCTGCAAGCAAACAAAGTATAGAAGAAAAGATCCACTCACTGCAAGATCTTCCTGTTGTTGACACACCAGCTTCGCTACCTGGAGACTGCAATGTCAAAGACTACGTCTTGGAAAATGTAACGCCATACGATGGTGATGATAGTTTCTTGGCCAAGGCCACGGAACGTACCTTGAAGAGCTGGGCACGTTGTGAAGAATTGATGGAACTGGAACGCCAAAAGGGAATCCTTGATGTTGATACCAAGACTGTATCTACCATTGTCAGTCATGGTCCAGGTTATGTTCTTTCCAAGGAAGAGGATGTAATTGCTGGACTACAAACCGATGCTCCATTGAAGCGGTCTTGCAAACCCAAGGGTGGTTTCAGTGTTGTGAAAAAGGCATTGGAGAGCTATGGATACAAGGCCGACCCTGCGATGGCCAAGACATACACACAGGTAAGCAATTGTGAAATCGAATGAACATTGTGATTTGGTTCAACTTGCTGAATATTCTCATTTCATTATTTTCTATTTCCATCAGGACGTACAAACCCACAACGACATGGTCTTTAGCATGTACACAAAGGAAATGAGAGCTGCAAGACACACGCACTTGTTGACTGGACTTCCCGATGCTTATGGAAGAGGTCGTATCATTGGTGACTATCGCCGCCTCGCTCTGTATGGTGTGGATGAATTGATTCGCCGCAAAAAGTTGGACTACGATGCAATCAAGGGATCTTCTGCTGACAATCTGTTACTGCGATCCGAGATCTCGAAGCAAGTCAAGGGGCTCAAAGAGCTGGTTACAATGTGCGACTCCTATGGAGTCGACGTTCGTCAACCTGCCAAAACCTTTCGTGAGGCAGCTCAATTTATGTGGCTTGGACACAATGCTGCTCTCAAGGAACAAGATGGAGCTGCCATGTCCGTCGGTAGATGGGATGCCTTCTTGGATATCTTTGCTGAGCGCGACTTGGCTGATGGAACTGCGACTGAGGACGATTTGCAAGAAGTCATTGACGATTTGGTGATCAAGATGAGACTGGTTCGACACTTGCGTCCTCCAGCCTACAATGCTCTCTTTTCGGGAGACCCAACTTGGTTGACTTTGGCTCTTGGTGGCTGCAACGAACAAGGGAACAGTATTGTTACCAAGACCACCTTCCGTTTCCTACACACCTTGACCAATCTTGGAGCTTCACCAGAACCAAATATCACCGTTCTCTGGTCTTTGAATCTTCCCGATACATTCAAGGACTACTGTGCACGAATGTCCATCAATACCTCCTCGTTGCAATACGAGAACGATGATATGATGCGAGCCATCTTTGGATGCGACTATGGCATTGCTTGCTGTGTCTCTGGAATGCGTATTGGTGTTGATATGCAGTTCTTTGGAGCTCGTACCAACATGGTCAAGCTTCTATTGATGTGCTTGAATGGTGGAAGAGATGAACTTCATGGTGACAAGATGTGTCCTGCTCTAGAAGAAGAGTGCAAGAAGCTTGGAATCGGAGCTGGTGATGAGGATCGCCCAATCAACTTCGAAGATATTGAGCGACTCTACTTTGAGATTGCTATTCCATGGATGGCCGAGTTGTATGCTGAGACCATGAACTGCATTCACTACTCTCATGACCGCACCTGTTACGAAAACGTTCAGATGGCGCTTCACAACTCGAATGTCAACCGTCTGATGGCATTCGGATGTGCTGGTCTCAGTGTTGTCGCTGATTCATTGGCCGCAATGAAGTATGATGAAATCTACCCAATTCGAGATGAAGATGGTCTGACTATTGGGTTCCGTCGCGGGCACCCAAATAGAGAGATTCCTCAGTTTGGAAATGATGATGATCGCGTCGACTCCCTTGCTGTCAAGGTTTGCTCAAGACTACATGAAGAACTTGACAAGCAGCCCCTCTACCGAGATGCCAAGGCTACTTTGTCCATCTTGACCATCACTTCCAACCTTGTCTACGGAAAGGCAACTGGAGCTACTCCCGATGGTCGTGTCCAGGGTGAAGCATTTGCACCTGGTGGCAACCCAATGCATGGAAGAGACAAGAACGGAGCTCTCGCATCTCTTGCTTCTGTTGCCAAGATCCCATACTCCAAGTGCATGGACGGTATCTCGAACACTTTCTGTCTCCTTCCGAATGCTCTTGGCCGACGTGAGGCAACTCGCTCTGCCAACTTGGCAACATTGATGGATGGATACTTCGCCCACCGTGGCCATCACATCAACATCAATGTCTTGCGCCGAGAAGTCCTTCAAGACGCCCACTTGCATCCAGAAAAGTATCCCAACTTGACCATTCGAGTCAGTGGATATGCAGTTCGCTTCAATCGTCTCACACCCGAGCAACGTGAAGAAGTCATGGCCCGAACCATGCACTCTGCCACAACGGTGACAATGGCCAAGAAGGAGGACGATCACGATCGTTATGCCGCCGGTGAAGATGAGGAAGTCAAGTTGGATGAACTTGAAGGAATTGAAGAAGGTGACGCCCAACTTGGAAGTGTCTACTCATTGGAGACATTCTCTACTACTGATGGGCCCGGAATCCGAACCAACATCTTCTTGCAAGGTTGCCCGAAGAAGTGCCTGTTCTGCTGCAACCCTGAGACTCAAGCCCTGGCCAACCCCAAGAAGCATCCCGAGTTTGCAATGTCATCTGCTGAGATTGGATCTCTTCTTGAAAAATACCAAGAGTGGCTCAAGCCTCGTGGAGGTGGTGTCACAATGAGTGGTGGAGAGGCCATGCTGCAGCCCATGTTTGTGGCTGATGTCTTCCAAAGAGCCAGGAACCTTGGTATCTCCACGTGCTTGGATACCGCTTGCTATGGAAACAAGCGTCGATGGAACCAGATCCTTCCAGTGACCGACAATGTTCTTCTCTGTATGAAGGGAATGGACAACGAAATCGCCGCCAAGGTTGCTCAAGCTCCAGCACATGAGATGGCCAAGAGCAAGGAATTTGCAAGGTATATCCATTCGGACTATCCAAACATCAAGATCACACTTCGCTGGGTCATTTTGAAGGGAATGACAGACTCCGAATCAGAGCTAAAGCTGCTTTCTGAATTTGCCTTGGAACTCGGGGATTCTCTGCATGCCATTGAACTCATTCCTTACCACGAACTTGGAAAGGACAAGTATGCATCTCTCGACATGGCTTATCCCTTGGAAGATATGCCTGCCTACAAACATGAAGATGCCGTTGCTGTCCAGCAAACATTGGAAGACGCTGGAGTCAGAGTCATTCTCAGTTCCGTCTAATTCTTCAATGAATTCTTCTTGTATACCAACCATCATCGCACCCACGCACAAATTGCACACTCTCACAAACACTCACACACTCAATAGAAAAACCGTATCATCACCTATAAAAGATAAAACCATTTGCGTATCTTATCATCTGCTATTGCTTCGTTTCGCATCATCAATATTTTGGAAGTGGATGTGTTGCTTCATCATTGGTTGGTTTTGGATGACGATTATGATTTCTGTTGTCTTCATTCGTCCGATCGGAAAACGGTGACGCGCTTTTTGCGATCATGTGACATAGAATACATAATGACCATGACGTCATCCGAACAATTGGACTACGAAGGGAACTTGGAATCTGCGTTAGTGTTTTCACTCCCACAGCCAACCAACCAATCTAATCAGATCAGAAAAATTTCTGTTTTGATGAAGGTGCATTTTCTTTTACAGAAACAAGCCATCATTTACCTGTCTTTGCTGAAGTGACTGCTCAATCCAAACACTTTTGACAGCAACTGTTATCTTCAGCATAAAGATAATACGTCTAAACCCGTTTCAGATTGTTCTTTGGATGGGTCAATTCTACAACACACTGATAAGACGAAAACAAAAAGAGTCCTGATTGCTGGAGGCACGTGTGGAAACATCTCAGCTCTAGAGGATCCTTCTTGCCGTCAAACAAACAATTTCCCATACCCAATGGCATCAAAAGTAACTGCTGTCAACGCTAAAATGCCCCCGAGAAGACGGAGAGAATCCTCCGATGATTTTTGTAATGGATCGCTTGGAAGCATTGCTGGAAGTGCCGTGGAAAGCTCCAATGTCGAAAAGGCGTTAGCAGCTCCAGCTGCAGTCCCAGCAGCTCCAGCTGCCAGCAAGAAACCAATAGAAACCTTTGAGATTGCGTCAGCGGCTTCTACAAAGGGATCTGGGAGTGCTGTATCGCCATCAGGACGGCGGCCTTTTCGAAAACGGGCGGGGACCTTTGACTTTTTGGTGAACTTTGATGATGAAATGACGCTGAACCTGAGCAACACCGATGACAATTCCAAGGCGATGCCGCCAATAGATACATTACAATCGATTATACCACCTCTGCCGACGGGGATATTGAATTTGAGTGCAACAGGAGACAAAGGGAGGGACCGAAGTAATACATTGGATCATTTAGACGCACTTGGGGCCGAAGCCGGGGAAGCTGCGGCCAAGATAAAAGAAGATCGAAAGCCTCGATCTGAGAGCATATCAGCGCGAAGTAGGGACTCTGATAATAGTAGTCATGGAACGATGACGTCACAAAGTCAACGTTTTCTTTTGGAAGCCTTTATGGGTGATGCTGAGGAAAGCCTGATGCAAGGGCGGGGTAGACTTGGGAGTTTTGATGCTCGAGACCGAATAGAAAGCTTTGATGTGAAGGCATTAGGGATCCTTGAATCGAGAGAGAGATTAGAAAGCTTTGATGTGAAGGCGTTAGGGAGCCTTGAATCGAAAGAGAGATTAGAAAGCTTTGAGGCGAGGGACCGACTGATGAGCTTGGGATCAAAGGATAAGGGAGATAGTACGAAGGGTCTGCCGGAGCCGGAAGATAGGGAAAGGTCGGGGAGTCTAAATTTCCGAAGAGAACGACTCGAGTCTTGGGGTGGAATGTCCGAACTTTCCGTCCCGCATCATGCAGACAGTGCAACTGATGGTGGGTCAACAAGTGCTGCCGCATTGGCAGCCAAGCTGTATACTTCGATAGCCAATGATGTCTTTGCCGCTGCCAATCTAGACGGTAATGAATCTGTTTCCTCTTTTTTGGTCAATGACGCTGTCATTCCAACCAGAATAACAGTTGGCAATCGAAGTCGGCTGAATTCTGTTGCCTCAGAATCGTCTGCCCTCGACGTTCCGATGCCGGTCGAAGCTGACATTGGTGTTGATCTGCAAAAATACGTTTCGGCAGCCATGGCATCGGTTGGGGATCAGCTTGCGGCTGTTACTGCTGTAGACAAATTGCCAAATGACCAAGATAGCGTCGCCAGCAGCACATTGTCGCCCATGATTGGTGCTGCTACCGACTCCAAAGCCTCGTCCGTATGCGGTGGAAGATCTCGATCCAATTCGTTATCGTCGAATTTGAACTTTTCGGTGGACTATGATGCGGTGCAAGCAGCAGTGGATGCAGCGCAAACTGCAGCAGCGGCGGTAGATCTAGCAAATATTGCAAATGGAACCAAGGCTGCATCATCAGCGAATAAGAAGCGAAAGGCCCCAAAGCTGCCTTGTCGATCACAGCAGACTCCTGATGTCCAGTCCTCCTCGCAGCCAAAGTCAAAGCCTGAGCCGCCTTTGCAGATGACCTTACCTCCCATCCCGCAATCCAAAATGGATGACAAGGACATGGAAATACTTCGAGAACGAGCACGAGCTGCGGCAGGATATGTGCCTCCTCCCACGTCTGGCACTCCATTGCCATCAAAGAAGAAAATGAAGCTAGACCCAGCTTTGGACACACCGAGCTTTAAGACAACCCCCAATTACCAAACTCCGCGAACATCCAACTCATCTTACAGAAATATGACACCCGGGACACCGTATACTCCTGCCACGATGAGTACGCCTGGATCAGCCAAATCCACAGCTTCCAAGGGACAAGCAAGTCAAAAATGGGATAGTATGTTTGACTATCTGGTTTTATTCATAAAAGAACGGCGAGTGCTAGAAACAAAAGACATGTCCGAAGAGGACGCAAAAGAATGGGTATGGGATGGCAATGTGCCGACCACATACAAGACCAAGGATGGCAAGGCCCTTGGCCGTTGGGTGAATAATCAGCGTTCAGCAAAGAGTAAGGGAAACCTGAAGGACGATCGAGAGAAGCGTCTCGTGGATGCAGGATTGAAATGGAGTGTTTTAGCATCCAATTCTTGGAATGAAATGCTGGAAGAACTTCGCATGTATGTTTCGGACCAGGTAAGTGAATTGCACAATTTATCATTCCGTGTCGAATGTGAGCATCCATCTGAACTTGAACTGGCGATCTTGAATGACAGACCAAAGCTGGTAGGAAATGGGATGGAAATGTACCGACAAATTATCGAATAAAGACCAAGGGTCCAGCTGGTGGAAAGGAAGATGAGGACAAAAATCTAGGTCGGTGGGTAAACAGGCAGAGAAGCTTGTACCAAGCTGGGAAGTTGCGGAAAGATCGACAACAGGCCTTGGAAAAGGTAGGACTCAAGTGGTCCATGTTGGCCACTACATCCTGGGACTCCATGTTTGAGACATTATGTGAATACGTCCGATCGAAGACCAAGGATGGTAGCGAATGGGATGGCAATGTACCTGCCAACTACCGAACTGAAGATTCACCACCTCGTGCACTGGGGCGATGGATCAATCGTCAGCGTTCGGCGTATGGTAAGGATAAGCTGAAGCCGGAATACATTGAGAAGCTCAATTCGGTCGGATTGAAATGGTCCGTTCATGAACGACGCCCGATTACTCCCGACTCGGCTAGAAGCGCCGCAGTCATCAGAGCACCGGTACCAGAACCGCCTGCTGCCCCCAGTGCAGCTGTGAAACCAGCAACTGCAACGAGCGCGGTGGTTCAACCTCCAGTCGCAAATGGGCGGCCTCCGCTCGTCCCAGTCAAGCCTGCTGTGGCTACAACGGATGTCAAGAAGGCTCCTGGTCCAACGCCAGAAAGGGTTGGATCAGCTAATGTAGCCACCACTCCGGCGGCGCCAGCTTCGACAACCGCTGTAGCAAAACCACCCGCGCCTGCAGCTCAAGCTCCGGTCCCTGTAGCAGCTCCAACAACTCCAGCTCCAGCAACAACTCCAGCAACTACTCCAGCAACTACTGCTACTACTACGACAACCACTACCACTACCACTACTGCAAGTCCTGCTGTTACGACGACGAATACCAGTATCAACGCTGCCAAACGAGCACCAGCACCTGCCGACGAAGCTGCTCCATCAAGTGCATCCATTGCGGAGAAACCAACGTAACTCACTTTTCTTTTCCTTATGGAAATAATAATGATAATACAAATGTACTGTAAAGATTTTGTTAACTCGAGTCCTGTATCCCTGTCGACTTTTTATGCTACACTTTCAATATCTCCTATTGTTTGATCTTTTCTTATACATGTAGAATATCCTGTTAGCTCCAGTGCCGCTCTTTGTCAGTCGTTTTGGATGAATTGTTCCTTTCTATAATAGAGTTACACGTTTGCTTGTTTCTTTGTTGTCATTAGCTGTCTTCGTCTGCCTGGTGGCATTGCCAGCATGGTATTTTTACAAGTTGTTGACGGCCCAGATTCCAAAGGCAATGGTCAAAGCGACACCACCAAAGGAGAAGATAAGGATGGGAGCATCACCACCATCTAGAGTAGTTCCAACTCGGTCTCCGACCTTCTTGGCATAACGACGACGGGGTCCAGAGCACTGAGGACAACGGAAACCGGCTCCTTGTTCTTCAAAGTACATGCCAGCACATTCTTGCTGTTAATTAATTACAGGAGGGAAAAAGAGAGATGAATGGATGAGTTACTTGCATTTTGAGAGACCAAATGATTTGATAAGTCCAAATGACCAGTAGTGCATTGTCATCCAATTATCTTCAGAACCTCACTCAATATCCAAGCAATAGTATCCAGAGACTTACTTTGTTGTAAATGTAACCACAGTCCTTGCAGACCCATTCCCCTTGCCAGTACTGGGCGGCCAGAGCCTCTTCTTCCTCGATTTGTGCCTTGGTTTTTCGCTTTCCAAATACGTTCAAGCTGGTTGTAGAAGGAGCAGCTGCCGAGACAATGGGAGATGACACAACCGAAGGAGGGACCGAGAAGGCGCTGGAACTGGAGGCAAAGCAGATGATGGCCAAGATGAGAGAGATAAGGAAGGACTTCATGGTTAGGTAGGTAGTTGCTGGTGTATTTGTATTGAATAATATACTGTATATCAATGGAATGACTGCGAAGCTGTCACTGATGTTTGACGGATGATGATTCGCTTTGGGTACGTGTTACAGTATTCCAAGTTGGGTCAGATCAATGACGTCAATAATGTGGCCGGAAGCAGATTGATCCGATTCGATTCGCAGGATAGACAGACAGACACGCAAAAGGATCCAACATCAAACCCGGAAACGTTGAATCATCATAAAAGCCATCAAAAGGAAACCAACCTGACACGAATTCCAACTGACCATGGCAAAGAAAAGGAAAAAGAGCATCAGTCCTCCAAAGAAAGCTGCTGTTAGCAGCAATCCTTTGTATGAAAAACAGCAAGCTTTTCTGAATTCATTGTCTGAAAGAGAACGAAATGAGCTCTTTCATCCTGAAATTGAAGCGGACCGCCGAGCCAAGCTTTGGATGGATCAAGCCGATCTTGGGGAAGGTATGTTGACCAAATACCATACAGATGCTGATCACTTGGTTTGCGGATTGACCAATGTGTGTTTCTAATTCTGTTGTTGTCATTTGCATTTCACTTTTACGACAGCATTAGTGAATCAATACGCATGGGCCACACCTAGTCCGCATGCCTTGAAGATCCTGAAGGAATTCTCTCCCATTGTCGAAGTTGGGTGCGGTGCGAACGCCTACTGGGCTTCTTGTATGAAAGAGGGAGGCATTGATGTCATTGCTTACGACATGCAGATAGACACGGGTGGCAAAATCAAAGCCAATAAGAGTGGCAAGAATGGCAAGGACAAGAGTGGTCGTAATGCTTCCGATTCGTTGGTAAAACAAGGTGGACCTGTGTCCTTGAAGAATCACAAGAATCGAGCACTATTCTTGTGTTATCCCGACGAAGATGGAGAAGGAATGGGGGCGCAATGCTTGGAGCACTATACTGGAACCCACGTGATTCATGTTGGTGAGACCATACTGGACGCCACTCTCAGCATGGATCAGGCTCCATGGGGAAGGTCCTCTTCCTCCGAGTTTCAGGCCCGACTGGCAGGGGAATATCATTGCATCCTAAAGGTAGAACTTCCCAGTTGGTTGCATGTTCGAGACTCCATTTCGGTTTGGAAACGATCCGAGACGTCCACCATTGTCTTTGCGGCTGACAGCGAGGACGACGATGAAGAGGACGAAGAAATTGAGTACCGACACATTCCTTGTAGTGAACGGCTACCTATCAATGTCGCAGCACCATGTTGTGCCCATCTCTTGCTTCCGTCATCAACAGCGACGACTGCTGTACCCACAACTGTTGCTGCAAACGATGCACCAGCAGAGACCAAGCAACGAAATCGATCCAGTAGCTCGGATGGCACCAAAACGAAAAACGGCGAGGACCACAAGATGAAAACAGCTGAAACAGAACGTAAAGAAGCACCACCAAAAAATTCTGCTAGAGCTCGATCGGAAAGCCACGATTCCTCGAGCTCCTCCAAACAAAAGAGCAAGAAGCGATCGAGATCGGACAGTACCGACTCAAAGCGGTCTCGATCCGATAGCGTCGATTCCCAGAAGAAGCGCAAGCGATCCAATAGTTCCGACTCTACCTCCATAAAGGGACGGGAACGTTCGGACAGCACGGACTCGGCCAAGAAGCGTCGCAAGCTGGAAAAGGAACATCAAAAGAAGATTGATGATCTATTTGCTGGTGGATACGACCTGGAACCAGCAACACCTCCTAGGAAACGATCCAAGGTGGCTTACAAATCTCCGTGGTAAAGGGTATTTAGTGATGCGTTACTACTCTTCCTTGGTATGGTGTGGTCGCATTGATGTTGATATCATCGATGTGTAACGTACGATAACGTCTGCGATCTCACGTAATACCGAATTTCATGGTACTCCATTAGTGCTTCTGCGACCTTGGGCATCCATCAATGTCATAAAATCAAAATCTGTATCCAAAATATAGGCCTAGCACTTGGCACTTGTCACCATGAAATCTAGGATCGTCAAGCGCTTATTGACACAAGCTACGAGGAATTCAAACAACAGATTCTCAATATTATTTGCCAGCGCTACTTCAAGAGTATCAGGAGGATCGAACTCTTTCACACGACAGACATTGCCCATTCTATCCTCTTCTTCTGCTGGTGATATTCAATGGATCTCCTCGACTACAAACGACAATGACGACAATGATGATGATGATGATGATGATGATAATCTGCACAATGGTACCCAGTCATTAGCGGAAGAATACGAGGAGGACGATGGAGAGGGCTTTGATGAGATGTCATATTCCAACTATGATGACGATTTTGATGACGACGACAACGATGACTTTCGTCCACGCAAACATAATCGAAACCACAACTCGAAACGGGACGAACAAGAAGAAGATGAGCCCAGGAGGCTGTACTTGGATCCTAGCACCAAGTTGGAAGACCGAGTGGATATATTTCTCAATCGAAAGCTGGGGACGATGCACCCGCTGGATATTCGACTATCTTCTGTCGATCTCATTCGAGAATGTGGCAAAATGAACTCTTTTGAGGGCATGAAGTTTGCCCACGACATTTTGGATCGCATCTTGGAAGAAAAACGCTTTGTGAATCAAGATGAAGATGGAGATAACAAAGAATCCGTGATATTCATTGCCGAGCGACCCTTTCAGGTCTTAATGTACGGTTGGTCCAACCTATCCCGCAAAGTCTCGGCGGCACCTGAGCGAATGCGAGAAGTTTTGGAATTGATGATACAAGAAGCAGAATATGATGAACAGACGAGACGAGAAATAAGAGCCATCGGCAACATTGATGAAGAAGTGCTAGCAAGTTTGCCGTCGTGTCAGCCGACGGTTGACATTTACAACACTCTCCTCCAAGGTTTGGGACAAGCATCCTATCGGTCCATTGCAGCGGCTGGGGAAGCCGAAGTCGTTCTAAATGTCATGATCAAGCAGAATCAGAAGCGTGGTTGGCATACGAAACCAACCACAAAGAGTTTCACTCTTGCTATTACAGCCTTTGGCAAGACACAACACTCCACTGCTGGAAAGCGCGCGGAAGCCATTCTTCGTAAAATGATCGAGTACCACGAGGAGGAGAAGCAATCATATCTCGAGGAGACTGGCACCGCATATAATTTGCATGATCCATCTGCCAATGTACGAAATATTGTCACTCCCGATACGATTGCCTACAGTGCTGTCATTCAAGCCCATGCCAAAAGCAATGCCAAAAATTCCGCCGAGGCAGCACGGGATCTGTTGGCGGAGCTGTTGGAAAGCGACCACCCCTCCTTGGTTCCTGACGCCTACGTCTTTGCCAATACGATCAATGCATATTCAAGCCTAGCAGCTAAGAAAAAGTCGCCAAAAGCTAGATTGGAAGCTGCCGAAAATGCCGAGGAACTTGTGTGGCTGATGGTGGACCAACTCGAGCATTTCAAACCAGAAGATGGCGAGGTTAATGCGGATGAAAATCCCAACGTTACAGATCCCCCGAAACGAAAGATTGTCGCCAAGAAAAAGAAAAACCAGCGGAGTGACGGCCTATCCAGTGTCGTTCCCTTTAATGCTTGTTTGAATGCTTGGGCGGCAAGCAATGCTCCCGGATCCGCCGTTCGTGCTGAAGAATTGTTGCACAAAATGTTGGATCCCGAATTCGTGGAGACTACTGGCATTATTCCGAATACTACTTCCTTTAATACTTGCATGCAAGCTTGGGCCAAGGCGTCCTCCCGCAATGACGACTCGGCTCCTGAAAAGGCGGAAGAATTGTTGAGTCTCTTGACATCCTTGAAGGATGGTGGCATTGCTACTGCGGACATTACATCCTACAGTACCGTCATGACGGCCTATGCCAAATCCAATCGTCCCGACAAGGCTGTCCATACTCGAAGATTATTGGAAATGCTCATTTCCTCCGCGTCCGAGGTGGCGGGCAAGCTTAGTGCGGTACCTTTTACGGTAGTATTGAATGCCGTGGCACACAGTCCCAGTCCGTACGATGCTGCGGGCAGCAGCTCACCAAAGAAAGAAGAAGACGATGGTGATGCCTTTGGAATGGAGGACAGTGATGCCTTTGGAACGGATGCTGATAGCAATAATAGTAGTGGCGGTGATGCTTATTCCATTGGCCTCAAGACCTACATGGAATTGCAGCAAGACATGTACGATTTGAAGGTCTATCCCGACCATTTGGTGTATTCTACCATGTTGGATGTGATTGCCAAGCATACAGATGTTGAATCCATTGAACGCCGGCAACGAGTGGAACAAGTTATGGAAGATGCTTGCGCTGCTGGAGAAGTCAGTACGTTGGTGGTAGGGAGTCTGCAAAAGGCTTGCTCCAAAGACATGCTGCAACACTTGTTGCAAGTCCCAAATCCCACTGGCATTTCCAGTGTGAATGCCTTTCCTCGTGCTTGGACGAGAAAGGTGCAACCCCGATTCCGCAGGTTCCAAGGCAGTGGTGGTGGTGGTGGTGGCTCTAGCTCTGGCTACAACAATAAGAACAATAGCAACAAAAGGAGAAACAATCACAGCGGCAATTCAAACAGCCATAAGCGGGACAAGTACAAGGGAAAACGAAATGCTCAATGAATAGTAATATCCTAACCTTGGAACATGACTCTTTTTAATATAGTAGCACAAATCGATCCTACACAGCACCTTATAGCGCAATCATTCTTATACTTAGTCTTATAACCCTCGATGGTCTGGAATTGCTGTTGGTGGGTTTTACCGCTTGGTGGAATTCATGAGTGTCTTGACACTTCGTTGGGCCACAACATCCCACTTCATTTTGGTCTTGGTAATGGGCAAGACACGGCGAATCTTTTTGAGACTTCCCGGTGCTTCCTCATGCATGGTCGACAGACTATCCAAGACATCATGTTCCCACTTTATAATTTGATTGAGAATGCCTTGTTCCAGGCTAGTTAGAGCATCCTCGGCTTCCTCCTCTGGTAAATCCTTTGGTGCTTCCTCTGTTACTGGTGTTGGATCAAAGGTCTTGGCCATGGTCAAATGATTGTTTCCGTCTTCGTAACTACAAGTATGAATCTTGGTTTCTCCACTAAGAGCATTGTCGGAAGAAAGAATCCATGTAGCCTTCCAATAGCCAGTGTAAAAATTGGGAAGATCCAACTTTTCGGCATAGGTATGAATCTGCAAATCACTTCCGTCACTGGATTGGAGAACAAATTTGGCAGCAATCCCCTTGCTAGAAAAGGTCTTTTCTTGATATTCCTTTAGTATTTTTTCCAAACCAGCCGCCAGGGGATGACCACCGGCATTGGATTCCAAATTGGAGCAGGTCAACGCCGTTTGTTCCGCTGTAGCTTCGTCCAACCAGGGTCCTTCGGGTCGGGCCAGTTTGTGGATATGTTCCGCCACCACGTCAAATTGACCAGGGGCTGCTGACCTCAGCAACGTCTTTGCGGCTTCTGTGGACATTGTGGTTGTGAAGATTGGGATGTGGTTGTATTGGTTGTATTGGTTGTATTATACAGTATTCAAAATATTGACTGCCGTTTGAGTTCCTTTTGTTTCGATTATGATTCAAGCTTTGCGTTCATTTTCAATGGATGTTTCGCTGTATGAAAATCCGGGTATTTTCAGGTAAAAATGCGTCTGGCTGTCATCCAATCATCATCATCGGCTGTCCACAACACATGTGAAAAAGAGATATGAGAATAGGATTTTAGTATTGTTTGAATCAAGAAGTACCAGCAGAGGAAGATCCACTAGTACCTTTGTATCTACATACATGCTTTCAACTCCTAAGGTCCTTTCCTAGCCGCACTTGATACACCAAAGACGACAACACCATTACATCTATCTCTATTGACAACAAGCAGACATTCATACATCCAGTATACATTATATTATCCAGTATCAATCCACAATCTAATACGTCACATCCCACAACAACGCCAAACAAAGCAACAATATGAGATTATCCGCCGAGCTCTTGGGTTCTGCCGAGCAACGGACGAATCCATTGGGGGAACGGGAGATTGTATTGAGGGGCCTTGCGATACCAGCCATTGAACATTTGGCAGTCACCAGGGATGCCTTTGATGCCATGGATTTTACCGACAATCGACTCACGCATCTTGATAATTTCCCCAAACTGGAGCGATTGGCTTGTTTGCTGTTGTCGGGGAATGTCATTGAATCTTTGGATCCTGCCAACATGTCCAAGAACGTACCCAATATACAGTCGATCGATCTATCCAATAACCGTATATCATCACTGTATCAAGTGGGAGCTTTGGGGAAGGCTTGTCCGAAACTGCAATTTTTGAGTCTCAATGGAAACTCTGTCACAAGTACGTTGGATTTGTTGCATTATGTTTCCTGTATGTTTGGAGAGAGTTTTGAGTTGTTGTGGTTTTTGCCGCTGTTGTTATTATTATGCCATGCTATACTATTGCTACTACACAAACAACCAGCAACATTGTGAAGTAACCATGTGTTGTTGCTTTTGTGTCGCCAGTTGGATGCTGCATCATCCATATGTCTACTAATCAACCAATGGGCAACGCGCGAGAGCGTATACCAGGGAGAGAGAATCAAATCCCTTCCATTGTAACTTCTTGTTCATCCATTCATCTGTCATGTGTTGTACTAACCCATTCCATATCTCTTTTACTGGTTCGTTTCCTTGAATCCATTTGATTGCAACTTGCATCATCATCAACAACAACACTTGCAAACACGATATCATGTTTTTTCTTCTTTTGGGGATCATGATAGGACGGCAGCATTACAGGTTATATACAATAAAGCAAATACCGTCACTCAAGTTTTTGGATTACACTCGGATCACGAAAACAGAACGAGAACGGGCGGATCGACTGGCCAATAGTGCTGCTGGTGCGGCGCTCGAGAGTGACGTTCAATCTGAAGCCAAGAATGGCGTCAGCGGCAGCAGCACCGCCACAAAGACATTTGTTCCAGGGGAGGGAGAATCGGCCAAGGAATCCTTTGTGACTAGTTTCACCAAAGAACAAAAGGAAGAGATTCGAGACTTGGTGGCGAATGCTAGTTCACCTGCCGAGATTGATGAGATTGAACGATCCGTAAAGCGGGGGATATTCCCAATTTTTGCCCGAAAACGAAGTCTGGATGAAACCCCAACAGAAGGAGACGAAGAAGAAGAAACATCATCCAATAAGAAAAGTCGCGTCTAACATATTTTTAAAATCTGATCTTTCTTGTATCCTCCAAGGTTGTCCTCCTATGGTTGCTTGCTCTCGTTTGCAATGCTTCAAAATAAAACATGTCGACTTGGATGTGTTTCCAAAGCGATGAAGCTCACCTTTATTAGGCCCCACCAGCCTTGTCTAGGCATAATAATATTCATACTGTAGCAGCAATATATAGATTTTAAAACATATATTACAACCCCAAAGCTCCTACTCCAATGAGACCATTGGGGCACTTGCTTTCTCCCAATAGATTCGCCTTGGAAAGTTTCGAGGCCAAGTCGTTGTAGGAGTTAGGATAGTTTTCTCCCCAGTTGAATCCATCATGGAATTGATGATACTGTTCGGCCACATAAAAGGGAAAATCTGCTGTATCCATGACAAAACATAGAGCCCGAGCATCCGGATCGTCTCCTTTGCCCTTGGCAAAGTCCAACTTGTCACCATTTTCCTGCGACACTTGGATGAGTTCCTTCGCATACGTCGATCCAACTCCACCTGGTATCCCGATTACATTGCGGTACTCGAGACCAGTATCTCCCCACTGATCTGGTCGGTATCCCTTTTCATTAAACAAGGCAAAATACTCCTTGCAAAAGGCTTTGAAACTAGAAGGAGGGATCTGTAATCGGACCACCTCGGCGTGTCCCAAGGATCCATAATCACTAATTTGCAAGGCATTGTGATAACACACTTTACCATCTTTGGCCCCTGCCTTGCCACCTGCATAACCAGCCCTTGCGGTTAGTGTCATGTCATCCTTTCGTCCCAAAATGTTGCGTTCGGCTTCCACAAACTCGTGTTGAACGTGCCAAAAGCAACCACATCCAAAGTAAACTTCCATCATTTTTTCTTCTACTTCGTCGTCTGCTGCATCGGCAAGATTTGGATTTGTTGCAAGGCCAGTTATACTAACGGCTCCAACAGCAACAGCAACAGCCCCTTGTTGCAAGAATCCTCTTCGATCCGAGGATGCATCGGAGGATGATGATGCTAATGATAATGATGATGTTACGAGGCTCCTCTTTATAGATTTTGGAGACGCTGCTGCTGGGCTCCAGGCAGCGCTGCCACCAATGAGAAAGCAAAATAGTAATAGTGCAAGATTGCGGATTATTATCAATCCGTTTCTGTTGAAATTCGTCATCCTGTGAACAATTGTGAATAATATGATTGCTGATTGATGAGTATCATACCATGAATAATATTATGAGAGCAACTATAATCAATAGAATACCTACAGTACTGTAAAATCTTGCGACGAAGCTATATACCGGTACGATATAGCATATACACGTGCACTGTATTTACATTGTCGTTGAGCTGCGAGATTGTGGATGGTTTGACTTATCTGACTAACATTGAGACTTTTCTGTAACATTCACACATACAGTATTGTATTCTTTTCGTTGAACCGGCCAAAACGACCATAATCACGTAGGCATAGCTATCATGCAGACAGCATTGAGCCACTAACAGGTACCAGCAGAAGCAGCACCAGAAGCAGTACGAGTAGCAGACACGCCCAGCACATGAAAGAAAAAATGAGCAAAGAACCGTCGAGAGCTAACAAAAGACTGGGCTCATCGCCGACGCAATCAGAGTCTGGGTCGCAAGTCGAAGAACGAGCTTCCAAGAAACAATTTGTAGAAGTGCCACAGGAGGAATACGATAGACTTCTCTTGGCCGAGAAGGAAATGAAGGAGCTACAGAAGCGTCTAAAGGAAGCAGAAGAAAGGAGAAAGGAAGCAGAAGAAAGGAGAAAGGAAGTAGAAGAAAAATACAAGGCCCTCGAGGCCCTCGAGACTGGCGAGTATTACACGTCATACAATGACCTTTGGGATATAAATCTCGTAGAATGCAAACCAGATCATCTTGACGCCTTGACAAGAACAAAGCCCCCAAGCATTGAACGGAATGGTATAAAATACTATCAGCGCACTCTTGAGCTTGCATCCGACGAAACAGGCGACTATGTCGTCGCTGAACAACGAGAAGATGCGCGCAGCGAAGAGTCATCTAGTGGTTCGGACACCAAGGCTGACACCTGGCCCTTTGACGTTTTGGCTTCCACTCTCGGCGAGGACGGAATGCTTCCGCTTCATCAAATCTCTGGCAGTCATGTTGTCATGTTGCACACCTCGTACCAGCTGGGAAAGTTTCTGCGTCACTGCATACCTATGTGGCACCGATGGTGTTTGGGTTGAAAAATGCTTTGTTTGAAACAGTACAAAAACTGATTCACGGGAGCCGGAATTTTAGGGAAAAGACTGACGGAGACAAAGTTACAACAACGAAAGGACAGGAAGCGGATTCGAACACAAGTGCAAGCGAGACGAATGAAAAAACAGGAAGAAACAATAGCGAAGTGAACTTAGTTGGAACGAAGCATTTTACAACAAATATGATTCGATTGAAAGGCCAAGAAGAATGGTTTTTCGACACAGATCCTTATCTGCTGATAGTCCCAATTCTTTCAAGTCAAAATGCGGTTGCGTGGCAAGGAGAAGGCTACGAAGCGCTATTCATTATTGGAACGCCAAAACTGCAAAACGAAATGGGATGCAATACCGTTCCATTTGACGGAAATCGCTCAGAAGGTCTCGATCATGAGGACGTGCTCGATAGTAAGGGCATGATTTCTTGTGTCTCATCTAATGTAACCTTGTGGGAGGAGGGAACAACGGCAAGTGAAGAGGAAATTGAAACTGCCCGGAAATTGCTAGAAACTGCAGTACTCGGTCTAGCGCATTGCGTCATCCGGGATGCCGAACAGTACAAATACGACTGGAACGAACAGGAAAGGAGTGCCATGTCAAAATTGAAAAACAGTCGTGTTGTTCCACCAGATCCCAAGCAAGTTTGGGTGCCCTCCGCCATGAAAAGAAGCAATGCGGAGGACCATTTGCGAGTACGAAAGATTGCGTTCGAAAGCTGCAATGCCGCTGTAGGTAAGAGTCATGTAGGGCATCGAGCCCCGGATCCAATGCTGCTGATCGCAAAAGCGGCCAACAACTGGGCAGCCGCTCATCATCAGCGATTGCTGCCTCCTGGAGCGGAAGAAGAAGAGGATGACATGTCCGAGAGAATATTCATGGAAATGGAATCCCAGCAGGAACACCTTGAAGCTATGAGAAGAGAGCAATTGGATACAGACGTTCCTGGAATGGACATTGGATGGTAATGACGAGATACTACTATACTGTACTGTACTGTAATGTAGTATAGTACATGAAGATGCCTACTGTACTGTACTGCAGGTCCCGAGGATCATGATCATACATGAGAGGAGATGCTATGGTTTGATATTACTTTTTGTTTTGCAATCTAGGAAGAGGGAGGAGTGTGTATTATAATATATATTCCAACAATAAGTAGATAGATTCTCCTTTCTGACAATGTAGAAGGAGGTATGGAGACTTGGTTCAATCATTCATTGGTTCCTCCATTGTTGTTATCCCACGTCACTCTATTACCTGGTATTCATACAGGTGTAGCTAGCGTACCATAACACGTATTATGCAACAGAGGGTCATACACTAAGGTCTGTCTTTTTCTTGGTGTTTTCTTTCTTTTAACTAATAATTCTTACAACTGGTGGATATGTATATATAGTATGTTTGTTTGCTTGTGCGTTTTGTGCACATACTGTGCGGTGCCCGCTTCTTGTGCATGTACTCTAAGATTTTGTTGCTTGCTTTGCTCTGCTCTGCTTTGTTGTTACCAGAGGGAACCAACCACTAGCACCAACATGGTGGTTGCCATTGCCCATGCAGTAGACATTCCATGAGCAGAAGCCGTTGGACGAGACCCAAAGTCTCGATCCCCCGCTGCCAATTGTGGAATGCCCACCACAATGGTTCCATAATCATAAACGGAAGTAAAGGCACCTGGTTCGTAGCAAGTATCGTCCCCCAAACTGACATCTTCGCATCTCGCGCTCAAGCCATCGGCACAGATACGACAGGACAAACAATCAGCATATCGGCATCCAATCAATCGTCCATTCTGATAAAAGAATTCTTCTTGATCATCTTCGATGGTACCAAAGTTGGTATCCCCCCAAGAAGTCTTGATGAGTTCGTAGACACCATTGCGGGCTTCAAAGTGCGCCGAGTCTCTGGAAATACCCTGAGTGCCGAGATAGGTGTATGGACCGGTACACTTCAAGTACAAGTTAATGTCTTGATCGTTGCAATGACACTTGAAACTGATTTGAACGTTTGGATCCGAAGCAAAAAAGACATCTTGAAAGTATGAATTCATAAAGGTTTCCAAATGAGTCATGTTGGCGCAAAATTCCAAGTGCGATTGGTAACTGCCCAAGGCATTGGAAGTGGCGTTTTCGGAAATGGGTCCAAAGTAGTACTGTGAGAGGAAGGATCCCATGTATCCATCATCACAGGTAACCGCATAGGCCAAGGCATCTTCTTCCAGTGGACAGTCCATGGCAATGTACTCTCCGCCATCGCAGACGGTACAGTTGCCACAGCCATTACCTTGGCATTGAGTGACAGTACCGTTACCATCTTCCATAAAGTACGTTTCTTGAGCATCAAATTCATCTCCATATTCCGAATCACCCCAGCTCGCTTGGACCATGCGATACAATCCATCGCCTCCGAGACTAAAGACAGCGGACTCAATGTTGGATCCGTAATAGGCCTTGTTGCCGTAATAATCGGCTCCACACGCCAATTGCCAATTGATTCCCAACATGGTACAATTGCATTCATAATTGAGTGAAAGCTTGACGTTCAAATCATCGTAAGCCTCCAAAAAGGATCGTTCCAAAAAACTTTCCACCGTAGACAAGTCTCGGCAATAATCCGAACGCGTGATGCGTTGTCCTGACAAGGCTTGCAAGTCGCGGTCTTCCGAGGCAAAGAATGCTTCTTCGTCTTCTTGCTCTTCTTGAAAAAATACGCCAGGACGAGGCAAAAAGAGTTCCCCGTGATCCTTCATGAATTCATCAAAGGGACGCATTTTTCCGCGTCGTTGCATGATGAAATCTCGCATTTCCTTATTGTTGAGTGTTGCTTGAACAGTATTAGTAGTAGCAGTAGTAGCTTCCTCGACAATGGTGGCTGTGGTGGTGGCAACTGGCATGTGTTCACTAGAAGAAACAAGTGAGGCTTGCAATGCGAGGCAAAGACTGCCTACTGAAAGTACGTTTCTCATATTGATTTGTTGTTGTTGTTGTTGCGTGTGTTCTTTCTATCTGCTACTGTTGCTGTTGCTGTTGCTGTTGTTGCTGAAATGAATTACTAGAGGATGTAACAGAGAGGGAGATAACAAAAGAGGTGCAATACAGAGGACCGATGATGATAACAACCAGATAGAAACGAGAGCATGCAGCACCGTTGAGGGTTGAGTCGTTTGAAATCGGGAGGGTGATCCATGAATGGTGCTACGTGTGCCACGTGCGTAGCCAATGCCGTAGGTAGTTTGTGAATTCTAACGGTAGGTATTTATTGATTCCCGAGCGTGCCGGACGAACGGACAGCAGAACATTCGCTAGATTTCCGATCCGATGGTGGGCCCTGCGCTTTTTCCCGAAGAAATGTCCAAAACTCCCACACAAATACTCGAACAAATAATAATCTAATCACGCACCCAAGAGACACAGACAATATATAAAAGCATAAATGCTGTTCCTGCATGTTTTGCTGGGATGTTGCTAATACTAAATCTGGATAATAGTATCATCAATTTTGACTATTTTGATACTGTATTATTCCAAAGAGGCCAACAAGTACAGTGTTTGTATTGCTGCAATAAAACAACAACTGCTGCTGCCTGCCTTATTGTCTTCTTTCGAGTAGTACTACATCGGTAGTAATTCCAGTTCAGGTAGCACGTTGCGTCGTTGTATGATTGACTACTCCATCGAATCGAACTTGGAAGTCCAATATGCGTTCTTGTTGATGCTGCTGATGTTTTGCACGTGCATGGTATCACACCCTGCCTGTCATCATACATACCGAAAGCAAGTGGTTGTATACTCCTATCATGGTAGTCTATGAACACATGGCAATGATCCCACATCTGTATGGAGACTTATTCTGCCTGACCTTGGGATAGCTTCATGGAACCAATCTAGTTCTTTAGCACTTTTGTGTGTGTGTCTGCCATCGTTTTACTCGCTCAGCCAGCTTATTGTGGGGTGGAGATTACAACAAAGCAAGCATCCCATTTCCAACTCCATCCACCACGAGCCGAAAGATCACGCTTGCTTGGCGTTTAGGCTCAATCGAACGCATGCTACTTGAAACTCGTGCCAGCATGTAAGGCCACAAGGCCAGGTGAAGCAATGACGAATCATCATTCTTGTCATTGTTGTTGTCATTACCATCATTGTCATTGTCATTGTTGTCACTACTACTACTACTACTACTACTGCTCATAATGATGACGGCTCTCCACCATTGGCCTTGTCCCACTCGATTCAGATCCATGTCATGCTGTACCAATGGGCCACACAGATAAGATCGAGCGAAACGGTCCCCGAGAAAGATGAGAAATGGATTTTGCTTCAGTAGCCACAACAGTAGGGTTTGAATCTTCTTGGCATCTTCCTTGGGCCAAATGTGATTGTTGCGATTGCCATCCAGATTAAGACGAGACAATCGATTTCTGGTAGCAGCAGTTGAAGTAGTAGTAGTAGTAGTAGTATTCTGCAACGTCGCTGTAAATCCATCCAACATGACAAGATTGGAGAAATCTAGTAGCGATATCGAGTTGCTTTGAAGGTCCAATTCGAACAACTCATTGTTCGCGCTTGTTGCCAAGAGTTCTATGCACTCAGATGCCACCAGACCAGCGTGCTTCAACCGTAGAGTTTCTAAGGAAGTATTCCTATCCATACAAGCCGCCAGTCTTGTGACATTTAGATTTGCAAAAGGATAAGACAGATCCAATGTTTTCAGCTTGCAGTCGTTGGAGGAAAGGTATCGAGCCAAATGATCCCAAACTGGCGACGATGATTCTTGTGGTACTTCCACCTCTTCTTCCCATTGACATTTTCTTAGGCTTAATTCTTCCACAGATGAGTTTCTCAAAGCTTGAAACACCAAAGGTAACCATTGTGCTGGAAGTCCATCCAGGTCCAATTGTCGCAACGACTTGTTCAAGGCCAAACCATTGTGGAATTCTTCAAATGCCAAAGTAGAAGAAGAGGAAGAACCACCATCTCCACTACAGCAACTATAGACACTATCTGATAAATTCAAATGAAGCGAGAGCTTCTTTTGATTCTTGGCCTTTTCCAAACTTCTGCCCAAAATAGGAAAACACTCGTCCGTGAGCTTGAGAAAGACGCAAATCTCGACCATGCTGGAATTCAGGGAGATGGCGTGACTCAGATCCATTGCCATTGGACCTGTCATGTCCTGATCGTCGTTCCTGCCACCAATCCAGAGGCATTCAAAGAGTTCAATACGACACACAGTGAAAAGTATGCGACAATGATTCTCGTTGGATTGATCCATATCCTGAAAGACAAATCGTTCCCACCGTACACCATCACCTTCAATAAGATTCGAAGATGCAAAGTATTCCAAGGTCTCGATCATCAAGGCAGCGACTTCTTCAATCATTGGAGCATTGGGCCAAATGCACCAATGAATAGTACGCTTGCATTTTCCCAGTAGAACATTGCTTTCTTGCAAGTCCTGCAACATTTGCATGGCATCCAGCCACGAATGATCCCTGGTGAATGTGATGGTAGTCAGATCATCATCGCTCTTGTTTTCAAAGTGTGCCGCAATTTCCACTGCATCGGGCTTCATTATAGTGTTAGCTACTGAATGATGGTTATAACGATGAGTTATAGAACAATGTTATATTATGAAGCTGCACTCAAAGCATGCTGTACAGTACCGAACATTTTCCTGCAAACGCAGTAATATACCGTACTGTACGTAATAGATATATTTTCTAATTAGTGTTGGGTCCGAAAAACTAAAGCAGCCCTTTTTTTACTGTCGATAAAAATTCCAAAATTCGATGTGCGGTCACGATCTAGTCATTTGGTGGCCTCGGGAATGTGTTGTAAAGTTCTTGGCCTATCAAAGATAGCCAACTGGCGCCTTCTTTTCGGGTTCTTCTGCTTGGTGTTTTCTTGGAGTGACTCTGGTGGGTTGTGGTGTGAAGCTGGTCCTTTTGAGTTGCGCGCGAAGCGTGTGACTCAAAGGACCAGTCTCAGATTTCCCGTAAGACGTGAAATCTGAGACTTGCTTGTCTGCCAGGCCTTGACACGAAACAATCGTGTCAAGGCCCAACAGGGTGTGGTGGGATGGGAAAGAAAGAAATAACTCTATCTTTCTGTCAGTATACTTGCACACAAGTTCGATATGTGTAGATCGGACTTAGGTTGCTGGTGCAATACTGAGATGACGGTCGCCCTACCGTCGTTCATGGAGTCACTATTGAGTCCATTGGTTCGACCGCTTTCTTCCGTCTACGTTAGAC